GAATGTTCACCATAACAGCTATAATCAGTTTCATTGATAAATTCATTATGTACATTAGGGTTACTAAATATTGCAAACACCATAAGGTCAGAGTACAAGTTGTGATGTCATAATTTTCAACGGAAATGTATGATAATTCTATACCGTACGGCATCATGATCGCTAATTTTTTCTTTATCTTAGGCTGCAAATATCAACTTCAATATATTACTCGGCGAGAGATCCTATTCCATCTCCCAAAGGAGATTATTACGATGCCTCTCAGCGATTTTTAAGCTACAAACTTGTTTATAAGTGATGAATAAGCTTAGTATCCAATAATTTTGTGGTGTTAAAATGAATAAACTGCAATTGATTTACCAAAATCGCACATGAAAATTTTTGTTATGCTCCGAATTTTTCATTTCTCGCTTACTTTGACTATGAAAGTAATGCTAACATGTCTATAAGAACAATGCAGAAATACTATTTAACATTCCTGACGCCATTATCGGAATTGAGTTTTTCTCAACAGATGATAGTTAATACTTTAGCTATGAAATCATTCAGATTATTCTGTACTACAAGTCTTGTTTTATCAAATGATGGACTCGCATTAGATATTAAAAAGAATACCGTGTTCATTTATTAATATATTTTAGTGCTTAGCAACAGGTGTACAAAAATTAATAAATTTAATTAACTACAGATAAATCTAAATCAGTCATAATCTAGCTCATTACAATGCGATCGAGATTAGATCATAGACATCTCTTACTTCATAAAATATAGTAAAATTTTTTAGAGAACAGTTACATGATGATGGATTGAAAATAATACCATACAAAAATCAATGCCTACCCTTTCTTTCGAATAGGTAGCTGTTACTTCTCAGTCCAACACTACGAAGATAAATATTATTAAAGGGATGTTATTAAGATTCATAAGCGTTCCTAGATACCCCAGAAAATGAGTACGAATATATCGTATTTCGCTGTTGACTTCTCTATATGAAACAGAAATCGAACTCCGAAAAACGATAGATCGCAAAGATGACCGAATGTCACATCTTGTTAATAAGAGGTAGCTCAGTTTACTTATAATACTATTTACGCTACTTGCGTAGTAATCATATTATTCATATCCATGATAGAAAAGGATGATTACAAAATAACTGAAAATTTTTTTATTTCCAGTAATTTTTCGTTGTTAAAAAAGTACATTACATGTTAACGGTATTGTGATACATAATAAATTACATTTCACTAAATGTTACAATTCTTCTTAAATAAATAAGAAATAGCATTTAATTGTATCTATTGCTCCTTTAAATTTTAGATGTTGTAAGCGCCTAAATATTTAGCAGGTATGAAAAGTGATGATTATATGAGTAATCACACTCTTCGTACGACTTTTAATATTACTGGATTTTCTGGTATAGCTGTAAAAATGACAATTGTCGGTAAAGGATTTTCAGTTTGATTAGCTACTTCGAACTTGACTTGTTGTAGTAATCGTACTAAAATTAGTTTTAAATTCATCATTCCAAGTCTATTGCCTATGCATTTACGAGGGCCATCACTAAATGGTAAAAAGTGACATGGATGACGTTTAGATTTCTGATCGGCTGAAAATCGCTGAGGATCGAATTTATCAGGATTTTCCCATATATCAGGATCTTCATGGATAGCTTTTACTGCAATTGCAATACCGACACCTTTTGGAAATTGTACGCCGTTAATAACACAATCGCTTTTAGCTTCACGTAAGCTAATGTAGCCAGCTGAGAAGTAACGAAATGCTTCGTTAATCGTCATTTCTAAGTAGTCTAACTTTTGAATATCGTTATAGTTTAAATTATCTTCATCAGGACAATATTGATCAATCTCTTCAATGACTTTATCTTGTACATCAGGATTAGTAGCTAAAGCAAATGCTATGAAGGTCAAGTTAGAAGCTGTAGTATCATATCCTCCGATTAAAAAAGTAAAGCAATGTTGTACAATATCGAAATCGCTTATTTTCTCTTTATGTTCTGCTTCGATTACTAACTTTAGCATATCAGTTCTAGTAGATAAACCTTGATCTAATTCTCTACGACGAGCTGTGACAATTTCTCTTAGCATAGACGACGCTTTTATGATACCTTTGACTTGTTTATAAGCGATAAATAAGCTTAGGAATCTGTAAATATTTGGTAATGCAAAAAATAACACTGAAATTGGCCTTCTAATTCCACCCAAGAAGTTATTGATGTGAGTTTGTAATTCGATTTTCTTTTCTTCGTTAGGTTTAACACCAAATAGCGATGATAATGACATATCCATGGCGGTACTATAAAATAGTTCCCTCACGTTTATAGTATCATCGTCGTTATCGATTTTGTGTAAAACTTTCTCTAACAAATTGCTACTAGCTTCATTAGCGAAGTGAGACATGGCTTTTAACTTATTCGGAGAGAAAAGCGGAGTTAGACTTTCACGAGCATGCTTCCAAGTCACGTCGCGAGCATCAATTAAGCCTACGGGCTGTTTCGAAGTTGGTCCGAATTTAATTCTGTTAATAAAATTTTCGGATTGTTTAACTAGAATTTCATAAGCAATATCAGGATCGGCTACGTGGATTATCGGTTTTCGACCGTAGTATAATCCAAAAATCTTTCCATACTTTTTAACATGGTCAGTTAAACATAGATGCCTACGAGCATAAACGGTATCCCATAAATTACCGACGATAAACTTGGGTTTAGGACCAGGTATATTAATCTTATCAAAGTAGGAGTACGGTTTGAGATAGTAGAAATAGAAAATATAAGTAAAGAGTAAGACAGCAAAAGTCGAGGACAGAATGATAAAAGTTATATCCATATTTGCGAGATTTGACAAACGTATTATAACTGTAGATGTAATCAGCGTGCAACTACTGTAATAACTGTAGATGCAATGACCGTGCAACTACTCTAATAGTAATACAGTGCCTACCGCTTTATAAGCCCACCTGCGAAGATATATCCTTTTACGGGTATACTGTATGTTACATAAATATTATACAGGCATTTCAACAGAATACAGTATTACTGTAATAGTAATACAGTAGTTGCCGCTCTATAAGCCCACCTGCGGATATCCTTCTACGGGTATACTGTATGTTACATAAATATTATACTGGCATTTCAACGGAATACACAGTACTGTATAGTACACAGTGTACAGTGTGATTATTTTCGATGTCTCCTCTTCGTTAAAAAATCAAAGTTGTATTCCGTTGAAATTCCTGTATAGTATTTATATTTATATATACCCGTTAGATTGTATGATGTAATACCAGAAAACTTGTAATTATTGCGTTGGAAGTGTGAACGGCGTACGTATAGAAGCCGCCGCTTTTCAATACAATAAAGAGAGAGTAGAGTTAGTAGTTAGTTTTACAAGAACTTGAACGACGTGTTCAATTTCTTGCCTCGACTGTATGCTAAGTGAGAGTAGTTGCAAACTTTCAATACAGTTGTTAATATTAATTCTAGATAGTAATATACAACAAATGTAGTACAGTGGATAGTAACTACCGCACCAAGTGCGGGTAAAAGTAGCATTTCTGTTGCATGTCATCGCCCAAAAAGGGATAACTCCATCATAACTTCGACAGTGTGTACACTGTACTGTACAGCATAACACTACGTCATACATATAATATATGCATGCTCATATAAAGTGTTCATTTTATCAGAAAGTTAATCATTTAATGTAACCCAGTGAACTTCCTACTTTATGAGAGTTCAATATACAGTACAAGTACTCAGTGCGTCAAGTACAGTAGACGTGACATAAACATCATCAAGAGTATTGTAGGTCATTTGGTGCTCGAGCCTCGAGGTCTTTGCAAAAAAGGAGTAATTTATCCCGGCTTCGGAAGAGCCTAGCCAAAATAAACGAAAGTAGGTACAGTACAGTTATATTGCATGGATTCAAAGTGTATCTACAAATGAACGAGACTCAAATCAGACTTTTAAAGCGAAACACAGCAATCAATCATGCAATATTGGGAGATCTACCTATACTGCTCATGATTTATCATATCATAGTACAGTATAAATGGACGTACTAAAAACTGATTCATGAAACCGTTTACTGACAATAAAACGGTAAAGCAATAAAAACATAGAAAAAAAAGTAAATCACTGACGGTACATTAGCATCGCACCACTAAATATTGTTTGGGAGATATCACTTGACGCTTTTGACTCATACATTGGATAAATCAATCAATAATAACTAGTGTCCAGTACATTGTACCATAGACTTATACGGTTTCTAGAAATCCGTGATTGTACTTCAATGTTAGAGACTACATACTGCTTACGACTAACTTGGACACCTGACTAGTAGTATACTGTACTAGTTGAACGAAAAGCCATCAATTGATGTCTAATTCATTTGTCATCGAGTGGTACTATGTTTATTGTTGCTATTTTATCATTAGGGATAGTAGTATACGCGCATATACAGAATAAATGGTGTTCTACCAGCATGACAGGAAGTAGCATAAGAAGCATATCAGCAACACTCATATTATTCAGATTCTGGAATTGATAACGGACTACGTATGTCCACCAATGTCAAATCCTTTTCAAGCTTTACTATTGCAGTAATAACTTTATTCTTTTCCACTAAATGACTAAGAACATGAGTGACAGTTGATGGAAAATTACTTTATTGCGTCCTATGAACAATCTTCAGATATACCGGATTTTCTGGTACAACAGTAAATTGTATTACCGTTGGTAACGGGATCTCGGTCTCTTTAGCCACATCAAATTTCACTCGTTGTAATAATCTTGCTAAGATTAGTTTCATGTTCATCCAGCCCAATCTTATACCTATGCATTTTCGAGGGCCTTCGCTAAACGGTAGAAAATGACAAGGGTGACGATTAGCATTAGCTTCAGGTGAAAATCTCTCTGGATCAAATTTGTCTGGATTCTCCCATACATCAGGATCTTCATGAATAGCTTTAACAGCAATGGCAACACCAACACCTTTCGGAAATCTTACGCCGCGAATGGTGCAATCTTCCTTCGCTTCGCGAAGATTGATATAGCCAGGTGAGTAATAACGTAACGTTTCATTTAGTACCATGTCCATATAAGTTAACTTTTGAACATCGTTGTAAGTCAGATTGCTTACATCGGGGCAATGCTGGTCGATTTCTTCAATGAGCTTGTCTTGGACATCAGGATTAGTAGCTAAGGAAAATACGGCATAAGTCAAGGTAGCAGCAGTAGTGTCGTAACCACCAACCAAGAACGTAAAGCAATGTTGTACAATATCTCGATCGGTAATCTTGTCTTTATGTTCAGCCTCGATGACTAATTTGAGCATGTCAGTTCTAGTGGTAACGCCTTGCTGAAGTTCTTGACGACGCGTCTTGATAATTTGTTGCAAAATAGAATGCGTCTTGACAATACCAAATACTTGCTTACGAGCAAAAAAAACACTTAGCAAAATGAAAACTTTAGGTAGCGCAATCGACCAAGCAGAAAATGGGCGAGCAAGTCCTGTTATAAAGTCAGAAAAGCCTGCTTCGAATTCATCTCTTTTTTTTTCGTCTGCTTCGATACCAAACATGGACGTTAAAGACATTTCCATAGCGGTACTATAAAACAGCTTTTTCATATCCAATACAGCACTACGTAGTTCAGTATTCTCAAGTATTTTATTCAATAAATTGAAACCAGCATTATTTGCGAATTGAGACATCGCTTTTAGCTTAGTAGGAGAGAATAACGGTGTCAAGCTTGTTCGCGCATTTTTCCAATCCTCATCACGAGCTTCCATCAAGCCTACAGGTCTATCAAAGCTCGGCACCAAGTTAACTCGATTTAAAAATTTGTCTGATTGTTTTAGCAAAATCTCGCTTACAATATCGATATCAGCAACATGGATGATGGGAATCTGACCATAAAATAGCCCGACTACCTTGCCATATTTTTTAAAGTATTTATTTAAGCACCTATGACGATGGCCATAGCTGCTATCGAACAAGTTACCGAAAATATATTTAGGTTTAGGCCCTGGTATATTGAATTTGTCAAAGTAAGAGTATGGTTTCACATAGTAATGATAAATATAATATAAAAGAGAAGCAGTGGTAAAACCAAGTATCGTTGTGTAGACTGAATTATCCATTTTCCAATATTTTTTCAGTGTTGATGCAGCATACGATATGAACAACCGAACATTGATCGCATGAATTACCTTCAATCCTTTATAAGAGTAGCAAGCCTTGTACAGTGTAAATGTAGACCTTAATACACCTATCAGTGATTTAGTGTTAAGGCTCTTACTCTGTATGATAACATTCCGATGATGCAAACGTTGCCAAGGTTAATCCGAGAAAACTACTGGTGTAGCTGCAAGTCTGCAACCTTTCAATACCTTCTGTGTTTACAAATGTCCGACATGCAGATTGTTGAGCCTTATTCAACAAACAAGTCATGTGCAACACACACCCTCACGAGTCACGGTCAGTTGCTGTACTGTACTGTACAGTACAGTACAGCAATGTACTGTACAGTACAGCAACTGACCGTGACTCGTGAGGATGTGTGTACAGTGTACAGTATATGACATACAGTACTGTACTGTACTGTATAGACATCCCAGTACAGTATACTGTACTGTAGTACTGTACAGTACAGTACAGTACTGTAGAGTACAGTACTGTACAGTTGTGAAACAAGAATTTCTACAGTACTGTAGAGTGCAAATTCTACAGTACTGTAGAGTGCAAATTCTACAGTGTACAGTACAGTACAGTACGTTCGAATTCTACGGTACAGCACAGCTGAAACATCTCAACTTGTCAAGTGATAGTTCTACCAGGGGCTTGTAAGACAAGAATTATTTACTGTAGTCTTGCAAGTCTCCGGTTCTACTGTACAGTACAGTACCACCTGATTTTGTTACAGTATACAGAACAGTACTGAATGGCAACCTCAGATCTGTCTATCTAGTACAATACAGTACTGTACTAAACGAATGCATTGGGTAATGTGCTGTACTTTAATGAGGTGATTGAGCAATAAGATTGCTGATAATTCATTCAAATGCCGCAATGAACGCCTAAAAATTGATTGGAACACAAGACCTACAAGGTAAATGATAACGTATACAATTAAAAAGCAGCCCTAATAAAAGTGATATTAAATTGTATATCAAACTCATCAATAAATGTTTATCGTGTTTTACAACATTCGCAGGGAAACAACGTTGAAACTGATTGCAATATTGCCTCGGTTGATTCAAGCAGCGAACTGAATTGACTGGATTGAAAATATATAACATCGAAAATCTTATCTACTGTATACGAGTATACAGTTTATCACAGTCTAGCGGCCTTGACTAGTTTATAAGAGATTGGAATACAGCAAGCGTTGGATGCAATCCTGTACTGCACTACTAGAGTAGTAAAAGACTGACCTTATTGATTAGTTGTTATAACGTTGGTATAGGCTGAAGAGAGTAATCGATGCCTGTTTTGGATAATTTGAACGTCCGTGCTGTGACTGTTGTGGCCACTGTATCAGTTTCTGCATATTTTATTTATCGAAAGATCGTTGAACCGTTACATTATTTCGAGCAGATAGGAATTCCTGGTCCCACACCCGTAGCATTTCTTGGAAATCTTCCTGACTTGGAGGAGGGTATCCATCTCGCTCATGTTGCTCTAAAAGAGAAGTACGGTAAAGTCTTTGGATTAATCATTGGTAGAAAGCCGCAAATTGTAGTTTGTGACGTTAACATACTGCAAAAAATCCTAATCGAAAATTTTAATGGTTTCTGCAATAGAAGAGGATTTCAATTATTACCTTACGATAATTTAAAATATGGCGTAAATACATTACGTGATCGTGAATGGCGGCGTGTTCGCTCGATCTTGATGCCGGCCTTTACTTTAGAAAGTTGTGAAGAATTAGCCCCCATTATTGCAAAATCGTGTAACATACTTCTTATCAAGTTTCTACAGGCATCGTATACTGAACAAGCTCTGAATATCAGCAGTGCTATGAATCAATTTGCAACGGAAATCACGATGGTGACGTTATTTGGTCAACCTGGAAAGTTGCAAACTAGTGTAAATGTCAGACCAGACAAGTTAACCATTGCTATCAATTCTATCTTCCGTGTACCTCCTATGACAAGCTTGCTAATATTGGCCATACCACCGCTGTCGTCCTACTTGCTGAAGATAAATTCTACTGGTTTTCGCTACTTAGAGTCTGTCTGTTATCGAGCTATACGCCGAAAGCGTGAAAGGATTGCAGAGAAGATGGAATGCCAACGTGACCTATTGCAGCTAATGCTGGAAGCAGATCGTAATGGTAAACTAAATGACACTGATATTGCTAGCCAGTCATTAACATACCTATTGACTAGCTATCATCCGTTAAAGAACGGTTTATGCTTCCTTGTGTATTTGATTGCAACGCATAAAGAGGTTCAAAATAGACTTATTAGGGAAATTGATGAAAATTTGCCAAATCGGGAATTACCGACTCAGAAAGAAATATCAAAATTAGTATATCTAGATGCAGTTATCAAGGAAACATTAAGACTTTATCCTGCTACCTTTATTTATCATCGTGAAGCTGTTGAAGATTGCTCAATAAATGGATTTTTCTTTCCGAAAGAAGTAACGATTGCAATTCCAGTGTATGCAATACATCGTGATCCGGAAATATGGCCCAATCCTAGTAGTTTTAGACCGGAAAGATTTTTATCTGATGATGCAAATAGTGCAAGACACCCATGTAGCTACTTGCCGTTTGGTGTCGGAGCTAGAGCATGTATGGCTACTCATTTTGTTACAATGATCTTTAAGATGATGCTTGTAATAACACTGCGTAGTATCAAATTTAAAACTGTTGCTGAAACTGAAGTGCCATTGTCTACCACATCTTTAGCTAGTTTGCAACCGATGTATGATGTGTATCTTGGAATTGAAAGAAGAGTATATGTGGATTCGATTTGATCGTAATATTAGTCTCAGGATTGCTTTTAGTTCTGTAAAGCTGGCAAATAAGTAATATATTTATATTTGTGTACATGCTCTGTTAAATTTATACTAATCCATCCTTAAATAGTGACTATTTGGATTGTACTCTTGTAATAAAATAGGTTATTTTATACTGGCGTAGTTTGTTTTTTGTTTTTTAACTGATACTATCGGCTACCGCACACGTGCTGATGACAGTCACTATTTAGCTACCTATTGGATAATAATCTCTTAGTTCAATGAGCGTAGTAAAAGTTATGCCATCACCACACATGATTTATGCCTTTGCTACGCAGACATAGAATCATTACATATCCAATAGATAAGGATGACATCTCATCCTTACACTATCATTAATTCGCTAAATGTACAAATAATTCACGCGTCCAAGTATATAAATGTATATATACGCGTATTTATGTTTGTAGTTTCTACCAAACCAGCAACGCGTTTCATTGAATACTGTTATGTTTGTAGTTTACATAATTGCAAAATAGTTGGGATGAAAAATCAATAATTTTATTTTTAACGTAAAACCGCAAGGCACAGCAGCAAGTGCAATTGCTGCTGATCTTGCAAGATAGAAAAGCCACACTTATATACAGTAAGTATTATTAGCGTACGCGTATAACACACGTTTAATATATTATATATTATATATATAATATATCTACTCTATTTTATAAACGTCCAGTTGCATGTTGATGCAGCAAGAGATTAAGAATTTGGACTTTATTCTATAATGCTGATAGCTTAAATATCGCAGTACTACATCTAGTAATATAGGCATTTACATACTGGACTATAATAAGCCGTGCACAGCACACACTGTAAAGCAGTTAGTCAATACCGTTAAGAGCACGACTTACTATATTATTGTATATTGCAAATGGAGTAGATCACAGTAATTCCAGTTTTACTGCTAAGTGGGATTACCTGAGAGTGTAACAATGTGATATAGATGGTATTTTAACAATTAATTAGCTGATTCATGGCGATCATTTCACCTGAATTGTTTCATTTTTATATTTTATTTATAATTTGATGCCGTAAGAATTGCATTTACTTCATTAAAGTTTATCCAGATTGCAGAATAGAGACCGACAGAGACTTGACAGTACCGTAGTTGACAGTACCACGGTTGACAGTACCTCGGTTGACAGTACAGTACGTTTCCAACCTACTGTATTGAAGGCCAGTCAGTTGATACTGTACAGTGTACAGTACTGTACTGTACAGTGTGTACTGTATAGTACAGTATAATTCACTGTCACTTACAGTACAGTACAGTACTATACAGTATACTTTACAGTACAACGCACTGTATCTCGAGCACTTACGGTAGATTTGCCGCCAAGCACGAATGTCTATTGTTGATTTGTTGATGTGTGGATGACCGGCGACAGCACAGGTGCACTGGCAGGTCGCCTACGGAGTTACATAATCGCAACACGTACGTGTTAATTAATTGATGCGACAAACCGACAGCAAAACACTTTTGATTGCTGAGTTCCAAAACTCAAAATAAACGCAAATGGATGCATCGAATGGTTATTTGCCCAATCCAACGATGATGGTCATTGCTGTAACTGTTCTTCTTCTTGGCTTAGCTTATATCTATTTTGTAGCACCATTAGCTTTCTTTAAACGACTTGGAATCCCGGGTCCAAAGCCGACTTTGATGTTTGGTAATTTGTTACAAGTTGGTTCTGGAGAACATCTCCTTCATTTACAATGGTCTCAACAGTATGGTAAAATATTTGGTCTGTTGTTTGGTAGATTGCCGGTTATTTTTGTGGCAGATCCTGATATGATTAAGGCTATCACTGTTAAATATTCTCAAAATTTTATCGATCGATGGTCTATTTGTAAGCCTTCACCTCCGTTAGGATTAGGATTGTTCTCCTTGAATGGGCAAGCATGGAGAAGACTTCATAATATGCTGTTATCGGTTTTTAACGATGCTGAATTAAAATTAACCATGCCGTACATAACCAAATCGTCATCTACCCTTGTTAGGAAATTACATCAGTCGATTAATCATGGAAAAGTAATTGATTTATGGCAATATCTTAGCCCCTTCTCTATGGAAGTGATCTTGGCTACATCCTTTGGAATTAAAGTCTCATCACAAGAGAATCCAGACCAAATGACTCATCAAGCTCGTCAATTATACCGTAATTATAATTTCCGTAATTTAATGCTTGCTATATTGCCACCCACATTATGTAACTGGTTAGATCAACTTTTCAGCTGGAATAGAATTTCCTACTTAGAGCAAGTATTACGTAAAGCAGTCAAGGAAAGACGTCAGATGCTCAAGGAGGAACATAGTAAGACTTATCCTGATTTATTACAAGCCATGTTGAAGATTCAAGATGGTGATAGCTTGACTGATGATGAAGTAATTGGTCAATCAATACAATTTTTATTGACGGGTTGTGAGACAACAGCGAGTGCTCTAGCCTTTACTCTTTACCTATTGGCTATGAACCCTGATATTCAGAGGGAATTAAGAAGCGAAATTATGCAGCGCTATTCTATCAATGACATCATGACTTTGGATGGTGTCGCCAAGTTGAAATATTTAGATAGGGTCATTTCCGAATCTCTAAGAATGTATCCACCGACTTATTTTTACGTGCATCAGGCTAATGCTGAAACAATGATCAATGGCTATGTCTTTCCTAAGGGTGTTGGTGTAGCGATACCAGTTTATACAGTGCATCATGACCCTGAATTTTGGCCTGAACCAGACAACTTTAAGCCGGAAAGATTTGAAACCAACTTGAATAGTAAGCAGCATTCGCATAGCTATCTACCTTTTGGTTCAGGACCAAGAAGTTGTCTAGGAGCCAAATTCGCTTTACTACAGATCAAGATGGCTTTAATAAAGCTGTTGTTAACATTTCGATTCTATAAAATTGATCAAACTGAAATTCCTTTGCAAGTTAAGTGTGGTCTGGTACTTTCTCCAAAGAATGGCATCTATCTTGGAATTCACAAATTGTAGTATCGAACTCTTATACACGTATTAGCCTTTCCTGTAAGATACAGTATACGGGCTTAATGATATCTTGTGTTAATGGACAAATTCATTCCCCATGATCTAACAGTCTTATGTTCGTTACCTTCGTTTCGATAGATAGTTCTCCTGTCAATCTCAGCTTATTTTCAGCCATTTTTAGTTTTCACAGTTACCAGGTTGCGATTTTCGACGGTAATCTTCTATTATTTAATGAATTCATTCCTTCAACATGCCAATATATGCTGTAAAGATATGCCAGTCTTTTCTATCGTGTCGTAAGTAGATCTTGTTGATTTAAACGTTGAAAATATTAAACCTCGTAGATAATTTTTCGAATCTCGCTTCTGTAGAGAAATAGAGATAAATACTGAAAACACTGAATTTCGTTGATAATTTTTTTCGAATCTCGCGTCTGTAGAAAGATAGGGATATAAATTTCGTATTTATCTTAGTATTTATTGGTTGACTTGAAAATTTCAAAGTATTACACATCCGTAAATCCGAAAGGAAATATAATTTCAAAATGTATATGTAAGACATATTCCTCATTCCTTTCCTGTACTATGTATAATTTCAAACTATGGAATATCTAACTGGGTTTTGAGAATACAATTGTTTAATTAATCGCTTCTCCTTTATGCAATATGCCCGTAGGTTAGTGTTTTCCATCTCTTTATGCTTCTTATTTATCTTATTCAATGATTGAAAATAAGGTTAAGATTCCTATTTGTCGTATTATATTAACTAAACACATTTCGATTTACTTTCATTCGATGTAATACATTAATATTTCGCTTACTAATATTAATTTTCTCTGTTATATTTAAATGGTCTTACTGTGGGATATATATATACGCTTGCGAATATTCAACCTTAGGTTTGAGTCAATTTCACTCGTGTCCAATCGGAAGTTAACTTATAGCTGTAGTTATATTATCCTTCGATGATCGATTCCTGATATATTTATTATTCCTAATAGCTGTTTTACATATCTGTGTACCTACAATATTAATGAATTCGGAGCTGTTGCAGCCAGTAAATTAGTTGTCTTGTTTATTCTATTGTCTATCATGCTTTCTTGTAATATTTAATGATTATAATTCTTGAAGATAGCGAAATGAAAATTACTGAAGCATCACGGATAACACATGCCACTACTATAAGTGAACGAAAGTGTAGTTTTATATGGACTAAATCGAAGGCAGACCTTAATTAATTCTGGTGATATGAATGAGTAAAGATCCGTAGATTTATCAGTATAATTTTCAAACCGATCGTATGATTTTTATAGTATCAATGGAATTAATGACTACTAAATTATAGATTAAATTTATCATACTGACGTAGAGCCCTTAAGAGTCGCTAATATAAATACTAATCATGCTTGTGCTTTGCAAAGGATTTGCTAAAATCTTTTACTAGTGCCAGAATTAAGTTCACAATTACGGTTACAGAAACTATACAGTACATGAACTACTGTAAATTTACAATCTTATAGTAGCTCCAAGTATCATTACAGTGACTCATGCGGCATTAATTATTACTAAACGTCAATTCTCAAGTATACTTCGTTAACAAAAAAATTAATTTCATTGTCTATTTGGAGCAAAGCAAATTAAAACATATTTTTATTCCCACTAATGTATCAAGTGATACAAATAATAATTCAGTACCCAGATATACCAACTGGCCTCCAATTGGTCTTTAATGCGGTTTCAATAAATACCGTATAACATTAGCCTTACGCTAAAGTAAGGAACTTTACTGCATTTGTACTAGATTAGCGTAAAAAAAACACGGACTAGAATTGCTAACGGACAAAAAATGAGTAAATAGAAATTTTAAACAACGAAACTATTATAAAAATTATTTACTTTAGTCCGTATGAATTCATTGTATGACTTAAATAGCAAGAAGAAACATGGGCAAATAAAAATGCATCATTCATTGGTAGAGAAATTATTGCTGCTAATTGCTTCTATTAGGGACATAAAAGTTAGTTAGTATTCTTTTTAAGCCATGCATCAACAGTAGCTTCATTATCTGTAATCCATTTGATTCTATTTCTGATGGATTCTTGAGATTGATTAACCGCTGTAGCACCTGAACCGACATCAGGGTTGGCTTTAAAGAAATCTTGCACCTAATTTAAAATAAAATTTATACGATTTTACTCGAGGATATAACCATCAAACTGATAATACCGTATTATTTAAAATAAAATTATTAAACTGCGATTTTAATTTACCTGCTTCAATCTGAATTCAGAGGCCCATCTACCAGCAGTACTTCTGATTAATCTACCAAAGGAGAAGAAACTTCCACCATAGCTGTAAATGAATAAATAATATTAATAAATTTAATAAAAACCTCTGTCAATGTAGATAGAATGAATGTTTGTCCATTTGCAGAATTCTTTAAATAGATAAAATGTGAAATATGAGAAGAGATTGGTCATCAACTATCGATGAAGTAAAATCTTACGTTTTTCTTAAATAGGGCCAATTTTGACGAACAAAGTCCCATGCCAATGGTCTACCAACAATATTCGCAGAAATATAATCGATAACAATGGTCGTGTCTTGTGATCGGATTTTAGCCGGATTAATCGACCATTGCAAATATCTGTGTCCATAGATGAATAGTATTAGAGTAAATTCTAGCTGAATCTAACTCCGTTATTTACATCGATAAAGTTACGTATAATACTTTTTATGCATCTTTATTTTAATCAGTGATGACATATAGATCAAGGATTACAAATTTGAATTAGCTTCAATGGCTAAGCTCCATTATTGCTCAAATTTATACCTATTCAAAATCCATGGAGTGCTGGAATAAGATAGAGCATCTAATATTGTTCGTTTTTCTGAAGCAACATTGGTTTTATAGAAGTATTCATACAAGAAATCCCAATCACTAACATCTCCAGAAGCTATACCATATCGGTAAACGACAGCTTTCAAGTTAGGAGGGACTCTATTGTAATAACAAATAAAATTTAAATATTTAAATCGATTTTAAAATCTTACCTACAAGAATTTAGATTAGTTTTAACACTAGATGAGAGATAGACGTTCTTACGCATTGGCAGCAGAATTGCTCTTGAATGCTTGGAACATTCTAGTTGCATTATCGAGGCAAGGTTTATATCCAAGACCACATCCAATAGACATTACTCTTGTTCTCAGCAATCTGAATGTTGTTGATATAAATTTAAAATTCTAAAAAACCTGTATGTAATATGTCCATCTTGTGCTAGTAAGACCATTTTAATTTAATAATATTAAATAATTGAAGGAACTATGCATAGTAAAAATGGAATTAACGCGTTTCTTTTAAGATTATTGTAGTTTTCCTTATATTAAGTTGCCTACTTTTGTGTATGAGAGCCAACATCTTCGAAACGAATGGTATCTAACAATGGTTTTAGTTGTTGCAAATAATATTTCTAACAAAATTAGCGAAAAATTATTCAATGTCGCAACAGATTATTAATGCAAAATCTGCGTTTAAAATTCCTAAACTTTGCATAATCTAATTAAATTCAGATATACAGTATTGCCCATTTATTTATATGCCTATCTTTACCTGGAAACTGCCATAAGATTCTCTATATGAAATCATCGAACTTATTTCACCAAGTGCAGCGGTAGCAGTATACCAGGGGATATATGTTGTCTCCTTAGTGAGATATTTAGTAGTTCCCAAAGCAATATCATAGGTAGTCTGACCAACTCTAATGGTATTTAAAGTATAAATAACAAATAATCATAAAACAACTGTCGTATATGATATAAATTTAACGCGCTAGTTTACGATTTATTTAACCTGGCAAGATTGAAGGCATCGTCTATCAAACCACTGATGTCAGTTTTGGGAAATTCCTAAACAAGAAGTAAAATTTTTGAATTACTAAAAACTTAAGTTACAAAAATATGTAAAAAGCGCATTAATTGACTTACGTTTGGATTAGTTACTAAAGCACTAATAATTGCATTCCAATTAGAGGCTGGATAATTGACACGGTAGAAACCGAGTTGGCCAACATTAGCCTTGAGCCAAGTGCCGTCAGGCCAGGTTATTTGAGTATCTTTATTGATCGGAATTATAGAATGATTAAAATATTCAGAATAAACCATGTAGTAACAATTATAACAGCTAAATAAAGCTGGAAATAGAATATTGGCAAAGCATAAAGTACGATAGACATATTCAAATTGTTTTATTGCAATAATGATGTCAAGGTGAATAAAGCTATTTGTACAGTTGAGCTTAATTGCTACTTACTGGAATTCATTTTAAAAATCGTTGATTTAACAGTATTACGATCATCAGCAGTTATGTAAGTGATAGGGATATTCCACTTGTATCTATAAATATTTAATAACATAAACTTGAACTTTAGTATAATAAGTTGATCAAATACCTTTATTTAACTAGCATTAAAGTTGCCAGCGAGTGTTATATTCTAGTATATTTTTTATTTTATGGAGCAGGGTATCATGTATCGGTATTCAACTGTCAGAATCTTCACATGTAACTTAAATTCATGATGAAGTGGTTGGTGATTATAAAGTTAGTCACATATACTTAAATATGCAGTAACTACATAGAGCGAATATCTCATGTAGCAAGCTTCTACCCTAAGTCTAGGATAGAAATATGAATCTTACCCAAAAGGAGATTTAAATTTAGATGAAGCTGGATCAACATCTGGATTTTGAGTAGGATCTAACAAAAAGCGCCTTTGTGTAATGGTAGCTTTACCACCACTGACGTCGCCAACAGTTACTACTGGGTATCCCATTTGTAGTGTCCAAGTATCCATCACTTCAGTAACATTAATATTTCTTGTTGAAGCCTTTTAGATTATAACAATACAATATAAATCATACGAGTGAATTAATGGACCAGATCAAATATAGAATGAACTCTTTTTATAGATTTTACGCTAATTAAGCCGAAATTGGTTCAATTTTAAAGTAAATGTATAATATATATACATGATTTAAAATCTATAGGCGTAGGAATTTAATAGTTTTGTTAATAAAGATGTGAAATAATAAATAGAGTACCTCTGTTAGGGTTCGCCACAAGTCTCTGGTAACTGCATTTTTAAATTCGTATTTCTTCAAGTAATTCTACAATTATTGCGCAAGCATATAAAGGAATTCTGTCACGAATTGATGATGCCTTTCAAATGGAATATTACAATTAGTAAAATCAAAAATTTATTTACAGAAATGCCTTTTTGATAGTCTTCGTTGCCCATCATTTGTCTCATCATACTGATGATAGAAGCTCCCTATGAAATCATTCAAGTAGCTTAAGTTTCTTGAGTATGAATATACCTTACGTACAATGTTACTATGGAGAAATAAACAACTACTGAATTTAATATGCGTATTATATAAATTAACGTGTCATTGTCTACATTTTCGTATTGAACGTACAAAAAATGAAACTAAATTTACCAAATTTATAGAACATGATTAGCAATGATTTATATTCTACCTTAGAGTATGAAATTGCATCGAAAACCTCATTGATCTCATCGGGATGGTTAACAGTAACCTGAACAGGGTGAGATGTTACAAAAGCATCTAATCCAAAAGCCCTCTGGTAGTCAAGAGGAACAATTTGTGACATCTATAAAACAATTTATAGAAGAAAAACTATATTGGCTTTATGTTGAATAAATTTGTATTTATCACGACAAAATAATTTAACTTGATTGAATCTATAACATTGCTTATGTTTTTGTAGCACATCTATTCTAGATAAAAAAATATGGGTGATTTGTATTTCTACGTTGTTTGTACTAAAAATATCCTTTCATGCTTGATGTAAAGGCTTTACACATTTCACTAGTACTAATGCAGTCATGAAGTAAAAGTAAGAAAGTCTAATACCATCTCCCAATCAGGTTGGTATTCGTTAACTCCAAGATATTCTGTAAAGCTGGCGAAACCTTCATTTAGCCACAAGTCATCCCACCATCTCATGGTTACTAAGTTACCAAACCACTGTAAAGAATTAGAAGGTTATCAAATTCATAATTTATTGGATTAGCATGTATTGATTATGGATACATCTACGAAACAAACGGTAAGATTAAGAATAGCAATGCTATATAAATGAAATATGGTATACGCGTAAGTATGATTTCACGTAATTTAATTAGACTACTTACTGTACTAATAAATTTTAAGAAAGTCATCAGTGAACACTAACCATATGAGCTAATTCGTGAGAAACAACAACAGCTACACGTTGTTGATTGCCAGCAGCTGAGACCATTGGATCATATAACAAGGCAGTTTCACGATACAAGATGAGACCCCAATTTTCCATAGCACCAGCGGCAAAATCAGGAATAGCTACCATATCTATTGTACGATATTTTGATATATGAAAATTTTAGAACTTCATATGGTTGATTAGTAAAGATATTCCACTTAATAACCAAGCATCTAATGAAATTAGCTGAATATCACATCAATATAGTTTCTATCACTATTCAAACTTGCTCAATGAGATTATAATACCAAACAATGACAACATAACATTATTATATTAACTTGAGATAGAATAGTTAGTGTGAACAATGTAGCATTTAAGTTATATTTGATGAGTTGTTTGACTTATAAGATGTACAGATTATGTTTTAACGAGAAAAAACTGGGTATCTTTGATTAGATTTTGTTAAACTAATAGAATTTCTTAAGCAGTATAATTTTGAATTGTTTATAGTATGCAATTCAGGTATATATGCTCAAGCAATAAACACACTCGTAATCAGTTAGAGAAATAGAATCTTGCATGCCTTGTTTTGGCAGTGGATAGGGAACACCAAAGAAATCTTCAAAGTATTCAGTTATATTGACGCCTCCAATCAATGCAAATGAGCTTTGATTAATGGTATGAGGGGTAGACCAAACGCGAACCTGAAAGGTACCAATTAAATAATGCATTTTTTAGTAGCGAGATATATTTCATTGTAGTATAAGTTATGCTACAAGTTACAAATTTTGCTGTCTTCATAATTATATCAATTAGATCCATTATAACAACAAACATTTACCGGTAGGTTAGTTTTGGTTCTTAATTCTCTGAATTCGAAATCTGAGATTACGAAAGCCAGTAAGTAAGAACTCATTCGGAGGCTTCCTATAATCAAAAAAGGCAAATATATAATTGCTAAGCTGCGCAATTTTAAGTATAATTTGTGAGAATTAGTCAACATATTGCAATTGATATCGTATAATAGAAGCACTATTAAAGTAGTATCTCTATTTTATCCTGGTAATGTTTGTGGTAATAGGTATCTATGGAGTATTATACTATAGAAATGACTATAGTACGATATCTATGAAATTGAGGCGTAAGGACTAAAGTGCAGGGAGTATAATAGATACAGGTATTGTTGAGATTTATTTCATTTAATGTATGGTAGGCATGGTAAATCATTGCAGATTGTTGCAAAATTTAGTTCTTCACAATTTCAATTTAATTATATGTTGCTTCGAAAAAGGACTAGCAGTTAGTATAAATTCTTAACAAGAAACAAATCGACAGCAATAAAACACACTTATATCTAATGTATAAGAAATTTAAAATAATATTGCTATTAAAAACGATAACAATTTTGAGGCTAAAACAAAAATTATTAATAGTATGCTTTATAACGTTTGAAGATAGATTAAATTTTATAACTGTAAACAATTGCTCTTACTATCTTAGTAACATTGGATGATCGTGCTTCCTCTTACTTTGATAAGTTTTTGTAAGATATCCAGGTCGAGTAGCTGCTACCGATGTTAATTCTGGCATATTCCATAAAGCTCCATAATTATTGGGGACACTAATTGTGGCTGTAAACATTGCCTTCAATTCCGGCTCATCCAACAATGGTATGATCTTACGGGCATCAGTAGGTTGACATTGACTGGCTGCTAGCCATCTATGTGATATTGAATAATAATTAAAATTAAAATTTCGATCATAAATTCGTTTTTCCTATCACCCTATCCGTATAATTTGTTAGTCATTAAGGAATAATGATGCTTAAATCCACAGAGTCGCAATATTAATTATAGTTTCGATACAATGATGAGAGAAATCCAAGAGTCTTTCAATTAATAAGGAATTCTCATTATAATTCTATAATGACTAATCGTAATATGTAACACTCCAAATTGTAATAAGAGCCATGGGATTTATTATGTACCACTAAAAATAACTTTCGAATACTATATTAAATGCCTTATTTATTTAATCCTGCTTAAGTAATTGTGAATCAATCCAAAGAAATAACAACATACTAAATTATGTATCTTAAAAATTTTTCTGACGACAATATTTATCATTATAGAGTATAAGGATTGGTTTGTATAATTACAGTTTCTTATCGCACGTGAAGGATATCTACAAATGCTAGGTTTTCCTTGGTTAGATGGACGTTGTATTGGTTTTAAGACAGGATAGAATGAGGTAGAGAATTTCTGGGATGGAGTTTAAGACTCATTATTTGGAAAGTTTTCGAAGTCAAGATAGTGTTAAATTATTTTTGGGCTAGTAAATATTAATTAATACTAATTTGATATGATTTAAATTAAATAATTTTAAGGCATAATGTGTATGATTAGATTATGTAATGTAATTAGAATTCTTGAACATATTAAATATGATCGTTTTGTAAGCAATATGATTCATAACATAAGGCATGTATTTATCTTAGTAGCCGCCAAATACAATCATTACTTTCATTCCCGGCATGCTTAAAAGTTAAGTTTGCATTGCTACAGTTTCCATATGTCTAATTAACTATCGTACTATAATTGACCTTTTACCTTTATCAGTAATATGACATATGACAAATAGTTCGATTCTATAAAAAAAACTAAGCATTCTCTAGAAAAAAACAGTTACTGAGTAATTTTGTTAATCTAACTAATTAACGGTAACTAATTATGCAAATAGTCATATGTGCTGAGTGAGCACATCAAATGAGATTGGGCGATAACATTATATAAAATCAGTTATCGTACCCTAGACATGCAATTTATTGTCTGTAATAAGTAATTATGCCTTGATATGCAGCTTCTTAGCTACTATGACTTGAGACGTTTAAGAATCAATTACTATACCCACAGATATTGTTGTTTCTGATAAAATTGATCGTTCTCTAAAGTTATTGTTATGAACTTACTTATTAGTACCGTCCGGTTTGGTATAAGAACTCTTGTAAAGACCGTTAAGAACGGTTGATAATGGAGCTTTAAAGTCAAATCGGACATAATAAGTACCAGCTCCTACAGCATTGTTTAATGCAACATAGTAATAGTCATTAGGTTTAAAGCCTTTGTGTTCTTTAATAGATAGCTTATTCTGTAAAGCTTGATCAGTAGCAACTTGAGGTGTTGTAGTTATTTCCATATCCTTGATGTGAAAAATAAAAATGTCGGTTTGTGATGTAACATTCAATTCAGCGACATTACTACCAGTAAAAGTTAAGGCAGTCATGTCGATTTCTAAGGTGAACCAATATTGGATTGGAATGACATTCTTTGGCAAGCGAATATTATTCACTGCTGCGTAAGGCGATATAGGCTTTGCTGTTGTAGGTTTAGCAGTAGCACCTTTCGTTGTTGGAGCCATCGTTGTCGGAGCCATAGTAGTAACAGCTTCAGTGCTTCCATGGCCGCTAGTTTGATTTCCTTGAGATAACACTCCAGCCAAAACACCTACAAGAACAATTACACCTATAACAATTATAGCTAGAATAAGTGCCTTCTTCTTGGATATAAAGTATCCATTAGGCTGCTTAGTTTGTGTTTCGAAATCTCCTTTTTCGTCAGTTGCCATGCTTTCTTACTATGCCACAAGAACAAATTGCACCTTGTCTTTATGGTTTAATCAAGAGCTAAAAAAGTTACAAGCACACTGCGCTACCCACAGTAACAGATTGTTAATGCTCTTTGTCGTAACCTTAAATATCGTATATTACCAACTGTTCACTATTTAATTATTAGAAATCATCTTTAACGTATTTAACACGTGATTTAGCAAAATGTGTATTTTAGACGAACATCAACAGATGGTAGAAAGTTAAAGTGGAAATTTTAATATCATAACCAGATAGTTAGAACTAGAGAAATGTATTTCACAAGTCACATGATATATTTGATCGCTAACGATTGTCACATATGAGTAGGAATTGTTGACTTTGTTTAGTTTCCTCTTTACTGCAGCTAGCCAATAGGTTATGAGCTTGATAGACTGAGCATATCGTAATTAGGTAAATATAAAGTGATTCATTATTACAGGAATGTACATCAAGCAGCGACTAGGTGTGGTATAAGTGATAAATATACAACGCATTTTTTTGTTTTATTCGAAATTGCATTTACTTCTAGTGAATCATGGTGAGCACATGGAATTAATATCCTGTTCTAGGTGCTATCAGTTATTGCGATATTTCCAATAGATTTTTTCCATTAGTAGAAATCCCTGTCTATGAAGCTAAGTTAGGCATCTTACAAGAAAGGCTTATATGGATAAATGGAGTAGATTATTACCATAGGTTAGCTAAAGTAACAAATTGATATCATAAGCGATATAAAATGGGTATGGTATGAAAATCCGTGAAAGACAAACTTACAATAAAAGCATCATTGCAATCGTATTTGCATATCAGTATGATAACGTTTTGTATCTAAAAGTTAACATATGTCACGTATACTATTCTGTATTGAGATTCTCTTCTTGGAAAGACCTTAAAATCGATATTGGTAATGAGACAGTAGAAAATTTTAAGTCCTGCTTTATTTTATGAAAATAGCCAAATAAGTGATCTATAGCATTTGGTCAAAAAATAAAATCGCGCCCGAACAATAAAGTTCTAAAATGCGATCACATAAAATATCTAGCAAAATTATGTTTCAGGTGTGATTATAACCAACACCGTACTAATTTTCATAAGTAAAGTAGGGTAGTCTTGAATTGCTACAAATTGCTATTATCGTAACTTACGATAATAATAGACATTTCGATAAGATGGCCTTTAGCAAACAAATAAACTGATGTTGTTGAATATTATTTACATGATCTACGTTGCATATAGAGCTTTTATAGGACGACTTGATAAATACTTTCTAAAATTCTTGAAGTTGTACAACCGAATGTAAATTCAAAATATTATGTGATTACGATCTAACCAATAACATAATCACGATAATTTCTATTTCAGCGAAAAGGTGATGATACGAAGATCGAAGTGTATATCATCATATCGATATACAGCATTAAAAGTTAGTAACTGTTAATTTAATTTCAATTCATTTAATCTAATTTGAAAGGTAGACTATAATATATATAATTAATTTATTTACGTTAGACTAGACAGGCAAGGCCGTTAGAGGCTTGTAGTTTAATAATAATTCATGAAGTGCAATTCTTGATTATGACTGAATTTGAACCATTAAAAATATTTTAACAACCCATTGATTAAGATGATAGAAAATTCTTATTATGTTTGGATGTCAGTTATTCTATGCATAAAAGTTAGGAAATTTTAATACCTAAATTAATAGTTCCATTGTGTATCGAACTGATTATTAAATCAACCTTAGCCAGGACTTTGGCTTCGATTGCATCATAATGTGTCATATTCATGTTTATATAAAGTAATTTTATGAAGTGACTCTTGATAATTATAATATGCTACATAATATGATTTTATCGGAAAAATTACAGATAGCTGAGAGAGATATCTTTCATGGCAAATCTTGCAGAGATTGAGATCTTGCACAGTATATTATAATGATGGAAAAAAATCTTCAGAAGATAACAAATTACTACTCTACTGTTGCGATATACTCAGCTATGAGCTATTTTGAGTTACCTAGCAATCTACCCAATCGAAGGTTGTACAGCATTCCTACTCAGCTATATTTGATTATTCTATCGCTTCTTTATGTATATGTAGCACATATAAATGGATATATGCATCATGCACTAGCTGCAGTTTATTCCTAGATAAATAAATTTCATTCTCTGATAGTCAGAACTTTTGATGTCATTTCAGAGCTATCGATTATACTGCTAGCCATTAGTCTTTACATAGTTTATCCACTTCCTAGAGGATGGATTAATTCCTCTCGTAATTGTCATCTTGCCTTATGGTACAATTCATATTGTCAGACATATTGTATGCAAAATTTTTTCACATTTTAAATTTTGTACTGTCTAAATTGTAAGATAAGTAGCTTATACTATAGCACAGTAGAGATCTAAGTGTTCTTAGAATCTGAATTCTGCTATCGTATCGGTGACAATAATTATAATTTAATTGCTCTATGTATTAATTAGCCGTCGTAGAATATAGCATAGTATCTATACGCAGATCACTAATATTACTTGATCGCATCCAATAGCATTGGATCAAGTACCAGGTCGGGAATCCTTTGTGTTATACTGTATTAATTGATCAAAGACGCATTCTTGTAGGACACAGTACTTACCGTAGCTGTAAGATAATTGCATTCGATTAGCGCTATAATGGCGTAGGTTTATAATTACGCCACATCATATTTGATTACTAAATCTTTATGGTCTTTAAGGCGTAGGTGTTGAACCCTGGTGCTGCCTGATACTACGTATTTTGTTCCGGAACCGGAATGTAAACAGGTTACACAGATCCTGCAATAGGCCACCAGAAAAATAACCTCCTATTACATTACTCCCTGATCATGAAATGTAAACAGGCTATGCAAACGCTCCTATGAGCTACTAGAAAAAAACGAGATCAATGCACAATACTATGTAGAAGTGACTGCCTATAGTAAAATACATCTATAACTCTACAACATAGGGAATCGAGCATAGGCCTTCGACGTTAATTCGTAGTATTCCTCTATTTAATAATCATTCTCATTTACTGTCCCTAAATAAAATCTTGTATTATAACAATACAAAAATCACGTTAATAGTTTTCAAATGCATATCATAAATACTGAGTAATTTCATAAATATTTCACTGCTGGAGCGTGAATCAATGAATTAATTTTATTATTAATGGTGGTTAGGATCATCACGTCAAGATCTACAAATGTCGCTATGGTCCTATATGACCCCTTGTCCGTCTCTCGTACATGGTACACTATCCTACTTTAATAACCCATATATGGCACTTTACCTTACTCTACACTATAGTAAGGTAATCCAGTGGAAGTCTGTAGCCATGGGGATTCGAGATACCCATAGTCTGCCAGTATCGTCTTCCATCTACTACTCCCAACATGTCAACAACCTGGTGGAGCGATGAATGGAGCAAATTTATCGAGTGCTATCGTCATAGTAATCATGAATTGAGTTTCGATCCATCTAAGGTATGTCTATATATAATATGATTAAGTCTATCGCTTTTATAAGGGTAACAACAGTCACTATTTTGCTAATGTCTCTCCTCATTGACTCGATCGCATTGAATGCATGGATGCCGTAGGTGACATTGGAAATTGTACAGTCAATCGAGAATGACAACTCCACTGACAGCCTTACTTTGGTCTTAACGACTATATGTCAATTAATGATGAGCTTTAAAGCTGAAAAAAAGGCCATAATTGAGCTAAGGTTTATACTAGATTGGATAACGATAATAATTTGGCTAGATTTATTTCTAAATAACGTTGTCTTAAATGTAGAAATCTATGCAATCGTATTCCAAAATGGTGCTCAGCTGGTTGTTTCTATCGGACGATTCACTCTTTATTGGATGAGCAATTGTATTGGAGTCAAGAATCACATTATGCGGTATAAAATTACTGAGGTACTGTAATATTTCAATAGTTGCGTTAAGTAACATGAGATATTTCTCACCCTATGGACAGAAAACGCTGACAGACGTGGTACAGTGTATTATAGTCAGTGATAACGCATCGGAATGGCTGTTGGAAGAGCCACCTAATTCACATGATAATCAACATCAAAATGATCTACTAATGTTTTGTGCCAATCTAATAAGGGAATTACATCTGATAAAGTTAAAAGATGAAAATGATGGTGAGAAGATACTATATTCGGATAATTGTATAAATGCAATGTGATACTACTACAATTATTTAGTACAACAAATAGCTTAAAACCTGATATCGCTTGTGTAGTACTAAATCCTAGAGACGTTGAACTATATAACACCAAAGCCTACTTCAGCATACACATTTTGGCATCCTTATTACGTTGTGGAATTACGAAATCTGATAACTGCGAAGGGGAAGGAAATAACTGTACTCTTGTTTGGTCGTTAGTTAGAAAGATTGCCTGCTCTGCTTTCATATTCTTTGCAGCATGTCATAGTAATGAGGTCAATTATGCAAATAAGAATCTACCATGGATTACACCTGAAGCAATTGAATATATTGATGGTAAGAAAGTAATCCTGCAGTAGTGTAATTTTTTCACGTTTAGGTGAAAACAAGTGCAAAGGACGGTCATAACAGCTCTAAGTATTTCTAATACATTCATTTACTACTGCGAAATGTTTCAGTTTCATCTACATGCTTATAACCATGACTTTTTATGTACTACCTCTTTAATTATGATTTTAGATTTAATATCCGCCCTGCTACGGACGTGTAATCTTAATAATGTTACGTCCTTATTAACTGGAGTAAATCGTTCGGAAAGAACTGCTAATAAAGGTAAGGATAAAATCTGAATAGTACATCAGAAGCGATCATTTGTCTCATAGTCATAAATTAAAAATTTTTACTGCAAATTAGGAAATTTTATCAATCGTTATCCAGATGGCTTCTTATCATTAATTATGAAAGAAATGCAGCCCTATATATGCCATTCTAACTGGAAATTATATCCAATAGCGAAATATTGTCTAGCTTGGATAATTTCTAACGTTAAGGCAAGGCAAAAATTATTCATTTACGTAAATCTTTATCCTTTTATATGTCAACGTACTAACTAAGAATCCTTTCTTTCAGCATCCACATTTAAATAATCACCTAGACTCTTGCCTTCCTACAATTTTAACTCTAATTGATGATCATCAGGTATCGCTTACTCCATGTTTCACATTTGTGATAAAGGTTGCAAATAAACTTGTAATGCAAATAACCATGTAACATTGCCTATGGATTAAGTTATGTCGTTAAGCTGTATCCTATCTATTAATAGGTTGAGAATAAGATAATAAGCATCAAGTGCCTGAAACATGTTATTGACAATGTGGTAAAAAGACTATTCCACTACCAGTTTATTAATCACGAAAGCATTTTATAAGTTTACCTATTATATATTTGAATACCATGTAGGATGCTTCCGAGCTGAAACGATATGAACGAGCAAGTGTTATTTACCATGTCAGTCTATCAAAAAATAATACCTGACATATTTAGTCATTGTATTTCGTAAATAATATATTGTATTATCGTGTATTACACGTCATAGTTAGCAGTTAGCGTCGACTTGAAATATTGTCCAATTTTTTTTGTGTTATCACAGGCACTATCGCAACAACTATATCTAAGAGAACCAACGCTGATACCTGTTCTTCATTCATGCTTGCTAAGTATCCTTGAAGTGATAGAAAAATCCCCAAGGGATTATAGAAATGCTCCTCGGAAGGTATTTGAGCCCTCTCAATTACTATCATATTAGCAAAGAAAATTGATTTAAATGAATTATTTCACATATTTCAGTTCGATAATTTCGATAAAATTATATCTACCGTATTAAATTCAATGGAGTTTGAAAGCGAAATAGCACTTCGTAAGGTAGGTCTCCTACATCATTGAGGTACCTTTTTAATTTATTGAAACATATAGTGCTCTGTATGAATAGAATTCTAATGTTGTTTAGGCTTATGCACAAAACTTGTACAAGTTTATCGAACATATGGGGATTTCGATAGTAAAGCACATCAACGTTAGTGACAAATGATTTATGTTTTGCTTTCCCGTACATACTGTATCAGGTATGAGCATCGGTAATCTTGTAAATTTTCAGAAAATATTGTCGGTCCTGATATCATACTTGGAAGTCTATGATGGGCCTACTGAGCATATCCGATTTCTAATCCTTAAAGCTTTAAAGTACCTTATCATAGAAGCATGGCCTAGGTATTCCCTTATCTTGACAATGTTTTATTGTTAACTGAAATAACATTACAATTTCTGATAAAAGAGCAAACCTAAACTTGCCGCCTTGCCGTTTTTTCGCAACTGTTTTGTAGAATTCCAGCTCATTTCGGAAAGATTTTTAAATCTTTATCACGATTGTTAATAGACGTTCGTGGTATTTCCGCGACTACAACTACTCCTATAGAAGGTTTGTCGTGCTAACCCTTGAAAGAGTATTTTCGTTTTGCGAGGTATAAAAGTGTCTGCTATACTAACATAATATAATCTTTGCGCTGTGTACTGGTATAATTCTGGAAAATATGCAAACTAGTTGAAAATAAACTATTTCATGACACCGTCCAAACGATGAAATTACTAAGCAAGTGTTGCCCGCAATTGTTTAAGGTATGACGACGTTTACGGCCAGTATCATAGCACACTGTAAATACCGATGCGTGCTAACTATTACCTTGCTAGAGAAACGTTTTGCAGTACTTCATTTTAACGTTACTACTGCCAATTATTCGAATCTTCAACCTATTCTCAATTGTAACTTCATTGACTTCAAGGAATATATGCAAAGTATACGATCACTCAACATTCCGCCACTCGATGAATTTATCTCTCTGTACGAAAAAGTACATTCAGAGATCATTGAAATCGTAGATTTTATTAAAGGTATGCATAATATTAATTTATAAGGAGACAAAGTTATCATGAATTTCTTGCATTGCATTAAGACTTACGACTACCCTGTGCTGATTTAATGTTGAAGTAGTATACAGTAATGATCATATTTAGAGGTAAATGAGGCTCGGTCAAAGAGATAATCCAGCCTTTCTTTTGTTACAGATTCACCAGATGCCATTACAGCCCTACGATTAGCTCTTTCTTAATCATATTCCTTGTTTTGATTAGTAGCTATCACTCCTGGTTGAATTAACTCATTGCACTGTACGATAAGGTTACGATCATGTAAAGATTTATTATAGGTGTATGATAGCGAGGGTATCCTTGATAGGATTGTAAAGATCGTCACATGCACGGTCAAAGTTTATTTCCTACTATAAATCAATACATTTCTCGTAACTGTATTTTATATCAAGTTTGGAATAGCATAACGTTATTATCCGCTCAATCTAGAAGATATTTGCAATGCTGTATTATAGAGTAACGTGTACAAAGGATATACTCACACCAATAATTGCAAACATACAACATTAAGTTTATATGAGATAATTTACAAGTAGCTAAATTTTTTAGTGATTTATACATAAAATAACAATGTTAAATTTGTTCAGCAGCTATCAAGAACTGTCAATACTTTGAGTTATTGCAAATAGACTCCGATTTATCCATTTAACGATGCCAATAACATATAACTGATGCTGTTAACCGTTTTCATGATTAATAAAATTACTGATTGACACCCAATTATTACTTTAAGGAATCCTTGATAATATCGTTGATTTTTTCAGGACTATTCTTTAAACCAAAGAAGACACTGTTAACTCCACTATTCCAATATTCTTTGAGCTTCTCTGTAGCCACATTATCCTGTAAAGGAACGAGTACTGTCCATTAGTCATAGCGCCATATAATACTATAGGTGAACAAGTTTTGCATTTAGCTCACGTTTACAATGTAACTGTGCCCATCATCTGCATTATAATTTCACAATGAAGAAACTTTAACAGCTATATATTTTACATGAATACATAGTACATGGTACACAGTAATCATCCTGATTAAAGTAAAGCTAGGTCCTATATACCGTATATTAAAATACAGTATCATCGTCTAAGCTACTGGTACTGGGTAATGGTCTAGCCACTTAAGGTTAATACAAGCATATACTGTACAGTAGTAGGAAATACTGCTAGTATCAGATATAAAAGTTAGGCAGCTCAAGATCCGTTTGCTGTAGATAGTCCCTAATCTGTCTTCAATTCGTCGCAATAGTGTGGAATTGCTAACTATCGATACAAATACATTTAAAACTAGTTCAACTTTGCTAGTATCAGATCTAGTGTTAATATCTAGGTATTGCGTCTGAAGATGTATACGTAAATAATCTTGACAATATAATTGTACACATCGCCTGCATTCTAGTTTACGAGAAAGATTCAATTCATCGTAACAGTATACTGTAGAGTTGCTAGCTAACGACACAAAAACGTTCAAAACTAGTTGAACTTTGTTAGCATCAGATCTGGTATAAGTACTGTATAAGTATGTTAAAATATCGATGTCTAGGCCAGTGGATAGAAGCCTGATTACTTCAAGCTACTACCATACCGTATGGGAGGAGATCTTATTTGCTAGGATGATGAGAGAGAGGAGTTTGATTAGACAGCTCTATTTACTGTCGGCAGTGTATCATCTGTCTTCAATACGTCGTAATAGCGCGGAATAACTTTATAACTAGTTAATCTTTGATAGGGTGAGATCTAGCATACGATCTCGTTCTAGCTGGAAATGAATAGTGGCATTTATCGCAAAAATATGGACCCTCAAACTGTAGGTAAACAACATCTCACAAGACCAACTATCATCCTGGTATGATCAACGATTTAACCCAATGTTTCAATTACTTACTCTTAAATTAGATAATCTGTCCTCAGCTGCCATTTTCTCCGCTTGATTCAATTGGGGTAAAAAGGTTGCTTTGACTTTATTATAAACTTCACCGCTGTTATTGGTAGAATTGCTCCATAATCCTTCCACAACAGTCAAGTAGACTGCACCTACTCCAATACCCACTTTGAAGGCAAATTTAGCAAGTCTAAATGATCGACTTCCACTCGACGCCATCGATTTATGTCTGTTTAATTACAAGCTGTCTTCAATAACCGATCTCTCACTGAATTCCGATAATAGAATAGCGTAAAAACTACTCTTTAAGGAGATCAATCTAACCACAAGGAACTTACCTCCCTACAGGAGTACTATTTTCATCCAATATGGGGATGCCTTTAACTTAAATGTTGCAGGAACAGTTAGAGAGTTGATCAATTTGAGTAGTAGCCAATAATCGCACTGATGATGCTATAGTACTCGCTATAACTTCGAGTCAAGAATGTAGCACAATACTATCCATAGTATAGCTGTCGGCTCCGGTAATCATTTTTTCAACGGTGCCAGAGAGGCTATGCCGCTGTCTGTTCCGTCTGTTACATGACGTAACCATGCTGCAGATCACAGCGTCTGCGCAGTAAAAGAGCGAAATTTTAATGTTTTCGCTCCAATATGGCGTTGAATTTTAATTTTGGGATTTGTATGCATTCATCCAACAGTAAATCACCAAAAAAATTCGCACTCTTATATTGCCGGTGAAATTGATTAACTACCGTACTATATATCAGGTATATACTGTTTAAGATGGCCGTATTACTATAGTGTACTATAGTTGATTCATTATATGCTTTCTTTTGCTATGCTACTATACTGTATGATAAGATATTGCCTGCTCTACCTGTGATATACTGTAGAATTATAGGTATTAGCTGCTTCTTTACTGAATAAATAAATAATAATTACTACTAGATTATAGGGATATACATAATAAGATTATGCCTGCTGTACCTGTGATATACTGTAAAATTACAGATATTAACCGCTTCTTTACTAAATAAGCAATGATTGCCACTAAATGATAGGGATATACATAATAATAAGATTATACCGATAAATAAGAGCATATAAGCGCAATCATAATTGCATATTTGCATCTGTTACATTTTGGACAAGCATTTTAGTGCTAAGGACCTTATGCACATACAACAAGAACGCTTTTGCAAATGGGAGAATATGCTGATTACATATTGCGTATAGCTACTGTGCTTAGTTTGAATACTGTAGGCAAAAAAAATTGAGAAAGTTCCTTTTTTTTGAGACAGTGAATGTTATAAGAGCCTTAAATAGTAAATCATATAATTGTACTATAATATTACAATAAAGCTTTTGAAAATGAGAGAATATACCGATTACATAATTGTATCTGTTGTGCTTTGGGTGAGTATTTGAATACTGCACGCAAAGAATATAAGAAAATTCCCCTGTTTGTAATAGTAAATGTTATACAGGTCGTATACATATGCATTATTATGCAACGGCGCCTCATTAACGTCTCTAAAAATATTGAAATTTGCTGATGATGCCTTCACAGTCATCATCTTTTGGATCAGCATTTTGGTACAATACTTGAAGAATATGAGCAATGGTCACTATCGTAACAATAAATGTTATAAGAACCTTCTGGGTATGTACAGTATATTATTAATTTATATTATATTTGTAATGTAACATTACAATAATGCCCCTGAAGTATGAGAATATGCCGCTCTACACATATGAATGAGCTGTTAGTAATACTCTACTAACCGCCACAATAGATCAAATAGTCGTTAGTTTTCCTACTCACAGACCATGTTTATATCATTCATTTATTCAATTATTTGTTCTGATATCTCTATAAATCTGTCATCATTGCACATATACATATAATTGACTAATTGACCTAGTTCACCGAAAGAATCAGAGCGATGTGTATGATCGAGATGGGAGCTATTGTACTGCAGATAGTAGTCCATAATTAGTAGAAATCTATGTTATCATATACCACTGACTACCAACTGTTTGGTCCAGTGGTAAAATCTATTAATTCTACTGGGTATTCTGCTTTAAAGCCGCTAGAAAACTATTTGTTAGCAACTTTCCAGAATAGAGTTAACTAGGCGATATCGACTAGATCAGCGACTCTTTGCAAAAATTAAAAGTGACAACACCATTTATGGTACAATAATGCTCAATGTTGGCATTAATAAGGTCCTTAACGTAGACCCAATTTAGACTGCTACACTGTGCCATCACAAGCCACCAAGTTACAAACTTCATTCTAACCTTACTCAGTAACACTAATTTAGATATAGTAACGAAAATACCTGCCTATATATGGTATTACGGTTTAAGATCCCTATAAAGGAATATAATCCTTTAAAATTTTGTTGCAAATAGCAATCCAGCGTAGCTACTGCCAACCAGTACAGTATAATCAAATTAGTCGACTTCCTAAAATAAAGAAATTCTCCATATAGCAATGCTATAACTTTTCATTTTTACTATCGTGAATGTCAATACAGGGTACTCCTAGAATGCTATATTACGATAGCAACGAGATGACGGGATGTTATGAAAAAAACGCATATAAGTAGTTTATCAATTCTTCTTTACGTCTTATTAATTGACGCTCAGCCATGGCAAAAATTTGGCTTTCAAGTAATCTAATCCTATCGTTGCTGCTAGAGTTTCTTTTAGTAGGTTATCAAATACAAAATACAAATGGAGCGATATCATCTCAGGGAATCAATAATCGGGCACTATCACACAATCAAACATTGTCACCGTCAATTAGCTGGAATAAGTTAAAATTTCGCTTCGTTCGATGCCGACATGATCCTAGTAAGCAATATTGTTCAAACTACGCAATAATGCTGGTTAATAATTTCCCAAACGACGGCAAAATGGCTGCCAATGTCCTCAAGCTCTATAATAAATTAGTCCACAATGGATTTCGTTCCAGTAATATTCGAGTCTTTTATGGCAATGGTAGCATACCTATAGAATATTGTAAGTTACAGCTAGAATTCAAGAAATACACTTGTAATATATGAATTTAATTATGTAATTTGCTTATCGAAACAGTAGCACTAGTGTATTACCTGAAATAACAAGGTTTGTAATGATTACATATTATTTCGTCTATGCTACTGATAAACGCTGTTGATTTATAGTAAGGTAGATAAAGTCTAAAGATTTGGTCAATGTAAGAGAATCATATAATATATCACTAGAAATTAATTCTACTTTATTAATCACATCTAGCAACCACAGTTTGCAAATTAGCTAGGTATTAATTTAAAGAAAAAGATTGATGAATCATATCCCTTGCAGATGTAGCATATCGTCAGAATCGACACTAAATGCTATATTTAAGATAAAATTTTATACCAATCTCCGAGATCTCAATCATTTAATTTAATGTTTACTCTTTAGCTGATATTCCAACCTTTGGAAATATGCGATTATATCCAGCAACCTCAACTTATAAGCGTCCATTTCTCCGTTTGATAAAACAAATGTGTAGTTGTAAGATTCGATCAGGCCTTATTTACGTTAGCAATCCCACCTCAAAAGACGGTAGCATTTTGCTACCAAAGCCATCAGACAAACAAACTATTGCAGGGAAAATGAGACGCGTTAAACTTTCAGCTAATGCATTTGGAGTTGCCCTCCTTGATTGCCAAGCCAAAGATATGCATATTATTGCCGATCAAAGATTAAAAATTCCGGACGTTGTCCATGAAGAATACTATGAAAGGAATAACACACGATTTTATAATGTGACTTACATTGGTTCCTTGTATTATAATGAAGATTGTGTTCGAGGCGATATGACAAAAAGACTGATCAAAGTTGACTGGAGATATTGCAACGATCAAGTAGTTAAGGTAAATAATTTCAAACCGAAATTCCAGAATTGATCTTAAAGAAATTATATCTAACACAATTAAATAACGTGGCACACTTTTGATTTAGTTTATGAAAAATCCCATGTATAGCCTGAGAGATAAATGCCAGCCGGCAATTTATCGAGATTGGAGGAGGAAAATTCCAAACAGAACTCTCTTTGGCTCCCGTTGTGGGAAGCATCGCACATCTAGCAGTGAACTTATCCCAGCAATGTGGTGTTAAATTCGTACAAGCTGAGATATTATCTGCGATTAATTTTATATACTATGCATAAATCGATTAAATCTATCGGACAGTTTCAATAATAGATCGTTACTAAATGGCTAAAGTAAAATAGGATGCATAATCAATAATAGTACAGCAATATACTTTATTATTGTAATCCTTCGCTATATTGCCAGAATATCCTTTAACGTCTTTATTCGTTACGTCCAAGTTATGGATTTAATTGTTGCTTATTTAGGAAATAAATTATGTAAATCGTTGATCTATCGGGTCAAAATCTATATTTTACGTAGTTTATCCAGCGAAAATGATGCTATGAAATGTATATGCATATGCTTCTATAAGTTGCCATTTTAAATGTGATAGTGAGATTACCTATTGAAGAATCTGATTACCACTAGAGATTCTGGGTATAATCATTTTATTATCGCTGCAGTAAAAATCTCCTAAACATAAAGAAGTAAGCCCTGGAATAGGAAAAACTTATCCGGAAGAGTACACGTACATCCTTGGTTGATGGTTTCATAACTTGATAACTTTGTATGCTTTGTCAGGTTTGATTACTGGCCGCTTTACTAGCTGTTTGATCGATGTTAGCGATCAAATCTACCATGCATGATTTGTCAGTAATCCTCAATTATTAAGAGTTAGCTTGAATATCAATCCTGCGTAAGATGAGTGCACAAAACTATTAAATCTCTCTAAGTAGAATATCAGTCCCAAAATTAAATGTATGGATTGATCTCCGTAAACTACTTCAAATCATAGCAGCTAATTTCACGCTTAGCTTACTATTAGCTGTAAAGTATCCAAAATTAGACCTTTCCGTGACGGCATAAACTTCTCGAGCTATAAAGCCCGGAACGAAATGTTAGAAATAGAACTACTAGGAGGCACGTAAAACCACTGTAATATAATTCTCATCATAACAAGATCTATCAACAGGCAGATCATTAATAATCTCGAAGAGATTTTAAAACTCTGGTTTCATTGGCATTCCAATGAGCAATATAAGCATGATACATTATCACGATAAGCCCTGAAATTGGCGAAATGTCAGCATTAATATGATACTAAAGCTTTCTTTAAGAAAGATGATATCATCAATCTGGTGCGGTAACAGTACTTTCTTTTAGATATTTTATTACTTTATGGTAGCTATTTCGATTAAATTTATATGTGTGCACTTATTTATAATAGAAAATCTATTGCATTTTTCTTAGCTATGATGAACTCAACATAAGGAAGCCAGTTTTGAATCGATTTATGTAATATAAGCAATCCTCTATTACAAGTCATTTTAATCCACTTAATAAACTCTGCTTACATAACAGCAATTGTTTATTGCAAAGTTGACCAATATTGCAAGTTACCCAATTATTATGAAGAGAATGACCTCTGCCTCATGCTGTGGAGTTTACGATTATTTTATTATTTAAAATACGCTTTCATGGTTCGGTAAAGGATCACAAAAGAATGTTTATTAGTCCAACATCCTCGTAGCGCACCCTATTTACTAATTTTTACACCATGCTATCAGCAGGGATTGATAAAGAAGTACTTTCTATTCTCTATTAAGTAAGAGCATTATTTCAACAGTAGAAATGAAAAATACTTTAACTTGTAATTTAAAAGTAGCTGTAATTAGTTTATTGGAGAGATTCCGTTGGAGTAGGTAGATGTTATATTAATTTAAGCGATAGAAGAAAAAATAAACTATCCATTATTAATAACGAAACAGCGCTTGTATTGACTTATGCCGTATATGGTATCAGATTATAATAAAATATACCTATCACACTACTTCTAATATCAGCAATCCATACAATTTCATTTTAGCATTTCGAGTAAATACAATTTAAAAGTATGTAATGATGTTGATATGATATTATACATTACCAATACCACTTTAATACACTTATCTTATTCCCTAATAGAGATAATTATCTCATTCCGTCATGTTTTCTTAAGATTTAGTAAGATCTAAGTAATATTTATAAAGATCTCATTAAGATCATTTTACCCAATACCATGTCAACCATAGTTAAAACCATTGCTCTTTTACGGAAAGAATTACTAGTTTCGATCATATGTTATAAGCTTATATCAATAATGCTTTAGCTAAAGATTTATCTTATTTAGCTATTGTTTAGTAGGTAACAGTAATGTCTAGTTCATTTAATAGTAAATATCCGGTCTGGCTATCATATATTACGTAAAGTAATACCTGGTTCCATTGAATGGTAAGAATCTGATTTGACTATCATCTAGTATATAAATGTTAATGGCTGGTTCCATTAAATACTTGGAATCTAGTCTGACTATAATCTGGTAGGTAAATATTAAGGGCTGATTTTATGTAACAGTAAAAATATGTTAAACATGATGACAATAAAATACTGGCCTGTTGATTTAATCTATAAATTGTTATTTAGCACTCAGAATTAGTCATTGAAAAATTTCTTTATTTCTAGATGTTCCTGTTCATATCATCTTCAATTCATCCAACTTAATGAGTACTGAGTCTGTACTTGTATAGTTATCTACCCATTCTTTCAGCTTTGATAGCTTAAAAGCTATTCGAAAAAAAAGGAATTTAAACATCTGTTTATTAAAGCTATTTGAATTTAATAATTTATAATTAATTTATAGGATAAAATAGGACACCTGTTCGTTAATATAGTGCTGTATGGTGCGACTGATGTAACCACTACAAAGGATACTTCCATGTTATTCTTTTCATTGAGTTAATTATATGCTAACAAACATCATTCTAAATAATAAACCATAATACCTTTATTTATAAAATTAATACAGCATAACTTTTCGATCAGTAATTCTATTTTAATACACCAAATGAACAAAATCTGAAAACTGACATAACCATGTTCTATATTTGAATAATCTTATATTGTTCATAGATACGGATATTTTTTATAGATTACGTAAAAGTAATCGTAATATTGGTTGTTATAGCAATTTATTTTTACTCGCAGTCGTTATGCTATTGTCAGCTTATTTTTAGCTACTCAATGCCATTTTACATAATAATTTAATAGTAATTATTTCATTTCCCATCCAAATAATTCTATCTGCATTGTACTGCATATCTTTTGATTTCTATAACCTTATTCTCAATAGAATATGTTATTTCCATGGCAACAGGTCTGGCAGAACAATCGCTGATATTATACTCTTGTCAAGCCAATGACGGGAAAGAATAGAATTGTCAAGTATGTTGCAAGCGATATAATTCACTAAGAATCAATTATTTCTATCAGTTTAGCTTATAAGAAAGTATTTTAGTCTATCTAGTTCATAATAATTCATTACATCAGGATTCAAGAAAGCAAGCAAGAAGAAATTGATTTCATTTGAGCTATAATATCAACCATCATTGGCACTCTGATAAATTAAGAAAATCATTCAAAATTTTAAATAGTTGTGTGTGACATTACTTTACTAGTCTCTGTTTTAAGAGATTATTTGGACGATAGTCCGGCGCTGCCATTGACTGGTAGTAAGATTTGAGTAAAGAAAAAAGATGAAATCGCTTGTGATAGCAAATTTAGTATTTTTACAGATCATTATCTTCAATGGATATGGAGACGCTCAAGAAATTTATAAATTTGGTAAGTTAAAGTAATTATTAAAGTATTTTATTTACAATTCGTGAAAATTTTCGATTATTGGCTAGTTCGTATTGGTCTACAAAATGTAACTTATGACACTAATTTATCAAAAGAAAAAGCCACTTTAGAATTAGTAAAACTTGATTACATCACACTACTTTCTAGGTACATTTTTACTTTTCATCATCAATAATTATCGATGATTAACAGATCCTCTTGTAGATTAAATTTATCATTCGTCACTATAATTATGAATGATAACTTTATTCTACAAACGGGTCCGCTAATCATTTCTTAACTCTATAAGATAAGATTTTGGTGTCATATTCTAGCCCTGACCGTAACCCTAATTCTTTACTCTCAACCTTGACATCTACATGCAAACCCTAATTATTAATGATTTTTATAGCAAGGCATGCTACTTCGTTAAGAATGCTCCCTATTTTAATATTGACTTATTCAATTAACAAAGAAAAGTCAAGCGAATCTATCATTCTACCGATCAAATTATGAGAAATATATATTTTGATACCCTTTATCATATGAACCCGACAAACAGACTTTAATGCACAATCTTTTTACTCATTTCATTTCAATTAATATTACTTTTTAATTTTAAAAACAAATTAGACTCCCTTTCTAGCACAATGATACTTGCCATATTTTAATATAATTTCAGTATCTTGCATTAAACAAATCATGTTTGTTATGTCGATTTTTTCATGGTTGATTACTATAACATCAATAGCGCTAAGAGCATGGTCTAAAATCCGACTAAAATCAGAGTCTTACCTTATTTATTCAAGATGATAAAAGCGTTGATATCAACCGATATCGTCATCGACAGGAAAATGAAGAAAAAATTTGAAACTTCTGCAAAGTTAATACAGACTCTATCGTACTAATCTCTGACTTTACGATAATATATTCTTTGCTTAACCGTAAAAGACAATGTGCTGGTTGTTCTTTTTTATGTAAACTAAATCTCTAATAATAATTAGCGTCTAAAATTGTTTGTAGTCCACAGTAAAGTAGAAACATAATTCTCTTAATGAGTCGGAATATCGTTATAATCTAGTTAAGTAAAATGTAAATGTTGTTTTAGTACATGTTAGTAGTTCATCCATTCCGTATTAATTTATGAACATATTGTTTATTTCAACATTGAGTTACATACACTTAACCATGTTTATACTCAATTGACGTTGAAAATAGTCAACACTAGAACAAAAGTTTTGTTGACTATTCGGATTCGAATTACAATAAGTCAAATGTAATTGTAGTTTTAACTAAAGCCAAAACATTAAAAAGCCACCTAAAACTATCGTAATTATCTTCATACTTATTAGACGAAGCTTTCGTCTTTAATAAGATGCTAGTACATCGTGCATCAAAATAAAATCTAATTATTAAAAGTTATGATAATAACTTGACTTGGAGCATCTTTTGTTCTTTCGAAGGTAAAAGATGACTTTAATATGAATATAAGCAACATTTTAAATTAAGACAGTTTTCTATATTCACTGTTATTAGGCGGCTATTATACTTTTCTTAAACCAATATATCATGCATACCATGATTCTCATATCAGAGAGTTAGTTTAGTAATTTCTTTCTTACTAAATATCTCCATTTTCCATAACTTATGAGTATCTTTTTAGACGAAATACGGACAAAAATTTTGGAAAACTTTCTTTAGATGCTTGATGTTTATGATGGTTAACTTATGAATCTACTGGCCGTTTAGGTTCTAGAAATTCATAAATTCATAAATAATACCTCTAGGATTATTCTACTTTTTAACATCAGAATGCCAACATCCAAGTTGTTCTGGCTCTGAAAAACGCGTCATTTTATGATAGATTGCCTAGTAGTTTAGCTAACAACTAATCAACTCAATTACTCACGCATGGAGTAAAATTAACTGAAGTGTTCATGCTAACTAAACTCATCGATTGATTAAACATTTTAATAATCTTTGTCATCATAGTTAATTTAATTCTAACGATCTTCTAGGTCTTATAACGCCACCCCAATTTCCTGAATTAGAAAGGGCCATAAATATGACGATGGCAATGATTAATAATAAGGAAATTGCTAGTCTGCAATTAGGCAATGTCAAATTATCTGGAATCTTTCGATCAGCCGATATATTTAGCCCGTACGATAACTTGAGAAAAGGTAAGAAAAGTAAAGAAATTGGTATTATTTAATCAGCGAAACTTGATAGTGTTAATACGGAATTAACTAAATCGCATAAATTATGAATAAGGAGGAAGAAAATTTGAAAATAATTTAATACTTTTGTAATTTTACCAATTGCTCAAATTCGATTAGCTTGTGAAATTATGAGCCAAGGCATCGTCACTCTTATTGGACCACTTTCATCAAGCGCAACAAAAGGTGTACAAAATATCTGCTCTCCACTTCAAATGCCACAAATTGCACCCGTAGCAACCGATCCATCTTTATCTAGCAATTTCAATTATAACTATTTATTAAGAATTATAGCACCAGACAATTTCCAGAGCACTGCTATTGCGTCAATTGTAGAACGATATAAATGGACCAAAATGTCCATTTTAGCCTCCAGTACAGATTTTGGTTTGTTAAATCAAATGATAACATATGACTTTGCTATAAGATTTATAATTAAGCTCTGATTTTATGATAGGAATTAACGCTTTAACTGAATTTCGCCAAATTGCATCAAGAAAACTATGGAGGATTCTGTCATTTGAATTATATGCAATTCAAAATAACTCCTATGTGGCAGATATTGAAGGTTACTTACAGAGGATAAAATCTGCAGGTGAAAAAAATGATAAGCTAATAATCCAAATAAATATTCATCACCTAAAAGATATACGAGTAATTTACTCTCTCTTATAAGCAAATTACGTTGGATAAGTAAATTATCTCGTTATAAATATCTCAATGATAATTTAGAAAACAATGTTTTTTGCTTTTTTAGGATCTAAAGTCGTTATTTTAGGCTGTGAAGGAGAGCATGCTACACAAATATTTGAAGCAGCAAATCGGCTAGGTCTACTATCACGGGGCTGGGCTTGGATTGTTGTTGACACTGTTCCATCACTGGTAAATAAAATGATATGTAATTAATTGATTTGTTTTACGGAGGGGATATAAAATAACATTAATTGACTAATAAATTGTACTTTAGGAATCTTAAATTGATAATTAATCCTACCTTACCGAATCAATCTCAAATATTTTAGGCACCTATCCATACTGTTATTGATTTATAGCTGAATTGTATTGATGCAATTTACAGTTATTTTTAAATTTTAATATTATGACAAATCTGAATAGATATACATAATTCATTTGATATCGTACTATAATAAATTTAACATATAACAGTAACAAGTTAAGTAGAGTAGTAAAGAGTCGAAGATGAATAGAGTAATATTGCTAAATAATTAAAATCACTAGCGTAATGATGAATAGGTTGGGATGATTTTGTTCAGAACGACAATTAATTCTACTAACATGTTGTAATATGCTGATGAGAATAGTAACCATTGAAAATAAGTAAGAGCCATACTTAGTATAACGTAAGATGGATATCTTAATTGCCTATATCAAGCCAAACCTATTTAGTTCTGAATTAGTAGTAATATTGTATAAAAAATTCATAACAGTTTATTTGTCGCTATAGAAATATACATCAGACTAACATTTATACAGATAATGATTCTGCCCGGATAGTATTAATTCTAAGTTTATCAAACCCTATTTTATTCTAGTATCCTACCCTGCCTTCCTATACTAACGGCATCATTAGCTTGCGTTATTACCAAACGGAAACAAGTATACTTCGTTCTATAAGAGCACGCTATAAGCAACTTTATAATAAAGAACTGCAGGTAAGGCTTAAATACAGCTGTGATCAATATTATTTTTATCATTGAAGCCGAGATGATCAAGAATAATTTATTACTATGAGAATTTTCTACTGATAATAGGTATTACACTATCGATATATTGATGCACTATTAGCCTTTGGTTATGGCATCAAAAATATGAAACAGAAAGGAATTACAATTATTCCGACATCACTCAATTGTAGCAGCAATCCTACTCAGCCTTGGACTAATGGAGCAAAAATGCTGCAACTAATTAAAGAAGTAAAATGAATTACTCATGTGATAGAATGATTTTGAACTCTTTTACTCCTTCTATAATTTTCAAATTGCATTGAAATAGGTAATCATTATCCTTCATTGACAATATATAATGTGTATTAATGCAGAGTTCTGGCGAATCAACTTCAAGTCCGATTAATTTCACCGCATTGGGTGGACCAACCTATAAGATTTGGGATGTTGTTAATTTACATGGTACTACTTGGTCTACTGTGAGTAGTCTCGGATGTTAATTTATATCAGTAATATACTTATAGTCTATATTATTAAATTAAATAGCACTATTTTGTCCCTTGTAAGTAGCCTTAACTATTAATTTACATCACCAATGTAAATATATATGCTCCATCTCTGTGTAAGTGGCGATAACATTGTACTATACGCATAATTTTAGGTTGGAAATTTTACAGTACCGAACCAGTTAAATCTTGATGGTAATTCTATCTATTTTATGGATGGAGCTAGGATTATTGCAGATTCTGGTTCATTTTTGAAGGGAAAGACTATTGTTGTCACAACAATCATTGTAAGTCTAATTGATTTCCTACAGCAATTACGGAATCATTGTAATTGGCGGTTCTTCTAATTAAATTTGTGAATATGGTTTCATATAATATGTTAGCTAACATATAAGTTTATATGTATACCTATACTTAAAAATAGGAGTACAACATGATAAATATATTATCGTTTTCAGGAACCTCCATTTACTATGATTGAAGACAACCCTGCTACTGGTAGAAACTATAAAGGCTATATCATCGACATGATGGATAAATTAGCGAGTAGTCTAAATTTCAACTATACAGTCCGTTTAGTTGCAGACGGTCAATATGGTGCTCAAACGATGGTCGATGGTGCTCCTCAATGGAGTGGTATGGTGGGAGAAGTAGAAAGAAGAGTGAGTATATATCTGCGTGGTTGCAGATTAATATAAAATTATATCAGTAGATGCCCATTTTCACTCTATTCATTACTAGAAAGATATTTTTATTCTGTTCATTTCCATCTATACTCTAGGTGGCTGATATAGCTGCAGCTCCTCTCTCTATCAGTCCCGTTCGCCAACAAGTGGTCGATTTTTCTATGCCTTATATCGATCAAGGTTTGACGGTATTAACACTGAAAACCTCTGGGCAGACACCATCATTATTCCAGGCCTTCTTGCCTTTAACTGGCGAAGTCTGGCTATGTATCCTACTTTCAATTACATTAGTAGCTATTGCTGTTACATTTATAAATCGTTTCAGTCCATTTGATCATTATGGTAAAGCCTGTAAGCAAATTCAACCCTTGTATAATTCCAACCAAACTGGTGTTTCTGATAAAGATTACGAGACTTGGATGATAGAAAATGAAGAAGATATTGAAGCTTTCTCATTGTATAATAGTTTATGGTATACTTTAGAATCATTTTTACTACAAGGTGCTGATAGAACACCAAGATCATTCTCTGCACGCTTAATTACTGCAGTTTGGTGGTTAGCATCAGTGATAATTACTTCTACTTATACCGCTAATTTGGCTGCCTTTCTAACAGTAAATCGTCTTCAACCGAGTAAGTTTATATCTATATTCTCAATTTAAATTACTATTCATTTATAGTTCTCTTATTCTATGTGTAGAGAGAAGACTGATAATCGTACTGTATTACAGTGTGCTACTTAATCACATCAATCTTCATTTCATAAAAGCAATAATGATTACTTTAACTGTTTATTACAATTATATGGACTATCTTAATTATAGGATATATCAAATATGAACAAGTTGATAAAACGTAATTTTCGTTAACTTCTCTCCTTCTCTCTCTATATATGCAAAATTCTCCATGGCCTAAATTCTACCGCAGCAATAACTTCATTAGCAGAATTATCCAAAACTTCGGCCATTAATTATGGCGTTTTAGGCAATAGCAGTGCAGAAACTTTCTTTCAACAATCGACCATATCGCCATACATCGACATGAAACATAAATTAAAAAATGTCCAAAGCACAACTGATGGAATCAATCGAGTAGTCAATAGCTTTCAAGGAGAAAAATATGCTTTCATTGGCGATGCATCATTACTTAATTATGCCAAAAGCCAAAATTGCAATTTAACTACTATTGGTAGTTTCAAGAAAGATAGTTATGCTCTTATCTTATCGAAAGAATCACTGTTCTTAAAAGAAATTAACATTGAAATTTTTAAATTACGTGAAGAGGGCTTTTTTGAGGCGACTAGAGTCAAATGGTAAATCCTTCCACAAACTGTACTAATATGACACGTTTCATATACTTTGCATATGATAATACTTTAGTTTCTCCTTACACTATGTATTAAAATCTCCAAATTTAAGATTTACAAAGTCTTTATACATTTATAAATAACACTTAATATGTTTTACACTTAATATCGATCGCAAATATAAAAATTACGAACTAATAGTGAAATGAAATATGCGTAAATATTGTTACTAGTGTCGACGTAGACGATACAATATTTTGACACTTTATCGGGTATCGTATGCTATAAACAGAGGCTGCATGAAAATAGTGCATTAGCTTACAGTTTTCTACTACCTATACTGCAACTAAAGTCACCTAAGGTGAGTGAGAACCTTGATTCTGAGTATATCTTTGTTCGTAGATATAAACTTAAAAGAACAAATATCGAAAGACTGATGAATAATAGCAATTATATACATAAAACGTAATATTTCCAACACTTTTATTATTTAATAAATAGACCTTCGAGCAGATAGCGAATTATAAATCGTTAATATATAGCTTTTACTAACTACAGTGTGGTGCAAGGTATTTCTAAAATAAAAATCTTCGATCTGGGTTATGAAGGTAGTTCAGATGAGAATTCATATTTTAATAATGGAATAAGATTTTACGCAAAGATTTCATATTTTAGTATTTATCGACTAGATAACTCCTAATTCGTGCGTATTCTTTCTATCAAGCATTAATAACTGAAGAGCGTCCTCATAACATCAGATATGATATGATAGCAAAATATTAATTGTGTTCCAATCTTTATATTTACTTATAGGTTTGAAGCAACATGTACGACCACGACTAAAACGACAACATATGATCCCGTTAAACTTGAGAGTTTAATTGGTGTTTTTTATATTATCATGGCTTCTATTGGAATGAGTATAGTCATATTAGCAATCGAATGGACTATAGCAGGCATTCAAGACTCTCATCGCCGTAATGTCAAGGTAAATGTTTAACTATAATACCAGTAGATAAATTTTGTTTTTTCTAAATTGTTTAATTCCAGTAGAGATATTTGAAAGAGGATAATATTAAAAGCTGATATACAGCCCAGATAAGTAATCCTAACCACTTATTTAATATTACTACTTATGATAGGTTAAAAATTTCTCTGATGCTATTCGCCAACGCTTTCGCTTTGTTATTAATAACATTGCCAAGGATTTAAGCTCGAGAAGAAATGTTGAAGCTGACACAAAGCAGTCTAAAAAAGGCTCTAATAAAATTGGAGTCATGGTGTAGTATGAATGTTACAATATTATACTTAGCTGTTACATCGGTAGGATTATGAACGGAGAATATTCAATGTTACGGGAAATATTATTTATACTACGAGTAATATACGCTGTATCGAATTGTTCATATTTAATTATACTATTTATATAAGTATATTCATCTATCTCTTCTCTTTATATTTTAAGCAGTATATTTATTATTTATTTAATCCTTTTACTGTTAAATAATAGTTGATACTTATATATATTTTATGATGTAAGTATGAAGGTATGTAATGTATCGCAAAGTATTTTACATAGAAGATATTCTGACAGCTAATCCAAAAACATCATTGGTGTTGTACGCCAACAGGACTTCTATATATATAATTTATAGTGTTTTCTATGCAGGTAGTACTAATTACATCCTTTTAAATCTCCAATGATTAACTATCAGTTAGCGAGAAAATCTGGGAAAATAAAAGATCTACTTGAGTTGAATGGTTTACAAGTATACCATCATTTAAAAATAGAACTGATGTCGACAAAAAGGTTTTAATTTATACAAATCCGTAACCACTGACCCCATTTTATTAGGGGTAATAAGCATAAAGCGCTCAATTCCGAAAGCATAAATATTTCTAAATCTAACTTACTTAGAAAATTAAATTTACACGTATTTAGGCTCAATAATGTTAGGCTAATGCAGTCAGTCTTTCCTTAATTTTATTTATTTTCAAAAAATCAATTATGTGCATGTTCATCTGGACGCATAAATGTCTTATTTTATCATAGTTAAAGGAACTATGATTTAATTTTATTACTAATCAGACTGAGGAAAAGAAGATGTCAATCTGTGGATCTGAATAATTTATTCTTAGTTCATAATTAGTAGCAGTAGCTCCTTTCATGCATACTGTACATTGCGCAAGGACCTTATATCTATAAATTTTTAAACCTTATATTACCCTTTAAAGTATATCGACGTTAATCTTGGCCATGGCAATTATTCAGGGATAGCAATACATGATTTGATTACATTCTTTGAGAATATTTTACAGCAATCCCAATTCTAAGCACTTCGTACCGGAACTTAAAGATTAATGCTTACATGAATCACGATATTGCCATTATTTATGCGTATTTATAACTAATTTAATTTCAATCTAAGATAGACTTAATTCAAAGTTATAACAATATTAGTTAATCATCTATCAGGGTAAGTTTAATTTATTGTAGAACACTTTGATATCAAGGCTTACAAGTACTATTAATGCCGACATTAATCTTTATCATCATGCCTATTCGCGTACTTCTATGCCTAGTTTGATTCCATTCTTAGGAGATAATGTTGGCCCAACTCGCAGTTGTAGAGGAATTTCCGTTTCCTTAACTACTGTAAATTTCACTTTTTGCAATATACGAACTAGTGCGATCTTGATTTCCATCAGTGCAAATCTCATACCTATACAAACTCTTGGCCCGCCACCAAAGGGTAAATAAGATAGAGGATTTCGCTTTTGTTTCTCTTCTTGAGTAAATCGTTCTGGTATAAATTTCTCTGGATCTGGCCATTCTTTGCTATTACGATGTAAGGCATAAGCTGATATCATAACGGTGCCTCCCTTCTTAAATTTATATTTATCGATAGTATGATCGCAAGCTACTTCACGTATAGTTGTAGATGCTGTTGGATAAAGTCGTAATGTCTCACTAACTACCATATCTAGATATTTTAGTTCGTGAATTTTATCATAATTAAAGCTATCAGCTTGGGTTTGGAGAGCATCATCAATTTCATTAATCAATTTATCTTGGATTTCAGGATGTGTAGCTAATAAATAAACAGCAAATGATATCGTGTTAGCAGTAGTATCATAACCAGCTAATAGGAAGATCATAGATTGGGCAATAATTTCATCATCTGATAATTTGCCATTATTCTCTGCTTCCATCATTAATTGCAGTAAATCACGACGAGCAGGTTGATCTGATTGGCGTCTGTACTTAATTACTTGTCGAGCTGCTCGATCTAGGTGTTGGAAGTATTTAGCGTCAAAATCGAACGGTGATTTTCTAATTACTTTTAGCAAAGTAGGAGAAAGAATAGACATCAAAACCCTTAATTGTCCTCTATCAAAAATTTGAATAGCAGAATGGATTAATTTTGAGTTCAGCATTTGTACACCGAAAGCAACACTTAACATTGTCTCCATAGTAAATTCACCAAGCACCTTTCGTATATTAACAATCTCTTTCTTTTGACTACTATCAATCAGTGATTGCACCAATTTTGTTGTTATATCATCAACAATTAGGAAGCTACTTCGCAACTTGTTGCCAGTAAAAGTGGGCGTAAGAATATCACGGATTCTTTTCCATTCTTGATCACGAGCAATAGCTACAGCTTTACTAAGACTATTTAATGGTAATTTAAAAGGTAATCGTCTATTTGGAAAGGCATGAAAATCTTTGATTAATATTTTCTTGACGATGTCAAATTCCGATACAACAATCACTGGTTCACTCAAATAAAACATTCCAAAGACTTTTCCATATTCGTTTGTAAATTTTAAATGAGCTGAATTTTGATCACCTATCGCCATAACAGCTGGAATGTTGCCAAGTAATGGCCATGGCTTAGGTCCAGGAATGCCCAATTCTTTGAAGTATCTTAAAGCCTTGTAGTGACTATAAATCATCTTACAAGTTATTATCACTGCAATTGCAGTAATTAAAACTGTGGTTGAGTGAAGTTGCCAAATATTTCCAACTGTACCGATTAAATTTAACATTCTGGCTGCATTTAAATTTTAGAATCCTTTGTTGTATAAAACGCTGAAGTACGTATCGATTCCAATTTCAGCAATAGTAAATCGTGAATGAATGCAAGGGTAAAATGAGGTTAAGAATTCTACGATAACTTTAGGAAGTTATGATTCAATTCAGTAGAATCGTAGAATATGCCCAAAATTTGAGTCGACAAGTAGATCAAGTTGTATTAAAAAACTACACTATCAACTGCACCCACAGTACGAGAGTACGCCCGACAAATGATAGCAAATGGAAAAACGTTATGGAAGATCCACAACACTTGTGATTATTACCAGTAAATATTCTAGGCACTGTTTTCTTTTTCAAATACAACCAGATAATGGATTTGTTCTATATCAATTTTCAACAATTTTATTTTCTTATTGTGAGATCTTTGAATCGTTTATTTACACCCTCGCCTAATAATCGTACTTTCGGCTTCTATACCTGTCTATAGTATATTCTTATCACAAACCGAAATCTTTCTGATGATTTCTGTTTAAAATATAGACTTTTTATCGCATTCAATCCTCTTCATGAATCTTGCAGTTGCAGCATATAATTGATGCTTAACTTTTACTGTTGTCTACTTTTAGTTATTAAGAAAACAAGCTGAATCACTAGTCCAGCAATCTGTTCAATCTCCTGAAATCAATACGTAATCGCGCCGACATGCTAACTAGAAGATTGTTTACAAAAAATCGTCCACGTACGCAGTTGATTCTGCCACTATATTCGTAGAACAACAATAGCAGCTGTTAAAGCCCGAAGGTAACCTATGGGGGATATCATGACGTTCAAATCACGTGTATTATAGGCTAAGCTAATGAAAATAAAAAATTTCCATAACTGAATAACTCTATGGCGTACCTAATGCTAACAATGTGTCTTTGATGTGTAAATTATATATTCATGAGTAACTAAATGAAATAATACGGAGCATCTCAAAGATATAATACTTGTTAGTAATAAAGTGATGATAATTTCGAGAACTTATGATCTCAAATATCACATAATAATCAATAATTAATTAATCGTTCCATTTTTTCTGATATAGTGTCCGCGATCGTTTCTACTCATTTTTTGTTCGAAAAGCAAGTCATACCTTGCAGGTTTAATTTGCTTCTGCTATTGTTAATTATAGAAGTATATCTAGTTTGCATAAACAGACTTATACCACTGTTAGTACTATATTTTGAACTACGTCCAACTGCAACACAAAATAGCCATGTTAAGACCATAGGAAGAACTTTTGTGGTTAGGACTTTCAGGGCTAATATCGCAGTATATAATAACTACTTACCTAATCTTGACTTAGTGAAAAATGATAACACCAATAATATACAGCATATCTTTCTCAGCACGCAGTACAATTATTACCTACAGCACTAGAATACATCTGTATGGGCAGGATGAAATTATATAGTTTGGTGGTTAATAAATTTGTAATCGTACGCATATCTATATCTATGCTTTGAAAATAAACTAAAGTTTATGATAGAAACTGATTACCTACAGTGTTTAAATGCATCTTTATGGAGATGAAATTATATAGCATAATTGTAAATAAATTACTCATGTTATGTCTATTTCTATGCAAGAAACATGAAATTTTTATAGTGGGAAGTCAGTTATCGTATTCCATTATATGGTTTTCCTATACGATACCATGAAATGCTTCAATCTAGTTACAAATAAGTTACTGATCTTATTGTCGCATCTGTGCAATAAGCCAAAATTGTGGTACAGTATATGTATATATAGATATACAGTACGATAAAACCTGATATATTATAAATCTTGTTATTTTACACGTTGGAGCACATACTGCGTTAGCACGTCTCTAAGGGGGCTAGATGAACTGATTTACGAGTAAATTACTAATTATTAACTAAGCTCTGTTCAATATACCGAAATTCTATGATAGGAAATTCTTATCTGTAGTGTTGCCAATATCTATAGATAGTACCTTATAAAAGAAAGTACCGGACGAATAACTATAATGCCAGAAATTTGAAAATGCTCTTTACCTTCAAAAAGTAGATATGGATATATACAATTGTAAAGTATACAACTTTCTAGATTTTAATGAACATAGAAACGTAGCGGCTATTTCTATTAAAATTTATTTAAGTATCGGCATAGCTATCAAAATTTTTATTGAAATTCAATTGAAAGATAAAGATATTTATCTTCAAAAGAGAAGTTTATTTATTCAAAGTTGTACTATCATAGTAACAATTGACAAGTTTATCTACGGACAGTACAATATTAAAATTCTATGAAATTATCGATATAGATCATAATGTAAATAACTAAAAATGACCGAAGTAATGCATATTCTACGTAAGTTTAAGCAAATCTACCGAGGTTAGTATCCATTAGCAACGACAATTACTTGCTTTTAAGCTCAATCTCAAGGCAACGCAACAAGTTATAACAAAAATTTTTAAATTTTTACTGCAATAAGTAATTAAAATCAAAGTAGATTACAAACGTATAACAAAAGACTACTTATACCACTTACACAGTATTGTTTTCCCAATTTCCTACAATTTACGCAATTTACTGTAATTAGCATAAAGCGAAGCCATTCCTGCATTTATTCTCCTATTGAGATGTCATTTAGTTAAAATGCATAAATAATCGCTGAGATTTATTATCGTATTCAAAAATAGTACTATGGGTATACGATAAGCCTGTTATAATCAATTCCAGAATGATATCAACAAGTCATTGGTATTTTATTATCGGCAAATTAAATTAGAAGTTCCGCTAAGTTTATTTGAATTAACAATCCAATTGATCTTATCTTTGAAACTACCACTTTAAAGTAATATTAACTACCGTTAAATGCTTTGTATGGTAGCAATATGGGAATTTACTATTAACGTGAACTTTATTATTCAAATAAGAGTTTAATAAAGTTCCAGTCAGAATTGTTATAATATTGATAAATTAGCCCATTGGCTTTTTATTGATCTTAACTTTTCGTATCGTATCTATCTTTATATCTATATTCACCTAACTCACGCAATTAATATTAGAACTTATCTTCCGAGCTATTTTTGATTACTAGAGCTTATTGTGTAATATTTGATATGTTATCGCTAACTACTAAGTATTCTAAGAATTCGATCTATTGATAATTTGTAACAGTACGATAATTTACAATAATGTCATTATTTTCAACAATTACTTTATGGTAAACACCTTCCTTCTAATCCTATCTTGATACCATTTTTCGGGGAAATAGTAATTGCAGCATTCAGATGTAGTGGCACCTCGGTTTCTTTAACACGAATAAACTTAACAGCTCGTAACACTGTTACTAATGCTATTTTTACTTCCATTAGAGCAAATCTCATACCAATACAGATTCTTGGTCCAGTACCAAACGGTAAATAACTCATCGGATTGCGTTTTCGTTTCTCTTCTTGAGTAAACCGTTCCGGTATAAATTTTTCTGGATCGGGCCATTCTGTACTATCACGTTGAAGAGCATAAGTAGGTATTAATACTGATGTCCCAGCAATAAATTGGTAATCTCCAATAGTACAATCTTGAGCTGCTTCGCGCATAAGAATCGGGGCAGGCGGATAAAGTCTTAATGTTTCAGCGATAACCATGTCTAAATATTTTAAGTCATAGATTTGTTCATAACTTAAATCGTCGTCGATTCTACTGAACGCATCATCAATTTCATTAATTAGCTTTTCTTGAACATCGGGATTAAGGGCAAGTAAGTAGCTAATAAAAGATAGGGTGCTAGCAGTGGTTTCGTAACCAGCTAGTAAAAAGACAAAACTTTGAGCAACAATATCATCATCCGATAATTTGCCAGATTGTTGTGCATCTAACATTAATTGTAACAAATCTTTACGCTCAGGAGCACCAGATTGGCGCCGCTCTTTGATAATTTGACGAGCTACACGATCTAAACGTCGGAAATATTTAGCTTCAAAATCTAATGGTGAACTCCTAATTAATTCAAGTAAGTAAGGCGATATTATTGCAAGTAAAACTCTCGTTCCTACTCCGGAGAACAATTTGGAAGCTGCATCAGTTAAAGCTGTGTCTTGAGTATTCAGCTGTACGCCAAACGCGACACTTAAGATCACCTCCATCGTAAATTTTCCAAACACTTTTCGTGCATCGATAATTTCTCCTTGACGTGCATATGATGTTAAAGCAGATCGAAGTTCTTGTGATGAATTATCAACAATTGGCAATACTGCTTTTAATTTATTAGCACTAAATGTAGGAGTGATTGTATCTCGAATATTTTTCCATTCTTGGTCTCGTACAACAGTTAAGGCCTTATTAAGGTAATCGAACGGAAATTTTACTGGTACTCGCCTGTTTGGAAATAAATGAAAGTTCTTGACTAATATCTTTTTAATCATCTCATAATCAGAGACGAGGGTTATCTGTTCAGTACCATAGAACAAGCCGACTACTTTCCCATACTTTTTAATATAGTACATATGAGCTAGATGTTGACCTCCTAGTTGACCAATTTCGGGTACATTGCCTAAAATAGGCCATGGTTTAGGTCCAGGTATACCTAATTTGATGAAATGTTGCAGTATTGTGACGTATTTGTGGTAGAAGAAGTAGATAATTAAGAAAGCGATTAAGGCCACCAAAACTGCAGTAGGATGTAACTCCCAAATATCTTGTATACATTTCAATAGATTAGATAGCATGGTTGTTGCAATAGTTCTTCCTTTCCTTTGTAAAATTGATGAAGAATACTGTTTAAAATTAAAACTGAATAAAAATTATGCAGCTTTCACGTTTAAAAATTTAATTACTGAATAATAAAACGAGGTATCACTTAATCAAACATTTAATAGTCATTTGCAGGTAGATATCTTATCTTAGCTTTATACACGGTCTCGAACGAATAATTTGCGTAGACATACAGATTTTTACAGTATTAGTACACTAACTAAGTAATATCAAAAAGGTAATTGCAAATAAAGACTTGGGCTATTACCTCTATCCAGGTATCTACTAGTGCGGTTGATAGATAACTCACCTTATCCACTATAGACCGATTACTTGCATGGGTTTAAAGTCTAAGTAACGTTAACTAATTATATAATTAGATAATCTCTGCTTTATCACTAAGTAAGCAACCAATCTCTTTCAATGAAGTGTGTTTTAGTTAGCTAATATTACATTTGAAGTTGTGCAATTTATTAAATTTGTATGAAATATACGGTACAATATTATCTTTCATTTAATTGTATAAATTTCGCTAAACCTACGAAGTAAACAGTGAATCTTCTTCAATTAGCAGGTATTGAATAAGATAAAGTTAAGGTCAGTCAGTCAGTGCCAGTGATAATGTGCAGTTAAGTAAAAAGTACACGAATAGTAAGAGAAGTGTAATGAGCGAGGGATCGATTAGTTAATCACAATAATAAAGCACTTGGCAGTGGACACTGGAAGAAAATTTGTTGTTGCTTTTGTATGGCAGGTACACTAAAGCAACTGAATGAACTATTTCAACCTGACTAAGGTGCATCGAGCTATTATGCAGATTATTATGCGTTTGCTAGGTAGGCAAGACACGTTATCTACTTGGTCAAAGTACAGTAGAAGCATTTATTGAACTGAACTCCATTCAAGATCTTTTATTGCATGTTTGCATCCAATTTATGTAGACGCTACAGTAGTGTCTAGACCCAATAAAAAGCTTATTCAGCACTTGCTAGCTAGTCCAGATTCGCTGTCTACTTGCTAAAGAAGAAGCATTTACCGTATTTAACTCCATTCACGATGTTTATTGCACATTTCCATAAAGATAGACGTTGGTGTCTAGAGCTAAATGAAAAGTAAAAGCACTCACTGCGTTCAATTTAATTTAAGATTTTACTGCAAGCTTGCATTTGTAGGCAATGTGATGTGGTCTTACTGTATGTGCTATTATGCACTCACCAATTGATGAAGGTTCGCTAGTTTTACTGGATAAAAGTACTAGCGCTCTTACAACGCAATGAACAACCTTCTACCGTACGATTGAAAATAATCCGACAATATTGATAGACTTAAAGTATCGATAAGATTAGCTTACTTAGAACTTGCCACGTCGTACTTGAAGAGCTTGTTTACTTCGTAAGACTTTCGATCTAAGTGAAGATTTTCTACCGCATTTTCATATATAAAACTGTGATTAGCGATGCCATGTCATCCATTCTCGCGCTTGCGTGTGATGGTGATCCACGTCGACAATCCATTGTCATTAATTAGTCTAATAAGCCAATGTTTATTTGAGTTAGAAAAGTTTTAAGAATAGTAATGATAGCCAATTGTAGTAGTGATTTTAGCTGATACTAGTAGTAATGAAGTTCGAGTTGGAAGTTTTACTGTGATTTAATGTACTGTGTGATGTAGAATAGTCTGTTATGGTTAACAAATGAAGTAATTGTAGATGATAGCTGGTAGAGGGGTTACAAAACCATTCATTACAGGCTCATGCAATAACGAGAAATCGCGAAAAATAAAATGTGACCTCGAGCCTTCCGTAGAAAGATTGAAGCAAATGAATGAGAGCTCATTACAGTAGCAGTATCAGCTAATTCAGTAATAATGGAAATTTTAACTGCAATCTGAAATACTGTGTGATGTAGATTACTCGATTATGCTTAGCTCATAAAGTAATTATAGATGATGGCTGGTATGGAGTTAATACTGTCCTTTATACCTCTTGGAAAGTGGATGTTGTTGGAATGGTCTGCCCGAAGTATATCGCATACACTTTGTCGACTATTCTTTACTTGCTCGTATACATACAGTTCATCATTTATGCAAGTTATATTTACACGGAATGAAACAATGCCTGCAATTACTTTATCAATGATTTATCATCCAGCTGAAAATGTACAAACATTAGCTGTAGTCACCAACATTTCTTATTTATGTAGTTTATGTAGTACACATTCTGCAACCTGTTATAATCAATTTCAGAATGAGACGAATAACCCAAAGAGTAATTCTATTATGGGCAGATTAAATTGAAAGTTCCACTATATTTTGTTTAAATTAGCAATAAAATTAATCTCAATCTTGAAATCCGTACTCTATATATAAAATTAACTGTCACGAAATACTGTACTTTGGCTACATCCGTGTGAAAATTGACTATTAATGTGAACAGTCGATTCTTATAAGAGTTAAATATAATCTCAATCAGAATTATAGAAACACTTGCAAATCAGTTTAGCTTAATTTTTATTATTAATCTTTATTCCTTGTATCTTAAGGAATCTATCCTTTCATAATTATAATATATGTACGCTATGTTATATTACTTATCTTGTATCACGACTCAGTCTATATCTGTAGATTATTAAGTAACATCTGACATGTTACAGCTATCTTCCTTGTATGCTAAAGAATTCGATCTATTGATAGTTTTATAATAGTGCAATAACTTATGTATCATTCATTAATTCACAGTATCTTAATTATTTTACAATAACTACTGTACTTAGTTTATGGTGAACTCCTTTCCTCTAATCCTATCTTGATACCATTTTTCGGTGAAATAGTAATTCCAGCATTTAGTTGTAATGGCACCTCGGTTTCTTTAACACGAATAAACTTAACTGTTCGTAACACTGTTACTAATGCTATCTTTATTTCCATTAGAGCAAATCTCATAGCAATGCAGATTCTTGGTCCAGCACCAAAAGGTAAGTAACTCATCGAGCTACGTTTTTGTTTCTCTTCTTGAGTAAACCGTTCCGGTATAAACTTTTCTGGATCAGGCCATTCTGCGCTATCACGTTGAAGGGCATAAGTAGATAGCATAATTGATGTTCCAGCAACAAATTGGTAATCTCCAATAGTACAGTCTTGAGCTACTTCGCGTATAATAATAGGAATAGGCGGATAAAGTCTTAATGTTTCGGTAATAACCATATCTAAATATTTTAATTCAAATATTTGTTCATAACTTAAATCGTCGTCGACTCCACTGAATGCATCGTCAACTTCATTAATTAATCTCTCTTGAACATCGGGATTAACGGCAAGTAAGTAACACACAGAAGATAGAGTATTAGCAGTAGTTTCGTAACCAGCTAGTAGAAAGATAAAACTTTGAGCAATAATATCGTCATCCGATAATTTACCAGATTCTCGTCCATCTAACACTAATTGTAAGAAGTCTTTACTCTTAGGAGCGCTAGATTGACGCCGCTCTTTGATAACTTGGCGAGCTGCATGATCTAATTGTTGAAAATATTTAGCTTCAAAATCTAACGGTGATTTTCTGGTTAATTCGAGCAAACTAAGGTGATATTATTGTAAATAGAATTCTCCTCGGTATTCCAGAAAGCATTTTGGAAGCTGCATTAGTTAAAGTAGTATCTTGAGTATTTAGCTGTACGCCAAACGCGACACTTAAGATTACCTCCATTGTAAATTTCCCAAATACGTCTCGTGCATCGATAATTTCTCCTTGTTGTGCGTAAGATATTAAAGCAGATCGAAGCTTTCGTGACGAATTATCGACAATTGGTAATACTGCTTTTAACTTATTAGCACTAAATGTAGGAGTGATAGTATCTCGAATGGTTTTCCACTCTTGATCTCTTGAAAAAGCTAACATTTTATCAAGGTAGTCGAATGGAAACTTTATTGGCAATCGTCTGTTAGGAAATAAATGAAAGTCTTTGATTAATATCTTTTTGATTATCTCGTAATCGGAGACAAGGGTTAATCGTTCAGTACCATAGAATAAGCCGACTACTTTTCCGTACTTTTTAGTGTAATACATATGAGCTAGATGTTGACCGCCTAGTCGAGCAATTTCGGGTATATTGCCTAGAATAGGCCATGGTTTAGGTCCAGGTATGCCTAATTTGTCGAAATGTTGTAGTATAGTGATATATCTGTAGTAGAAGATGTAGATAATTAAAGCAGCAAATATAGCTACTAGAACTGCAGTAGAATGTATCTGCCAAATATCTTGTACACAGTTCAATAGATTAGATAGCATCGTTGTTGTACTAGTTCTTTCTTTCAGCTTGTAGACTTGTCAAGTATGTACTACCGGTACTTGATGAAAATTCGCATTCAATATACGTCTGGATACAAATTAAACCACGTCTATAGGCTTTAAATAGAAGTGAAAAGCTTTCTTCATTCCAAAAAAGCGAGGGAATTCGGTTATTGTCACTATGGCTACTGATGAGATTTGCGCTTGCGTGTAATATAAATTTACTTAAAGAATTAAATTAAATTGGACGTAACTGAAATTATAGTAAAAGATTTATTCTGAGATTGCCTTGAAAACTTAATTTCGATCAATCATCATGACCACCGATCAATTACTGTACTGTATGATTTAAAGTACTGTAGTGGGCAATCTATTCCTTATTAGGAGAATACAGTAATGAGAAATACTTCTCTCTCTTTATAAAGTAAAAGAAAGACTCGAGTCTTATTCGGTTTACGATGAAAAATTATATATCTAGTAATGAAAGCCTAGTCAATTGTATTGGAGTTGAGTAAATCATTATTGAACTTTTAGGAATTTATATAGTGACTCAACAACTACAAAAATATCTATTAAAAGCACTTTCTATCCGTAACTGAAATGGAAATGAATTTTGAGTGTAATAATAGTGATTGAGTAAACAATAACACAGTATTTTAAAATTTATTTATCTAGTAGTAAGACTGGATAATAAAATAACAAATTAGATAAATAAATTTGCGAAAGAAATGAATCCCGAAAAATTCAATGAAGATTAGTAAAGCAAAAGACTTTACTATAGTTTATAACACGTTCATAAGAAGCAAAAATTGCATTATGTTAAATTTCTGATTTGATGTCACGGCCAATAGTAAGTCTAATTTACACAATATTGTAATATAAGATAAGATAAGGCAAGGCATAACATCTATCGAACTTCAGACTTAAATAAACTCTCAACGTTAAATACACAGACAGAATGAAAATCGGAAATTTACATGCACATTGAAAAACATTGATAGATTAAAATGAAAATATACCGATATCGTCACTTCGGTAATTGCATTGTAAAACGGTAAGTAAAAGCCACAAGGTACATTATTTACAGAGATTACAATCCAACCTAAGAAGTTTCATTGTCGATTAAACACTTAAAAATCAGAATAATTGTCGATTATTCTTTACATACTTTATACATACATATTACATACCACAATTTATGTAACTTAATTTGCATGGAATGAAACAATACCTGCAATTACTTTATCAATGATATATTATGCAATAAAAACGTACAAACAGTAGCTGTAATCACTAATACTTACTATTTATATAGATTTATATTCTACGCATTATACAAACCTGTTATAATCAATTTCAGAGTGATACGAGTAACCCAAAGAGTAATTCTATTATGGGCAGATTAAATTGAAAGCTCCACTAAATTTTGTTCAAATTAGCAATAAAATTAATCTCAGTATTGAAATCGGTTCTCTATAATATTAACTGTCACGAAATACTGTACTTTGGCTACATCCGTATGAAAATTAACTATTAATGTGAACAGTCGATTCTTATAAGAGTTAAATGTAATCTCAATCAGAATTATAGAAACACTGTAAATCAGTTTGGCTTAATTTTTATTATTAATTTTTATTCCTTGTATCTTAAGGAATCTATCCTTTCATAATTATAATATATGTAGGCTATGTTATATTACTTATCTTGTATCACGACTCAGTCTATATCTGTAGATTATTAAGTAATATCTGACATGTTACAGCTATCTTCCTAGTATGCTAAAGAATTCGATCTATTGATAGTTTTATGATAGTGCAATAACTTATGTATCATTCATTAATTCACAGTATCTTAATTATTTTACAATAACTACTGTACTTAGTTTATGGTGAACTCCTTTCCTCTAATCCTATCTTGATACCATTTTTCGGTGAAATAGTAATTCCGGCATTTAGTTGTAATGGCACCTCGGTTTCTTTAACACGAATAAACTTAACTGTTCGTAACACTGTTACTAATGCTATCTTTATTTCCATTAGAGCAAATCTCATACCAATGCAGATTCTTGGTCCAGCACCAAAAGGTAAGTAACTCATCGAGCTACGTTTTTGTTTCTCTTCTTGAGTAAACCGTTCCGGTATAAACTTTTCTGGATCAGGCCATTCTGCGCTATCACGTTGAAGGGCATAAGTAGATAGCATAATTGATGTTCCAGCAACAAATTGGTAATCTCCAATAGTACAGTCTTGAGCTACTTCGCGTATAATAATAGGAATAGGTGGATAAAGTCTTAATGTTTCGGTAATAACCATATCTAAATATTTTAATTCAAATATTTGTTCATAACTTAAATCGTCGTCGACTCCACTGAATGCATCGTCAACTTCATTAATTAATCTCTCTTGAACATCGGGATTAACGGCAAGTAAGTAACACACAGAAGATAGAGTATTAGCAGTAGTTTCGTAACCAGCTAGTAGAAAGACAAAACTTTGAGCAATAATATCTTCGTCCGATAATTTACCAGATTCTCGTCCATCTAACACTAATTGTAAGAAGTCTTTACTCTTAGGAGCGCTAGATTGACGCCGCTCTTTGATAACTTGGCGAGCTGCATGATCTAATTGTTGAAAATATTTAGCTTCAAAGTCTAACGGTGATTTTCTGATTAGTTCGAGCAAACTAGGCGATATTATTGTAAATAGAATTCTCCTTAGTATTCCAGAAAGCATTTTGGAAGCTGCATTAGTTAAAGTAGTATCTTGAGTATTTAGCTGTACGCCAAACGCGACACTTAAGATTACCTCCATTGTAAATTTCCCAAATACGTCTCGTGCATCGATAATTTCTCCTTGTTGTGCGTAAGATATTAAAGCAGATCGAAGCTTTCGTGACGAATTATCGACAATTGGTAATACTGCTTTTAACTTATTAGCACTAAATGTAGGAGTGATAGTATCTCGAATGGTTTTCCACTCTTGATCTCTTGAAAAAGCTAACATTTTATCAAGGTAGTCGAATGGAAACTTTATTGGCAATCGTCTGTTAGGAAATAAATGAAAGTCTTTGATTAATATCTTTTTGATTATCTCGTAATCGGAGACAAGGGTTAATCGTTCAGTACCATAGAATAAGCCGACTACTTTTCCGTACTTTTTAGTGTAATACATATGAGCTAGATGTTGACCGCCTAGTCGAGCAATTTCGGGTATATTGCCTAGAATAGGCCATGGTTTAGGTCCAGGTATGCCTAATTTGTCGAAATGTTGTAGAATAGTGATATATCTGTAGTAGAAGATGTAGATAATTAAAGCAGCAAATATAGCTACTAGAACCGCAGTAGAATGTATCTGCCAAATATCTTGTACACAGTTCAATAGATTAGATAGCATCGTTGTTGTACTAGTTCTTTCTTTCAGCTTGTAGACTTGTCAAGTATGTACTACCGGTACTTGATGAAAATTCGCATTCAACATACGTCTGGGTACAAATTAAACCACGTCTATAGGCTTTAAATAGAAGTGAAAAGCTTTCTTCATTCCAAAAAAAGCGAGGGAATTCGGTCATTGTCACTATGGCTACTGATGAGATTTGCGCTTGCGTGTAATATAAATTTACTTACAGAATTAAATTAATTGGACGTAACTGAAATTATAGTATAAGATTTATTCCGAGATTGCCTTGAAAACTTAATTTCGATCAATCATCATGACCACCGATCAATTACTGTACTGTATGATTTAAAGTACTGTAGTGGGCAATCTATTCCTTATTAGTAGAATACAGTAATGAGAAATACTTCTCTCTCTTTATAAAGTAAAAGAAAGACTCGAGTCTTATTCGGTTTACGATGAAAAATTATATATCTAGTAATGAAAGCCTAGTCAATTGTATTGGAGTTGAGTAAATCATTATTGAGCTTTTAGGAATCTATATGTGACTCAACAACTACAAAAATATCTATTAAAAGCACTTTCTATCCGTAACTGAAATGGAAATGAATTTTGAGTGTAATAATAGTGATTGAGTAAATAATAATACAGTATTTTAAGATTAAATTACACTACTTTAATATTCTAATTTACGATACCTCGAATTGGATCATCGTAGCGATTGATTCCCTATTCTTATACGCTCGAAGTAGAGCAATTTTTGATTGGCTAACTTAGAGATCTACAAGCAATACGTTGTATAGCGTAATGCTGCATCCCAATAGGACGACAAAATTAACTTGATTGCTATGTTAAACCGTAGAGGTAAACCCCTCTTGCCTCTACGTGGATTAACTTCTTTTACCATACTGTACAACTCAATTACGAAAAGCGTTCGCGGGCTTCCACCAGTAATGATTAAATTAAAACAGGATAAAAACTAATTATGTTGCTATCTCGTTTAATTAATTAGTTATTTGCTTGACAGCAAAGCCTGGTAACATTTTACCAACAAGAAATCCTGATAGTAGATAAGTACAGCACTTTTTTATCTCTTTTTTAAATGAGTAGGCACTCATGTTTACGCTAGTCAGTCTATAGGTTTGTTAAGTATGTACTGCCGGACTTAACCAAAAATTTGCATTTAACGTAGCTAAAGTTATGGACCACTAGAAGAAAACCGGTTTCTTCTAGTAGTTTATAGTAAAGTAGAACTACATACTCAACCAAGTGAAAGATTTTTACCGCACCTTTGTACCATGTTAAGTTTAATAGCCACTTGCTACCGTACTTTATGAAGATTTGCTATTTTATATAGTAAACTGAAACGTTTATTCAACTAAATAAAAGATCTCATACCGTACGTTTGGATATAAATCAAACCATGTTTATAAGCTTCAAATAGAACTTGAAAAAATTTTGCTGGTTTACTTCATATGCGCGAGGGAATTTGTTCATTGTTACTATGGCTGCTGATGAGATTTGCACTTGCGTGCAATATACTATACTTCGAATATTAAATCAGTTGGAATTCATTGAAAGTAATATAATAAAAGATTTATGCCGGGATTACCTTGAAAACCGAATGTTAATCACTATGACCACTGATCAATGTTAGATTAATGACAGCCCAATCAATTGTGTTGAAATTGAGTAAATCAATATCTAACTTTTAAGAATCTTCGTAATGACTTATTGACTAAGAAAATATTTATTAAAAAACACCTTCTTTGCGTAGCTGAAATGGAAATAAATTTCGAAAGTAATAATAGTGATTGAATGAATATTGACGTTGTAGTTAAAATTAAATTATCTAGTACTAAACTAGATAACAAATTAATTAGATAACTTTGCGCAATCAATAAATTTCGAAAAAATTGAATGAAAATTAGTAAAGCAAACGTCGCTATTATAGTTTATTTCACGACTATAAGTAGAAAAAAATTGCATTATCGTTGAATCTTCTGATTAAAAAGCACGACCAATAGTAAGTCTAATTTATAAAATATTGTAATATCAGATAGGGCATAATATCGAGCTTCAGATTTAAATAAAGGCTATAAGTTAAATAAATAGGTAGGATAAAAATTGGGTATTTACGCGTACATGTACATTGAAAAAAATTGATACATTAAAATGAAAAATATATCGATATCGTCACTTCGGTAATCGCACTGTAAAATGATAAGTAAAATCACAAGGAATATATGTTTAGCAGACATCACAACGCAATTTAAGGAGTTTCCCTGTCGATTGAACAGTTAAAAATCAGAATATATTGATATTTGTAGGTCGGTAGTTTTCCTATAGTACCTTGCATAAAAGTATTTTGCTCCGTAGGTTAATACTATAATACAAATCATATAATTACATTATCGACAATATCGGATGATCAATATTCAAAATAATGATATCAATTACGATATGAAAAACGATAAGATTGCTTAATGAATATTATAACATTACAACCAGCTTAACATCGAACTATATTAGAAATAATATTAAAATTCATTCTTATTATAGCATACAGTACGTGCAGGACATGCAGAATATGAAAAGAATTGTCCAAGCACTACTAAGGGTAAATTTATAAAATCGGAAACAATTCATTAATAGACTAACTCGTCAGTGCTAACAAAATAGTATAAAATCAATAAAGCGGTTGATGATATTTACTCCATCTTTTATGTATATAGCATATTAATAAGGTTATCTATAAATAATATAGAAGAAACACTAATGTCACATTCCAACTTCGCTACAATACTCCAATCCTATACCAACTTCCGCATTTATAAATTCATCTGCAGTTTTAGTTATTTCGCTTGCAGATGAATATGATAGCGTTCTTACAAACAATTAATATATGTTGAGTTGTATTGCATAAAATTTCAGGCTCTAATCATTTAAAAATTGTTGTAGACGAAAGTATAGCATCATTACAAAATAGATAAGGAGAATAAATCCATTTTTTCGGCTATTTAATTCGCAAAAATATTAATTTCGAAGTTTTTAGCTAGTAATAGACATTATCTCTAATCCCATAACCATTTCTAAGGCGTTGTGTAGCTCGACTACCAGTATTCTTAGTATTTCTCCGAAAAGCAGCATGAGATGTTTTGCTTTGTCTACTTGTTGCCAGGAATGCATTCTTAGCATCTAAAACAATTTTACTGAACTCATTACTACTGTTAAGATCATATTTGCTATCCTGATAATTAATATTGCCCTTTGTGCCATTTGAAAAGTGTACGTTGTTGGGATGATTTACGTGGCGTGTATCACGTACACTTTGTCGACGATTCTTTGCATGCTTTTCACCAAACTTCATAAATTGACTCGAAACCTTCATTTTGTTATGGTAGTCTATGATATACTTTGGAAATAGGCTCTTCTCATCGAATCGCCTCTTAATTTCATCTGTATAGCGTAAAATAAGGAGGAAAGTTGTAAAAGTAGGTTGGATCGAATGACTCAGTCCTTTCTATCGAATGTACTCTACGTACTACTATTCTACGATAAGCTGGACTGGGCTAATGTCAAATTAGATGTATAATGCAAATATGTTGGAATAATATCTCCACTTCATAGAAGCTATTACACATCTATCATGCTTTAATATATATATATTACCAAATTATTAGATTACATCCGTAATTTATACCTTCTTGAAGTGGTATTTCCGGCAAAGTGAATTCACTGGAATCATTGCTCTTTTCACCAAAATACTTCAATGGATTCTGTACAAAATCAGGCTTATGCAAAGTACCGACTCGATTTAAAGTGGGGCAATCTAGATACTGTCATTACAGAAAATAGTTAATAAACAATGTTGAGTTCAATTACTTTAGGGATTAATTTAATTTATATCCATGTATCATAAACAATTAACCGTAAATAAGCGAGCTGTCACTTTGGCGCCAGCAGACTTTTCACTCTGTAAAAATTGTATATTTTTAATTGGATGTGGTTGGCGTCTTTCGCGTCTTTGCGATCTACACCTTTGCACTGTTTTACCTGTCAAATAATAATCTCCAATAAATTAGCTTAATATAAACGATCACTCTATATAATATCTTAGTGATATCATTATCTTTATATCATGCTAATTTTTTTAACCTAAAATTGTTGTATCCCAAGCATCGCCTTGATAATCTAAATCTTGATCTTCTTTCGATAATACAGATGCATCATCATCAAATATTTCTGGTACAGGCATAATAACTGATTTGCTAGAGGATATTGAAGGTAAATCCAACGAGGTACTGGCGTCAGTATTGGGTTTTGCCTGATTGATAATTGAAAATTAATTTGAATTTAGAAGAAAATTGAACTATTTAAAGATCATAGGATAGTGAATAACTCCACAATTGCAAGAAAACTGAAACGAGGTAACAATACTGATCCAGTCAATTAACACATAAATTAGAATCAATTCTAGTCCCTTTTTGATTAGTCTATGCTGCTATTGATCGTTATCATTAAGCTTTTAATATTACTAAAAAAGAAGTACTATTGGAGGATATTTCTGAAAATTCTAGGTGAATGAAATAATATTTACAACCGAACATAAACTATTTACTTTGATATATGAAGTTATATAAGGTGCCTTGCACTAGATTCTAGATAAATATGTATATATTTCAACATCATTAGAAAACAGATAAAAATCCTCTTGTCCGTGAATTAGCGAGCTATATTACAATTATTGGTAATGCTTACTTCATCATCTTTATCGTCGTCTGCATTGATTTCTTCCTGTTCTTCATCTGTTAATTCACGATATGTTCCTAATGACCAAACAGTTTCCTATACGATATTTATACATTTAAAATATTTACAATAATTATTATTTGATACAACATCAAGAGAGTACAAAAGTTTTATAAACCAAACCAAATATTATTTGCCAGAGAATTTATCTTTGTACACTCTACATGCCATTCAAATTGAAAGGATAATTGATCAATTTCGTACATACTTGGCCAAACATTCCTATGTAGGTACCTTCTACATCCCATAAAGCTATACCACAGTCAGCAGAAGAGGTTAAGACATAGACGCGACGAGAATGGGCAAATAATTCAATACTACTGATGGTATCAACGTGAGGTTGAAATGAACATTTCATAGCTAATTTGTGTTAGAAAAATATAGAGTAAATAATTTGTATTCAAGCATGTAATAAAGGAAGTAATCCCTTAATATACGCTATTCATTCTGCACAACTTACGTGGAGGCTCTGTCGTAAATCCTTGTTTACCAGTGCAATAATTGGCAATATTCCAAATCTTAATCATTCCATCGAGATCACCAGTAGCCAAGTAATGATTAGAAGGATCTATCCCCATGTTGGCAATTTTTGCTATTTTCACAAAAGTTAAAGATTATGTAAGATTCTAACTTTCAAAATCACAGATTCATAATTCTAGGTTAAAAATTGAGTAAATGAATTATAGAAAGAAATACAAACCATGTGGATGTGAAATAAATTCCCCTCGTAAATCGGCAGTCGAAGATGACCAGAACCGAACCTGTAAAATTTCATAGTTATCACTTATATTAAACTTATTTGAGTATTTAAATTCTTCGACATATACGAGACGGAATTTTACAGCCTAACAAGATTGTGCAAGTGCCAAATTTTAATATTATTACCCAAGAATAACGTCCGCAAGAGACTAGATCAGCGCCTTCGGTACCAACGCGCTTTTCCAAAAAGGACAATTTAGCAATAGCAAATTCCGAAATTTCATCCTATAAAATGTTTCTATAGTTACTATGTGCATTGCGAATTTGTTACTACGATAATATCGGGCTCTGATATGCTGTATATAATTTGAAGTTTCACTTAACAGTATCACAGTAATGTTGCTTTATGATTACTCCAACTTATACAATTAAGAAAATCGCCTACTCTTCATGGTTAGCATGGATTAAATACCTCATCATCTTCAGTAACTTTAGCTAAAAATTCTTCATATGCAGTTTTAGAATGGACCGGTTCACCCTGAGCAGTATCCAGAACCATACCCGCGTTCTACATTTCATAAAGTTTAAATTTAAAAATCTTAGCGAACTCATATCCGGATGCTCGTTGTAAGGAACAAAATCGCATATTAGTTACCGTTATTGCTTTTTCCTTATCTAACTGAACTTTCCTCTGCTGCAGTAGTTTGATCGTATTCGCACGACGTCTGATATTGATTTTCTTACACCGCTGACGTAAATGTTTAACAAAATTTTCGCTATTTGCATTCCATATAATAATCTCTCCATCATAACTTGCGGTCGCCATTAGACTAGGAGGGCAATAGGCACAAACCAAAATATCATCTGAATGTTCCTGTAGAATTATTTCAAGAACAATATTATGAAAAACTGGATATTTGTATTGCACACTAATTTAGGTGATATTAGAATGAAGTTAGATAGCTACCACGTATTGGTGATTTGACACAATTATACATGATATTTTTTACTCTTTGATATAAATATGGTATTATGTACAGTTTTTGTATTAATTTGTGCTATTTCGTGTTAACTTCATGAGAATATTTAAGTAAAACCATGCCCTTCGAGCTCATGTTATATTGATAACCTTTATCATTTATTTTTCGTATGTAGTTTTCAATATTTTAAATTATATATTAGCTACCGTAATATATTCGGATGGAAGTAATCATTTAGTGTATAAAGGAGTAGTATTAAAAGGTCAATCATTTATATATTTAATCACAACTGTATCATTTAAATTAATTAAAAGTATTAGTAATTCCTGGTGCAACCTGAGTTCTAGGTTTAGGCGTATTAATTTACCTGGCCTCCTCTCCAGTCAGATGGTTCGACATAGTAAGAAAACATTTGGTTACTCCTGAAGACCGTAATATATCTATGAAATGATGAGAGAGAAATACCAATTATACAGCATATACTATACGCTTACATACAATTATAGCTGATATTCTACATCGTATCTTACCTACATATTATTTATTTGTAATTTTTTTATATCATTTCGAATCAAATTCTCATTAAAAGGATATCTACCTTTCCCATCCGATAACAATAGTTTTACGTGGCATAACTTGAATTTGGCTAACATCGATTGGTGATCCGTTGGCTGGTACCAGTAGATTTGAACATTGTCCATTGAAATCCCAAACTTTAATTATGCCATCAACACTAGCTGTCAATATTTTCATGGAATATTGATCGAGTGTCATAGCGGTCACTTCGGCATCATGGGTGCTAGTGAATTGTTTTACACGTTGCCCATTATCTAGGCGCCATATATTAATATCGCCATCATGGCACACGCTTATAACCTATGCAATGGTGCAAAAATAAATGGAAAATTCTATTATTACTGTCTATGAGCAGTCACAAGAAGGTATAGAAATCATATATAGCAGCTAATAACATTAACAACTTAATTTGGGGGTATACCTAAAGATATAGAAAGATAATCATAACGCTAAGTCAAATATCACTATCGCATTTCTGATACTAGACAAAGGAACAGGCTTAAAATTAGGTTTGTTCTGATTTACCTGGTTATATTTGGCACAATATGTGGCTCGAATAACGGGTTTGTTATGACTCATTACTCGATCTTTCAGCTCGATTTTAACTTCCATTACGGAAAACTATTTTTACGAAATTTAAAGAAAAAAGGTTGAAAATTTGGGCTACATATCTTAAGTAAAATAAAATTTCATTACATAGTAAAAAATTTTGTAACCAAGTAAATATGAAAAGCTATAAATAAGAATATTTACCTGATTATTAAATGCAGAATATAGACGATGGCGCACTTCATCATAGTACAATGTGCTTTGAACTGGACCCAGATTATAAATCAATTATTTATAAGTAATCTGTTAGCTCTGATATTACCCTTTAATAATTCTTATGTCCGCAATCATTTAAAGCTAGGTATACCTTCAGGTCCTTTTGGAAATACACCAGTCAATCTTTGTATGCAAATTTGCAATTGGGTATCCCAAATACGAAGTACCTTCAAGTAAATACAAGAACTCATCTTCAATGACTTCACTGCTTGATATGTATGTATGCATAGCTGTAAATAATAACTTATCTACGCTAATGCCGTCGAAAATACGAAAGAAAGTAAACTACCTAATATTTAGTCATTGAAATATTTTTCAAGCTAATATCAAACTAGTAGTGTAACATCCTAAATATTCAAGTCTACCTTATCCTTCGAAAGGCTAATCAATTGACCTTTTGAACAGTTGAAAATTACATGTACTACGCTTGCCATGTGCCCAACTAGTAACTAAATTATAACAAAGAGTATAATAATTAGCCGATTGTTAGCTACATTCCAAAATAGAATAGTATGAACAACTTTTTCTATTACTACGAAAGTACAATTACAGTGGCATAATCATACCCCAACAGGTTTTGATATAACATAGGGGTTCCATAAACAGACTTGATAATTAACACCCGCTGTAGCTATAGTAACAAATCAGGAATCAGACATGAAATGATAAATAAGTAAAACTGTAAGAACAATCATGAAAGCAGATCACGACAATTTTGTTTTAAGGGATTGTTTTAAAGCTTATACCGATCAGATTCAAGTCGGAACTATAGTCAAAGGAATTGACGCCTTGTGATATATGAAATGCAGTTCTAATAAAGAAAATAATACAAAAATGTTATTCCTACATATGGACATATGGATTAATAGTAACCACGTTACAAAACAAAATTACCAACACTATTATCCATAAATAAAACTATAGTATTAAGAATTGGTTTATTAAAAAGTTACTTACGTCCTCATAACAGAACTTGATTTCTCAATCCAGCCCAAAACTAATGAATTCTTCTCCGTGGTAGCACATGATATGAAACAGTCTAAATGCTCTGCGTATTTAACTGCGTTAAAAAATGTAATAGTTAGAAAACGATAAGTAAGGCTGATCTAGCTTAGTAAGTGATAGTTCTAAAATATTGTATGAATATGAATTTCATTGATAAACTCAATACAACGATCTCAAAATAGAGCGATAGTAAATTGGTTACCTTGCCTAACCCAATCATCATGGCCATGATGATGGACTAATCTTACATTTTTAAATACACCTTTCTTAATTTCCTTCAGTGTTAATTGGAGGCATGGATCTTAATATATATGCGATTAAACCAAATTACAGATTGTTTTATTTTAATAGGAATAAACGGTACTATTTTATTCTGATAAAGAATTGGCAATCGTCAAATTTCAACGTACAATCTTAAATAAAATAGCGATTATCATACGGAAGCATTTTAAAATCAATTAGCGTTTATTCCAACGAAAAACAAGAATCATCTTACCTTGCTGTTGATTTCCTGGTTGAGAAGGTCGGTCAAATAGTGAAATTGAAGCAGATGAAAAGACAACTGCGTTAATCATACCGGAAACATCTCCCCACGCTAGTATAAGATCATCATTATTAAATCGACTATTCCTGAAATAGGCAAACAACGAATTATAATCGATTTCAATGAGGATTCTACATATTTATAGACTCTAAACCAACCAAAAATCCAAACATAACGGAATATGATCCAAGCCTTGGATAACATAAACGCAGCTAAAATCTGACTTGGGATTTAAATCATAAATGCCTAAAAATAATTATTTAAGTGTAAGTAACAAGACCTAGAATAGGTGATCAACCATACGTTACCTAGCATTTATAGAGTTTGTTTTTGAGATACTAGACAAACTACAGCTATATATAATAAGGATTAATAATAATAATAACCTATTTCTTTGCTAGTAAAGGCTATTGCAATTTTATTAACTTTGTGCATTGGAACATAATGTATCACCCATAAATCCTTAGATTTAACTGCACTGGGTAGTTGAACCTATCGTCGTTAGAAATTAAATGACACCAAAGCAGTTCAGATTAGAAGATCTTAAGTGCTGCATTAAATATGTAACGCTAGTTAGCTACGTATTGAAAACAGATAATGTTCATTAAGAAATTGATTACCTTAAAGCTACGATGCATTTTATTATTAAGTTCCCACATACACAAGTGTCCTTCCTATTTATACGTAGAACCACCATTATAACAAAAAATTTTTTAACTAATTACCAATAACCTCAAAGTCTACCAAGCCTTTTAGAATTTAATTGGATCGGTAATCGTAATAATTTATTACTTACCCTGCTAATAGTAATGTAGCGATGAGGATTACGTAACGCATCTATTCTTACGATAGTATCACGATGAGGGCTATGTAAAACGTACATTCAACAAAAATCAGGCTATATTACAATTTTGAAAAAGTACACACGTAGAAGCCATGATTACTTAAGAAATAGGAACATATATGTAATTATTGTTATTAAATTGAATAATCTACTAATACTTACGTCCAGATATGTTTATTTTCTTTCCATTGTGGAATCTACACCGAATTAACATGATTAAATAGTAGGTAGGATAAGTTAGCAATTCTGAAAGAGTTTCGTTAATACAAATTTCAAAGTTCTTTTTTAGGCGATTAATCATCTGATCTTGATATATACAGTAACTTGAAGTTCATGTATAATAATGAGTAAATCACATTCAAGTTGTAATATAGTCCTGTTGATAACTACAAAAATTTTTATGCTGTACAATGTACATAGTAGGTATTGCAAGTGCTTTTATTTACCTGAGCAACTTTAATCTTATCATCCTTTTCATAGCATTGTAGTAATATATGTGAACATAACTTATCCTATATAAGAAATTATAAAATGAAAATTTAGTCTTACATAGATTCGAAAAAATTACGTCGCGTTAATTCAGTTATCCCATATGGTAGCATCACTGGTTTATTCTGATCCTTTACAGTAAGATTATTTTTACATATTTTATTTCGTAATTACCCAATCAATATAGCCTTCATTAGTGGCGTCTATTTTTTGAAAGAGTTCTTCGTACTATTGGCATAAAAGCGAAAACTTTCTTAGTCGTCTTATGAAACATTTACTACTTTGCTATATCCTAAGTTGTAATGCCCATTTTCAATTGCCAAAAGAGTCAAAAAATAATCAAACACTATAAAAATGGTAACAAAATTTAAATATATCTATAAATTTTCAAACGTATAAAAAACACTTATAACCTCCGTTTGTGAGCCTTTATCCTTAAGCACCACGTTCATGACATGACAAAATTGATTCACATTTAGGCGTAATTGCCTCTTAATGCCATCTTCAGTATTAATCTAAATTATTATCAACAAGAATAAACTATCAATACTTCAAATATAATGAATATAATTTCTGACTAAAAAAGTAGTCAGCTTAGATATATTATAACTAATGATAGCCACCCAACACATTCCTGATCATGGTGGCTTATATGAAAAGAAAATAACATGCGCGCATTAAAATTTTATTAGTTAGCTATAAGGCACGGATCATTGATTAGTCGTAATTTCCCCATTTCAAGTAAATATACATATATTTGGAGATAGTAACATCGACATTACAAGAATAATTACAACACTAACTGATTTAGTTACAATACGCATAAATGTTATTCATCGATTGGGATCACTTAGTCCAGATCACTACAATTTACTATATTAATAAGTCCTATATTCTTGTTGGATTTAATCGTAAACTTTTAAGTAATCAACAAAATAAGCCCGGGAGTTATTGGTCGTTGTTACTAAATAGCGATCATGTTGTATTATCTTATATAATTCTACAGAGTATTCGAATAGAGTAATAAACAATAAAAATTTTTAGTAACGTGTTTAGAGCTATAGTATTCCACTAATCTTTTCAAATACCATACAAACTCTTACATACTTGTATAATGACGGTCATTTAATTCTTACTAGTTAATTATTACTGTTTCGTGTATTGGTATAGTGCATTACAAGGCATGCGAGCATTGCTCTACAATTCGTTAATAAGCTTAGTATATACAAATACAAACGTACTGTATATTATTATAAACATATTGTAGTGATGACTAATAAGTCTATTATATACGAGTACAAATGTACTATGTATTATTACATATATAGTATATTGTACGTACCGATTCTATTCTAATGCGTAGCATCATTTATTTTGACGAAAAAGCATTTTAACCACTTTAACTAATTGTTATCATTTGTAATCATTGCTAGTTTGATTAAATATGGCATTTATTGCTGTAATGTATATTAAAACGGAATATTTATGATGTAAGTCAAAATATTAACAATATAAAAGCAATATTATAGCAAAAACTGTAATGTTCAATCATCAAATCGTCAAGATAAGATTGACTTGTAATACTGTATCAAGCCAATTTTATTTACACCTACCTTTACTCGATAAAAATTAAACATTGTTATTAAGATAGATTCATTTCTCTTACTAATTCAATATTTCACTGTGTGAATAATCACCTTTGTTCTAGTCATTAACTCAATTACGTCAATTCTCTATTAATCTACTGTGCTAAATGCCTAGAACATAAATGGTGAATGTTTGTTTTTTGTCGTTATGCTGTAGAATTGACCATCTATACTATGATGCACGTATAATATTATCACGACAATAAAAAGCAAGTAATTATTACAATTGGCTGCTTATGCTAGTAATTAGAATACCGTTAGAGCTGCTTCGATTAATTCTAAATCATGTGTATGCAAGCGATTTTCTAATTTGGTCTTGAAGGCCTGCTGCTGTCTCGATTTCCTTTAATAAAAGATTTAGCATCAATTAAAATCGAAGATTAACTCTAAAACTAACTAATGTTTGGCTTTTCATATCGTAGTTACATGTAAAAATAATAAAAATATTACAAGAAATTATACGATTTGCCCTGTTGTCATTTTAATTTAGTGCAATTAATGAAAACATATGTAATTTATTTTAGAATTAGTCAAATGATATCCCTTACAAATAAAAAAAGACTATAATAATTATTATTATCCTAGCAAACCTATAAGGTACAGTAGATTAGCTTGTATGCGAGTATACATCCTATCGACCTTGATTTATAGTACGTATTTCACAAAATCAGCACGTTAAAGGATTGTTATGGTTTCTGTACATTAATTTCGTAAATAAATCCATTTATCTACTCTAGAATACTAAATTAAATTACCGTATATTATTCATGAAAAAATTAAACTGAGATCAACTTTTGTATTTTCGTGATTATCATTATTATGAAACCATTGTATACGAAAAATTGCAATCTACAATATACTGTTGAATTAGTAGAATTTTGCCCCTTTAAATTTAACCTATCGTAATCTCGACAGCATTCTATTCATACTATAGCTTAACGTTTTTGATGCAATGATTCTCTACTGTAATGAAACAGTATGTTTCCCAAGAGAAGTGAATGATTTGATTTAAAAAGAGCGCAATGTAATGCCTCAACTATATTTTCACCGGTAAAATGAATTTTAAGCTATTGTGGCTAATAAACAAACTAATAAACCAATAAATGACTAATAAACATGCGGTGACTGAAGTTTAGTGCACCTTAAATTAACATTAGTTAAATTTTGTTGAAATAAGATTCTGGGGGTAGTCTTCCACGTTATAAAACAACGTTCGTACGTAAAGTAGGTATCATTTTAGTAATTGTAAAAGCATTTGGATGCATTTAGCTAGTTCAGATCCGGCTGGTATTAGCTATTTCAAAGTTAAAAAGCATTCTAGTAAACTAAACATTCGAAAGCCTTTCAAAGTTCTTGTAAACGATTATATTAAGGATTCAACATTGAAGTATTAAAATTTAAAGCTAATAATCCACATGTCAGACTCATTGAAATTTGAAAATATGTATGATCACGCTCGATTTCATGTGCGATAGTAGTGATAACATCATATGTAGAACGATTTCTTTTCCACATAATTTGTACAGTAGACATGTAATGCTAACACAGTCATTTTTAACTATATCCGACCAACCCCGATGATTGCCTACTGGAGCCTAATGCAATAGTATAACGAATGTAAATTAAACCTTGTAGTGTAATTCCAAGTGCAATCTTTTCAACGTATTGATAGTATCACATTAAAAAGCCTAAGATTTAAGTGAGAAATATTTTCCCTCTACTATATCTTCACAACTAAATCACTATGATATGAATGTGTAAGTACCATCATTGATGTGTAATAAATGCTATATCAATCTTTAGCGATTTTATATACCATGGCTATGTTACTATACAAATATTAGATGTTGAATTTAATATAACTTGTTATAACATCCTATCATACTTTTAATTGGCGAATAAGATTTTAACTTTAATTTCCTTTCTATGTGTACAACGTCGTGTTCACTAGTAGGTGCTAAGAATTACTGCATTCAAAAAAAAAGTGCTGGAAATAATTGAAGATAGTGTAGTAAAATATAGAATAGATTAATTTTTTTAGACAGTATATAATTTGTTTTATGCTAGTTGAAAGTCAGTCTGTCTTAATTTGTGAATTATTATCGTGGTATACTGTACACGTATACCTTTATCATGCACGATAGTTGAAGTAGTTGTGTAAACTTACTATAACTATCGATGAAAGTATGATTGAAAAAGAAATTGAAATATGTTAAAGTTACAAATTATTTTCATGCCTTTATACAACGTCCTGCTGGATAAAAGGGTTATACACTTTTAATTGTAGTTAATCACGGTCGATGTCCTATTACCGCAGTAGACCTTACCTGCGTCCTTTATTATTATTAGCTGCGCTGATTCGAATATGTTCCGTTAACGTCAAGAGAGAATCTGCCATCTTGACGCCTTTTACTATAGGCGTACATTCGATAGGAAAGTTTTCAGGAAAAAAGTTAAAATTAATCGTCTGTTGGATATTTACGCTAGTAGTCAATCGTGAAAAAAAAGTCAATTGCCACCGAGTGGACGTAGCAAAGGCTAAATCTAAATCAAAGTCTTTATCAATTTTTAATAGATTACTTAGTATAGGAAGTACTCGACACTCCTTGATTCTAATATAGCAACCAGATAAGTCTGTGTACATGAATTGAAATAAAAGCGTTACTAAGAGGAAAGTAGAATAAATTACTCGACGTCACAATCGACTTGAAAGTAACAATAACAATTATTGTTCAAAGTAGCACCATGGCATCGATTATCCTCTCTAACTTGCCCTTGATTGGGTAAAAATGCTTAAACAATTTTAGAATATTATTGTCTTAAACTAAGGACTCGAGCAATGAGAATGCAGTTGCAATACACTACTTCGTTGTTATTCACTGTTTATGAGCTATGCAAAGTCACATGAAATTATTAAAACTAATGCTCCTGCTGTTGGATTTTGTCTATATTAAAATTCCATCATTTTCGATAGGAATAGCGTATTATGATGCTAGTCTCTTCGTGAAATTGCTACCATAGAATAGTAGTACTCTAACAGTATATCGGTCAACAAATTATAGTAACTGGCTATTGTAAACAAACGTCCACACATAAACTTTATATTCGATTTTTCTTCATTATTTCTGCTATTACTTTATTTTTAATACGAACTGTTCTATTTTCTTAACTGATGCATGGTCTATTAGCACATTATTTAGCAAGCCATACCGCAGACCACTAGTGTAGTTTACACTAGATCATAGTCAATTTACTACTGCATGCTCAATTGTTCATACGCGTATATGGAGAACTGACTTCCATTTGTCTTCTGTTATTATGGCATAAAGGAATTTAGTCACAGTATATCATCTAAAACTGTATTACAAATGATATAATAGGTTAGTCTATAATGAAACTAATTAAGTTAAAGTTTTATTATCTAGAGTTTGTTTTATAGTTATCCTATCGACATACTAATTCACGCCCTTTCATCTCATACTTTCACGTCTCGTAAAATGAATAGCATACTACTCTTATACGGAATAAAACATTGTTTCTGTGTATATTATAGGCTAAGTCAAAATGACTAGGCTTATCATGTATATGTTGAGGGATTAAGATTTTTAGTAATCTAGTAATAAATGCGTATAATAATGAGCTCAAATTTGTCAGTCCACATTTTGGAATAAGAAAATGAGATTTCACAAAATTTTAGCAGGGCACAACTCTTCCTTACTGTTATACCTATAGTTCTGTTGTACTTTTCAGAATCTTACAAAAAAGCATATCGCAACACTTACATAGCAGGATAATTTTGAATTTTAAATCGAAATGGAAATTATTAACTTACTACTATATAAAAAAGAGGGAAAATTAAATCAATTTTAACGCCATGTTCACAATTACTCATTCTACGATTATAAGCATGGGTTACTATAAATTAGGAAATGAGTCAATACTACTGCAGCCTATAATATTAAAATGAAGATAGCTGTAGTCTATCTCATTTTTATTAATAACCTACCGTTAGGGAGTTTTAAGAAAAATTCAGTGTAGCACAATAAGAATTTCAATAGTAAGCTCAGCACAGAGTAAAATAAATTAGGCCAAATGATAGTTTTATTCGTCTCACAAGGTATTTTGTAAATATCCTATCCATATGAAATAATGTAGCGTAATGGATACAGCATAAAATTAAGTTAGCTCATTTAACGCAATACTGTACAAATAAATTTCTGTTCATATTATTCAATAAAAAACAAATAATTGTCAAAAATTATGGCAGCTAACCATTGCAATAATCCAATAAGATTAGATACATAAATTAAAAGTTTAACAAATCTGCGTCCAGGTTTATCATAATTGTGATTCGTATTCCGTATTTAGTAGTATGTATTCGTATACCGTATACAGACATAAAGATACACTGTAAAATAAAATTCATTGAAAAATGATATTAAAACTGCTATTTTTCTTAATCACCGACATAAAGTAAATAGGGATAGACTAAAGTTATCGACTGATTTAATCCTATTTTCATATCATATCAACACACAATTAAGCAATATTTGCACCTTATTAGCTGTCGACGTGGTTAAATATATTAAAAAAATTAAGATTACAAAATCCATTATAAAGAAATAACGATACAGATAACGATTCGTGCCGTAAATCTGTTAAGGGATCAGACTGACGTACATCCTTTATTTATAAAGCAGTAGTTAATAATCCTCAGGAATTATAGAGTAGTAGTTAATGAATGTACTGTATTTAAATGGCAAAAGAATTTATATTGATTAAAGCAACTAACTCAAGATCGATGGTTTAGCTATCTAATTGAACAGATACTAGGTTGGATTGTAAATGAAATTTGCAATACATGAATTTGAACGGATATGATTTCAAATGATTTGCTATTAGCTGAAAGTTGAATAAAATTTTTAAATAAAAAATCCCTCTGAGAGTATAAGACGTATTGAAGCATTTGCAGCTATACACACACATATCGTAATTTCTCAGGGGCGGTATGCTAAAACCATCTGTTTAGTTTCATACAACGTAAAATAAATTCACCAAAGTACCATACCATATAACAGTATTAATAGGATATCATGATAAGAAATATAGGCTAAACTATCCAATCAAGATTTTTGATCCAAACATGGTATTACGTTATCTAAATAAGGTAATTACAAATATTAATATAGACTTTTAAAGAGTCACTAACGACTCGTACAATAAATCTCCAATGGTCACTTTGATGCTAATAACTCGTTCATATCTAGTTCGTAGGCTTGATTTTCCTCAATTCGAATGCAATCTGGAGTGTCAGGTTGCCTGAATGTAGGATGGTTGATTACTTGAGCCTTTGCTGGATCAGAGTCAGTGATTATCTCGTAAACAGGGTCGGCTCTTAAAGCTTCATCGATAGGAAACCCTAACTTATTCAATCTTCTAATTGCCTTTTCCATATAGTGGCGACCTATGATGCTATAGGTGCTTCTAGCTTTTTGCACCACGTCTTTGTATAAATCGCAGGCTAACCTTTCGTCGTTTACCATGCCTAAAGCATTCTCGTGCATCCGACCAATATGATAATCTGACCAAGTGGTAGTTCTCTTATTAATTTTCGATGAAAAAAATTGATTTGCCTGTACTGCCCGGAAGCACTGATTTCCTTTGTTTTGATCACGCATATCAGTCAATTTGCCTCCGAAGTACAACTTTCCCAGCCTATAGTATGCATAGCTTGCAGCATCATGATCGCTAGAATCCGCAACAGTGTTATAGTATTGTATTGCTATCGTAATATCAGAGTTTGGAAGCCTATCTTTTTCTACTAACTTGGCGAGACGACACATTGCCATGCTGTAATTCATTTTAGCAGCAATTGCATAATGATGTGCGGCGATCACGAAGTCTTTTTCAACGCCGATACCTTTTTCGTACATAAATCCTAGTAAAAAATTACCTAATATTTTTCCATCATGATTTTCATAATCAACCGCTGTGACCGCTTTCTCAAAAAGTTCTATCGCTAGTGTAAAATTTTGTCGAATCCCTCCTAAGCCATGATAATGTAGTTGACCCAATAAACATAAAGTATCTGCATAAGGGAATCTTGACGACATACCTAAGTAGTTAAAGGCTACGTTATAGTTATCATCAAGGTCGTCATTTGATGCTTTGGAATAAAAAGCTTGATAACCTAATAAAAATTGAGCACGGGCGTGACCATTTTCAGCAGCCTGAATTAAATATTGTCGGGCTTCCTCAGCTTGCTTACCTATCAGGTTACCGACATGATGAATAATATTGGCAATGTTATAATAGCCGCTGGGATTACCCATATCCCCGGCTTTTTTAAAGTAATTAGCAGCAGCTTGATATTGCTCTACATCCTTATTCTCATTCAATATCCACAACAAATAGCCATACTCATTGTATAATGTTGGTCTATCTTCAATAATTCTATCACGATTGCTTTCAATCAGGCGTTTCTTCGAATGCTTTAATTTCATAATTTCTTTCTTCCATAAAGTCGAGTTTGATATCCTGTGTTTGAGTTCCTTGTGGGCTGGTGAACTGCATATATCTTTGGATGCTGAATTAACGTACATGGGCACTTTTAATCGTACCAGTTGTTTATCAGAAACGGCTTTGATCCATAATGCTTTCTGTGATGAAGACTTGCTAACAAATAATTGATAGAGGAGGTATTGCGCGGTAGGATGTTGCTGTTTAGCGGAACGTTGATAGTATTGAAAGCACTTTTTTAAATCTCTCTTATTCATACCGTATCCATGATGGTAGTAATATCCTAACAACAAATTGGCGTGAGGGTCATCGGTTTGTTCGGATAACTCTAAGTTGCGCTTGATAGCATCTTCGTACAAATGATGTAGTATAGATGTGGAAATAAATTGATTTAGGTTTCGACTTTCATCGGGCACAGGATCGCGCATTTTATAAACTGCCGAAGAATTGCCCATAATAATAACTTGATATCGATGGTGGTGAAGAGATGAACTATCAGCAGGCCTTACAATAATGGTGTGGTTAATACAGCTGAAGTATTACCTATATAATGGCTACCAATATGCGATTAGAATATTTCAATGTTAACTGAAAGAAAAAAAAAAATAAGAGTACTTGTTATTTTCATATAGAAGATAATAATGTCAAACGTAGACTCTATCGATGGAAGTGTTTCAGTGCTAACAATCAGTGGACAATTTGAACATCATCCTAAGTTATATTATTGACTACAATGACACTCCATATTAGACTTCAAACAACTTACTACGTCGTAAGACAACTGTAGCACCGCATTTTAATGATAAAATATGAACACGAAATGCTTCAATCTATATTGAATGAATGATCAGTTGGAGGATTAACCAATTACAAAAGGTGGATCATCTCCGGACCATTGAATGATTTGACACGCTTTCAATCGTTGGCCTAATGTTGGTATAGCATACCGGCAGATTTACACGATGGTCCAATTCATTAGTTTTGATTTCTTAGGCTATTATTTAGGCCTGCAAACTGGCGCTGTAATTGAATCGGATATTTAGGTCTATTGAATTGAACTCTTCTCGCCTTATTGGATCAGACTGCCGCCACCATTGATCGGCATCGCCTTAATAATTTTTTTTCAGGAGATTGCAAAGCTGCAACACCTACAGTTCCTGCTGGTACAGTGTAAAGTACTGTACAGGGCAGGACAATCATCATACTGTACAGTACTGTATAGTACAGTGCACAGTACAGTACGGTACACTGTACACGACGTTGCAGTACTGTACTGTACTGTACTGTACTGTAGGTAACGAAAGTAGGAAAATACTGTACAGACTATCACTATTCTGGAAAATTGCGTTTTAGTAGCAATCTACTGAACAATGCAGTACGGTATACTGTAGTTTATGACACAGCGCTCAGAGCTCATCCCCATCAACGATGATTGATTGATTTTAGACCAGTATTTATCAAATACTGTTGTTTCAGTGCTGCCACTGCTTTGCTAGGCATCAGTGGGTTGTATATGGGTCTAACTACCAGAGTGGCCTCCTATTCTATCGTCAACCTACTTAGTTTGAACCTATTGATTTACATTGAGTGTACAGAGGTGAAAGGAAAGCCCCTAAAACTGTATAGAACCTCTTTTCTTTTCACCGCTACAGTCCTATCCTCTTTGTCACCCTGTACTGTACAGACTGTACTGTACACTGTACAATACAGTACTGTACAGCCTTGGTACAGAATAGTCAAGTTAATGTACACTGTACAGGTGCAGTACAGTACTACAAGACATCGACCTTCCGAAAGGGCTGTATAGAACCTACAGTATTTTCTTTTCACCTCTACAGTCCTATCCTCTTTGTCAGCGTGCGCTACTGTACAGTACACTGTACACTGTACAATACAACCTTGGTAGTACAGTACAGTACTGTACTGTACAGTACAGAATAGTCAAGTTAAAGTACTACTGTACACTGTACAGTACTACAAGACGTCGACAGTAATGACTCCAAAACTCTGGTGCAGTACTGTACTGTACAGTACTACAAGACGTCGGCCTTCCGTAATGACTCCAAAACTCTGGTCCATGACTATTTCTACAGTACTGTACACTGTACTGTACAGTCCATTTCATTTCTACTACAGTACAGTACAGTACAGTATAGTGTAGTGTACAGGATTGGAGTACTAATGAATTTATATTGACCATTAATACAGCCTAGGTACAGAAGAGTCAAGTTAAAGTACTATAGGTGTACTATTACAAGACGTCGACCTTCCAGTAATGACTCCAAAATTCTGGTCTACTGTACAGTACAGTATGACTACAGTATTTCTAATGAACTGTACACTGTACTGTACAGTGTACAGTCCATTTCATTTCTACTGTACTACAGTACAGTACAGTACAGGATTGGAGTACTGTACAGTACAGTACAGTACAGTACAGTACTTAGACCTGACGTCTGTACTGTACTGTAATTCACGGTAACTCGTGTCTACAGTACAGTACAGTAAACTGCCTACGTCATTACTCAAGTTGTGCATTACTGAATTTACAGTACATACTGTTCTGTATATCTCAAGTACGGTGCTGTAAAGGCATAAATTGAGCAAATACTGATGCAAAATGAAGTCAAAAATTCTCAAATTGAATTCGATGACTGTCATAACAAAATAGTATTATATTATAACTATAATTTATGGATTACAAAGCGCCATGTTCATTTTCGATAAGTATGAATCAGTCAAATTCCAACAATAGCACGGTATTCAAGAGCCACAGTAGCATGCGATATTTACTGTACTGTACTGTATATTCCAAGCGTTAAGCAGTTAATCATAAGTAAACTATCCTATTACGCAGATCGACGCACCGCACTATTAACTAATACTGTATACATACGTTTAAACCAAGCATTACAGACGACCAATTACAGACCAGTTATAAATGTCATGCTAGAATTAATATTTTCTTCACTAATGTATACGAGCTAGCATCCAAGCATTGGTGTCCCTATGGCCGCTTTTAATTTAAATACGTCAGGTAGATTTATAATTGCACATACGATAAATTAGCACTGTAGAACATAGTTGAAATAGAAACTAATTAAATAGACATTATATACGCAATATGATATATATTGAAGTAGAATAAACATAGTCTACGCAAACGAATACTCCTATTCTTAAAGTGTCCTTCAATCCTTTACAGTGATCCCACACCTTTATAATTTAGAAATATTGATAGTTGCACCCTAATTGATAGAATTTACATGTTGATCATTGGTATATAAACACCAAACTTTTATTGAGACAGTAATCATCTCCAACGGAAGTTGCCTTGCTAGTATTAAATAAATAAAGTAAATAATTCTTGCCATAAAGATTGAAATTCATTTTAGTTTATAATATTGCCTACAACATAGTACCCTATCGTAAATGCAGCATCGTTTTTTAACTATAGCTTCGATCATAACTTTTCCATTTTTTTTTTATTCTTCTCATACTTATAATCTATTGACTAACTTTGCATATGTTTCGAACAAGAAATAATTAACAATACAAACTGTAGCCCATTTTACTAATTTGGCTAAGTTCCTTCGAATACAAGTATACAACACTTTGTATCGCATGACAGCTGTGTATTGATGTTAGTCTCTATTGATGATTTATTCTATAATATTTTATTCTAGCAAAGAAACATATTTACATAATAGAATAATCAGTTATTGATTTAACAATAGCCTCTGTAGTTAGTATAAAATCTGCAAGAATGGCCCTAAAATTATAATTTGATTATTAAACATTTGTATAGTCTTTCTACCGTTTCAGATTTTAATAACAACATTCAATAAGTCCTCAGGCTCGAAATCAACTTACGGTAGATAAGTAGCTTACAAATCATCCTTCACATTAATTTAATGCAGTATGTAAAAGCAGAGAACAGCGAATAGATTGCCTCATGCTACTACAGTATAAAGGCATTTCGTCACACAAACAAGACAATACTATATTTTCATTTATTATAGCTACTAACACACTGCACTCAACATTTTTACCACTGTTCAAATACCGTATAACGTAAACACCAAATGCCTATAATAATATAATCGATTATCTTCTAAAGAGCTAACCATCTAGCAATCCTATTTTAACCACTACGATATAATTTCGACTTTATTGTTGGGATTAGGGTAAAAGATTACTGCTAATAACTTAGAATAAAATGCACAACCTATCTAGGATTTCAACTATACCGCCATAATCCAAGATTTAACGGGTATTTCAGTAGCTATACACTAAATCAGCAAGATTGAATTTATTCGACTTAACACAATTATAGTCAAATCGATTATGATATTTCGTTCCGGTTTTTTTGATTTATTACTCTTTTTTCTTATTCTTGTCCGTATGCTCATGAGATATTCGATCATGACTTATTACAAAGTAATAAATTTTCCTGTTAGTGACATCAACCTTTTATACCATGTACTTGTAGGTAGAATTAATCCGATAAATATATCCATTCATTGAATGATCAAAGTATGAAATAGGTTACAAGATTATCCTTGTTTAGGAAATGAATAAGTAAAATATCTTCTTGACTTTACTGTATCATGTAAATTGACTTTATTTAGCTTACTATTGTAGTATTCTGCTTAAAGCAAAGTTACGCTATCAATACAATTAATCAACCTATGCATTCATACATAGGTATGTATCAAATCGATGCTAATAGATGTTAACCCTTACTTCGATACTGCAGATGTCAACATAAACATTCTTTGAATCACCTTGATATTTATTCCATGCTTAATTCATGTCAAGAAATACAGTCTTGCTTATATTATAATCAGATTATTTTACAGTAAAGACATCTTGAATAATGATTAAACTACTAATGGTAATGGACAAAGAAATTTTGACTCTATTACTTATTGCTATGCTCCTCACCTTGTAATTTTCGTCCTCAGGGTAAAAGTTTACAATAGAATCTGATGAAGCTGGGAGTGGATAATTATGATTCTTTCTTTTATTAAGCAACCTGAGACTGATAGCGTTAGATCTCTAGCAAAATTGATAATAATAAACAAATGTTAAACACTCTATAGTAATTAGTTTTAACTCGTATTAAACGCAGAGATTACCTGATCAGCTATTACTTTCGCGTTACGAAAGTGAAGTTTTCTATATAAAGATTTCTTACAATTACAGTACTGTATAACATAATAAATTTATAGCGTTTTTACCTATTACTGTAGTACTCTAGTGTAATTGTCCTTAAGGTAATGATATTTACAGATCCAATAATAATTCTCATTTTATTTCCACTAAAAGAGAGGTATCAATGTGATGTGGTATAGTATATATATATACGCATACGTAAACTCGGATACACTAAAATTTTCTACCCTTTGTAAGTCATGGTATGTTGATGGCAACATCATGAAAGAATCAATACTCAAATAAATATGCATTATTTCTCAAGTAAACCAGATTTCTTTATAACTTTATTGGGAAAACTGACAACATTTCGCTACCATTATAATGATCTTTCGTGATACGAATCAAATTTGCATGGGTATGCTATTGAAAAGAACATGGTCTATCCTTTTGTTGTTACAGCATTGTTTACAAAAAACCCATAATTTATCTGACGTGCTAGAATAAAATTTTATAAAAGTAAATTTAATACCCAAATTTTGCTCATTTTTGGATACGCTCTCTATCTTCCTGTTAATTTAGTTTAGGAGAGAGTTATTCCAATATCGTCGGAAAACTATAGCGTATGCAATCAATCTTAATTGGTTGGCTTTAATGCTGTCAAAAAAGATAGCGTATACTTTAGTTACGACAATACTTATGAACTACTAGTAGATAATTATTGTCCAGTTTGAAGAGAATCTGCACCAAGAAGTGTGCCAATCCATTCAGTACGAAATCATATACGATTATACATTTATTATAGCGACATACTCTGAGATGATATCCCTTTCTTCTTTGGCTGCACAGTGACCGGAAATCATGACCTGGATCATTAAAATGTTTTAATTCGGTGTATAGTTACCATAAAGGAATTATTTTCAGTTGGCCATAACTGCAAACTGATACCGTATCGTACTGTTGAAGTACGCTTTTTTTATATACTTATTAATTATGCATACAGTACATAGGTCTAATAGAAATCTTAACGTATTTACACAGTACAATTTTAGTACCCAATTCAATGATGGCAAAAGAGATCTATTCAATTTTCTTGTAAAGGTATATTACTGTACAAAAGGAATTGTTAAGGTTGTTTTACAATCAATAATGCTTTAGCTAGTAACAAGATATAGAGTGATACGAGTACGTATATCCCTTGAAAGCAACTTCTATGTTATTTGTCTCTACTCATATAGTACACTATAGAAAATTTGAAGCTAGATGATGTTAGGTATTCGAGAGAAATGATGTAACTATAACTCTACAGTATATCGCAGTTCTAGTAGGCAATATCCTAGCACTCTAACAGCGTATCAAAACATATGGTCAACTACAGTACACTATAGACCAAGCTATCCGAAACTTTTGATATCACAGTAATTTAAAATAACAACAACGGAAAATTTTTAATGATAAATTACAATAAATGGACACTTTCCAAAATGTTAAAATGCAATTTGTGTAGATGACCTTTATTTTCTATCATAATAGCAGAATATGATTACATATGTCGTTATCGAGATTTATAATTACTACAACAAATTTTAAATTTATAAAGATACAAGAACATCGGGGCGATCAATAAGTATATAAGTTACGATATATAACTGCTAATTACATCATCCTTTGTAAAGTAGATACTCGCAGTAAGTGAAAACCATTATCATTGTAAATGCAGATAACACCGATTTTTAAGAAAACATAAGTCGCGTCAAGGCCAAAATAATTTTAAATTGAATGATAAAGAATGTTAGTCTATTATATGATGATAAATTTTTATATTTAAATTTTTACCGTCTACTCAACAACGACATTTTTTTTCAGATACTAAAAAGAGATACTGTAGTAGTTGTTAATAATTCAGAATTTGATATTTACGCACACGTAACTCTGAAATTGTTACAGGATGATCTACGAGTGGGTTAGAATTTCAACGCACCATCATTTCACAACGTTACAACAAAATGTTACAAGCTAATATTCAATGAGCCAAGATAGATGAATAAGTACGAATTATCAAGTCATAACTTTAAAAAATACTAACCTCGACTTGACGGTAGAAAATTGTTTTAATCATTGAATACTATACACTCAAAGGCAGTTAAAATTCACGATGATCGTACAAATTCTCAAGTAGATCCCACTATGCATACATAATGTGATAACAACACCAATATGATATAGGCCCGCTTGTTTTCAGCGAAAGCGCATATCTACATTGTTTATTATTAAAGTATCGTGTTAGTTTGTAATAGTCAAGTTTAACTGCAACTGATCGACAGCATGCCGATTCTGGCAATAGTCTAGCGGACGAAGTCAAGTCTTGTATTGACCGCTAATAAGGGCGATGTTCATTAATTATCAACTTAGCCATCTTAAACTGTATAGACATTGTTACGGTATGTAATCGTTGTGATTTTTAGATCCTCCGAGATACAAGTACTATTAAAAATTGGATGCCTAACGTGTTACCTTGAGGGGTAACAAATTAAATACCAAATAAAATTATCAACGTGTAATTAAATCTCTTGCAAGTAGATTTCAATCAATAAGAGTGATAATTAAATCCACGTATGACAGCATCATACAAATTAGCAATTTTATAATTTTGATAAGAAATTAAAATTGTCCAATCCTGTGAGTTATAACTAAATAAAGAAGAAAACTGCATTACAGGCTAGTCATCGTTTCTAAGTGTAACACGATTGATGTGTAGAGTAGATTTGATTGAAATAATCAATTGAAATGGGGTAACGGCACCAGAACTAAAATTAACAGTTAAAGTCATGTCACATCTTGTAATGTACTAAAAAATAACAAAACTAATAACTTAAATTAACATTAAACATCTTCAGTTTCCCTTTCATTTACTGATTAACGATAAGTGTGTTTTCAGTAACAAAAAATGTCCTATCATCACTCTTGTATTATTAATTTTTGTAGTTATTAATTTAACCTATATTAGTGCTCAGTAAGTCTTAACTTTAAGTTGAAATCTATTTCATTGAAATTCTAATCACACCTCATTTGATAGACTTGATTGAGTTATTCTTGACTGTCCAAGTGTATATCTTCATTGATTGAATTTTCTTCGATGGATTTTTCTTCGGCAGACGATTTTTCTTCTGCGGACGATTTATCTTCTGCGGACGATTTATCTTCGGCGGACGATTTATCTTCGGCTGGCAAGTTATCTTCGATTAACTCCTCTTCTTCAATTATAACGCTGGTAACATTGATAGCTTGCAAACTGATCAATTTAGCATATTTTTTCTTCGCTTTTTCACCGTAATGCTTCTCGCTAATGCTATAGGTTCCCATAGAGATGTTGACGGCCTCACGATAGAATTTGATGGCGTGATTAACGTCCATCATGACACCATATCCATTCTCGTACATAATACCCAAATGGTATAACTGGCACACAGTTTTTACGTCATGAATTTTGGATAAATAGAAGTAATTGGCTTGTGATTTAACAAAGTAGCGTCTCGCCTTTTCAGGATCATACAGATTAGCATATTGAGGATTGTTGTAAATTTTACCCAAGCGATAAGATGAATAAATAGCACCATCTAAAATTTCCGATTCTGATGCAGTCTGATATAATTGTAAAGCAACGCTGATATCGGCCATTGTGACTTTACTTTTTTCGACTAGTTTTGCCAGGCGACAAAGCGACGGAGAAAATTTCATCTTTGCCGCACTAGCATAACAGTGACATGCCACGTTATAATCAACTTGTACTCCAAGGCCTTTTTCATACATGTAGCCCAAACAAAAAAGAGCCTTGGGTTTGCCATTACCGTCTTCATAATCGACTGATGATGCTGCTTGCTCTAAATACTGATTGGCCAAAGTAAAGTCTTGTTCGATCTCGCCTTTACCTAAAATGTACATCTTACCTAGACAATATAAGGTGGATGCAAAAGCATATCTTGCTGATGACAGATATAACTGATGTGCTCTTTCGATGGCCTCATCCTTACCCACTTCATCACTATCATAAAAATTACGGGCTAGAATCAGTTCGGCTCTTGGATGTTGTTGTTTTGCTGCTTTCTCAAAGTATTCTTTTACCCGTTCACTATCTTTCTCGACACCAAAACCATGGTAATACATTAAGTAGCCAATATTCCAATAACCGGCAGGGTTGCCTAATTTTGCAGCTTTCTCAAAGTAGCTTTTGGCATCTTGAGATACAGTCGATTCACCTTTGATATTCAATCTAAGCATAACATAACCTAATTCGTTGTAGACTTTAGCCAATTCTAAATCTTCTTCGTCGTGATTTTTTTTACTTGCTTGAGCCACTTGCTTAAGATAGCGATTTTTCAATTTAATTAATTCCTCTTGCCATGCCTGAGATGCTTTAAACGTTTCTCGTAAGTCAATGTGTGCCTTGGAATAAAATGCATCTTGAGCAGCCGATGCTACATATGCCTTGACTTTCATGGCTACCAAATCCTTTTCTTTGAGGAATTTGACATGGGATGAATTTTTCTCTTCACTACCGTACAATTGGCATACATAATACATAGCAGTTGGATGATCAGCCTCTGCAGCTAACTGATAATATTGAAAAGCTTTTTCTAAGTCGACCTGTGTATTGCCAGTACCGTGATGATAGATGTATCCCAATTGAAAATTAGAATGCGGGTCATTACTTTCTTGCGATTGTTGTAAACAACGATGCATGGTGTTGCTAACCATTCGCTGTTGCAATTGCGGCATTACAAATTGATCTAAAATACTAAAATCATCGATGAACGGTTCCTTAACATCGTACTTGCTGGTATAACCCCCCATTGCTTAAGATTTCCAAGGAGAGAGAGAGAGAAAAAAAAAATCAACGTATCAAAATTAGATTATTCTACGGCTGTCAAGCAGTCGAAAGAGTTGATAGTAATAAGATATTCATTTTTTATCACGTTATAATTACATTGATTATGATGATCGCTTACCGTCTCAATTACGCTAAACCTTTACGATCAAAAAAAAAGAAGTGGCTTTGTTTTCTCTCAAGATTGAAAGAAAAGGTTGAAGATCGTTGTTATTCTGCCAATAAATAGATATTGATGTATTATGCGTATGGCACAGACTCATTTTGTAGCATCATAGTACAGTTCAAATATACCCAAAATGATGTTGGAAATTGTTATTTTGAAAAACTGAGAAAGGGTAAACAGTCCATAACAAAATTACTCGTTCTAGCTAGAGGACTGTTGAAGCGCTAATTCGCTCCCTGTACAGTACAGTACAAGATTTGTCTTGTACGCCTCAAAACGAGTAAATGTTGCATGCCATACAAGCATTTCAATACATAATTTACCTACTCACCTTTCAATAACGTTGCAATGAGGCAGAATTACAATTTCAGCAACGTTTAAGTTAGGCTTATTGACTGTACGCGTTAAGATAATCTAAACTAACTAATAACGATGACAATCGACGCCCAAATCCAACGATTGTAGTCGATTTTGCCAAGTTGCAATTGATTTTATATACAGTAGGGGAAAGCGCTGGATGGGCAACGACACGCTGGATGCTAACTTACTTTTATACTTTACTCTAGTACGACGACTCATTCACAAGACTGTCCAGAACTACCCAATCAGCCAGCATTGGATGAGATTTTCACTGGTTGGAGACTTGCTGCAAGGCTTTACTAATCATACTACTAAAGTATTCCATGCTAGTGTATTGTTTAGGCACACTGGTTTAAAGGGGGGGGGGTAGCTTTCCTTATTGTTCTCACCACACTCGTTGTTGTCGCATGGGACTACAGTAGTACAGTACAGTACAGTACAGTACAGTACCGTAGATCTTGTACAGTGTACAGTACAGTACAGTACTGTAGATGTCCTAGTCGAAGTACTGTACACTGTACAGTCTGAGAATTATTTTCCATGACACCACTTCGTTCAAAAATCAACATTGTATTCCGTTAAAATTCTTGTAGGATAATATTGATATACACCCATGGAAGGATATCTCCACAACATCCAATTGATCTAGTTTGGGCTTGATTGAACGTCTACAATTCTCGATCTTTTCAGCGGTGGCATCCAAATCAAACTGTACAGTACTAGACCGTTGACCATGGTACGCGCTACACTTTCAGTACAGGACTCACTTCTACGATCCCTACTGTACGTCAAGTTTGACTGTACTGCATACTGAGGGATACGAGTTCATACTTTCTGTACTATTGCCGATTTTGCACATCTTTCTCTATTATAGATTGCCAGATTGACAAGTTAAAAGCGGTCTGAGCAATTTTTTTTTTTTAGCCACTTTGTCATTGTTTATCTTTATAATAAACAATATATTGTATTATTATTACTGTATTTAGAAGGGGAGTTTATTTGTACAGTCCTTGTACTACAGTAGGAGACTTCTAAATGGGTTGAAGACCAGACCGGGCCAAAGATCGATACATCTGCTCCATGTGCGGTCACGATAATCCACCACTGTCATACAGTGAAAAGGATTTTGACAGAACGAGCCGCAATATGGCCCTTTCTACTCTACCTTACTATAAAAAGTCACTCTAATTATTGATTCATTTTATTTTATGGTAATCAGCAACTCACAAGACAAAATCCCGGTCTACGTGCAGTCGTGGACAGTAAAAATAAATAACATGCAGTAATCCGCTTGTTACTGGTTATTACGGCACTACGTTTCCGAAATTATAGAGTTAAAGAACATATTGTTGCTCACACTGTTGCAGTGGTACAGTATACTGATTGTCAGCCTTTTAGAAGGGTAGTTTTTAGGCGTTATAGTAGCAGTACTACATTCTTACTCGATCTTTCGACAGGTTAACGTAGTAATTTGTACATGCAACTCAAAGTAAGTACTTTACGACGTAAAATTGTCAGCAAGTAGTCCGTAACACCACTGATTAACAGGGGTAGAGAGGTTTCGGCCAAGTAAACGAAAAATTCATGTTTCAAGTCAAGTGATAAGCCGACTTTGCTTAAATTGAATCTTTTTAATCAGATTTTAATGTACTGTACAGCAGAATCAATGGACAGTATCAGTAGTATGGAAAGTTAAAACTTTGAAGTACTGCTCAAACTGGATAGTATCCTATCAGAGATTGCTAGAAGTCCATGACATTGCAGTATTGTTAATTGTGAATACGTACGCGTAGACGGTATACAATATGCGCCAGACAGTTTTGGTCTTTTAACATTTTAAAAGTTATTACACGTGTATAGAGTGCAGTACAGTGATCCAAGCGCCATGAAAAAGAAAAATATAAAAGGAAAATCAACGATCCCATAAATTTGCCAAATTTTCTCAAAGGAGAAAAATATACTTTGATTCTCTAACAAATATCATACCGTGCGGGTGCATACTGTATATATCGCAGTAAAGTACGAAAGCAAATACAGTAATAATAACAATTTATATACAGTAATATAAATACAGTACACCCCCTATTTTACTGACGTAAACAGATCGCTCAAATCCTTAATAAGCAACTTAGCAGGTTTCGTAAACTGCCAACTACAAACGCCAAAAATCCTTCTTGAACTTTCAATGATACACAAAAGTGTTTTTACGATCTTTGAACAAGTTACATACTGCACTGTATGAAAGTGACGGCGATTACTTTACATCATAAGCGATTAATGCCGCCCCCCCCTCCGCAAAAAAAAAATGAATAAAAACACTGCAGTTCTGTATTTAGCAGGACTAAATGAACACCTATGCCTCAATCAATCAACTCAAAAGTTGGAGACTCATGTTGATGCTTTCGAGCTCTACAACGATTAAAAGCCATTTGGAAACACTGTAGTTATATGGAATTACTAGGAAGGACTATTAATCGCTATGTATTGATAACATTTAGTTTAAACGACAATATACGTATTTAATGAAATCGTCTGCAAGCCAGTGTACTTATTCTCCTATTATACAATAGTTACTATAGCACTGTAAAATTTGCAGGTCGATTAGTTGTTAAGATAACTTAGAAATACATCAAATACGAAGAGAACTACACTATGACCCTGGATTTCATTGTCAACTCAAAAATTATATAGTGTAAAGAAATAAATATATACATACAGTAAATATCACCATGGTTCATAAAGTGAGGTGACAGTCTATGAGACCTGATGTAGTACTCAACAGTAAGATAGGAAGACCTTCAAATTTAAGTGCTTAGTCAATTAGACATGGTAGCAAATTATTAAGCTTTCAGAAATTATCCTTTATGAACATTGAAGCATACCTAGCATGCGCTATGCATTAGTGATGATGATATGCATTTACTTCAATAAATCTGTTACTATAGCAGTCAAAGTTTGTATTCGCGTTTGGTACAGTTAGCATACCACAATAGTGTTAGTCTCAATTAAAGTTTCAAATTCAAGGTAAGCTTTAGTAGAAATCATTACTTAATGGCGTAGTAAATTTTTTTTGATTTACTAAAACGATTGATTGCTTCCCTCATAAAGGGCTAAATGTAACAGCTATATAGCAAACCCTTGCTACTCAACCGTTACATCCTATACATAGAGTAAAAAATGGCGGGGCTGTCAATAAAGTAGATTGTATACTCGTAAGTAACCTTTAAATTCCTTTATCTCACACTTCTTTTATAGACCTTGAAGAAATTGAAGGGTTAACTTGACACAACTATGTCAGTGCCTACACCACTTCCATTGAAAGACAATACTGTACTGTAGCAACCGGGTTAGTATAGATCAGCAATGCATTACAAAGATAGACCTCGTTTGGCAATAAACAAGTTGGAAAGTCATTAAATGAAATTTTATACGAAATCTTAGATAAACAAAAACAACATTCCATACATATAAGACAATGTAATATATATTCCATAGAATCTATTATAGATCAATCGATTATCAAGTATAATATACGTATATGCATATATGGGATATATATTTATATGCATATACTGTACTTCGCATATATAAAAAAGATAGATAAGGCATAAATACAATCAATACATATCGAGGACACAATACCGTATACCAGAACGTAGAATATGTATTAGCACTGAAACATATACAGCATAATGATAGATAGCTAATCAACGGAATTTTAATACGAATTTTATGAATGACTCCACAATATATCATACTGGTCGATATATTGAGAAACTAAAAATGTAGCTGTAGGAGTACCTGATCAATAAGCTAAAATGTAGAGGCTATAGCAGCCAAAATAAAACCATGCTACAGACTATAAGAATTACATACAGTTTACCTTTATAAAGTAAAATTAAAGTAATAATATGCATAGATTATAAAGAATGCATTTATCCCCTCGCAGTCTTTAGACTGTAATTATAAGCCATATAAACCCAAATAAATCAGTCGTCTACTACTACTACTACTAAGCAATATACTACCAACATCAGAATACAAGTACTATCCCAATTTGCAACAGTGATCCAATCAGAATAATATGTTCATTAGACAGAAAATATATTTATCCAAAATGAATATAGTTCGAAAGGATTATTAATTTTCATCATTGCAACGAAAAATTTTTCTCTTATATATGAATATATATGACAACGAAGTATATACGCTGAAGTGCTATCTTATATAGGATGGGTGATAATGAACTAAAGCTAGCAATAATGCGATAAGATAGTAGAACGAAGATCACCCTGATCCGACATTGCTATCGTAGCAGCTCCAATCTTTATAAATACCGACAGGAATAGCAGTAGTAATTTGACTATCAAAGCATATGCGCATAATACAGTATTGAGAAACAGGCAGCTCGCTTATTTGCACTTCTATAGTACTGTAAGTCATTCGAGTATAAACGAGTGCTATAGCTAAAAATAGCTAAATACGGGGAAGATAATGATGCCGTTAATAAATTCCTGATCTAAAATTTCACAGCTTAGTAGTGTAAACATTACCTATAGAATTATAACCATCAATTTCACCTTGTATGGTATCAATGAACGATAATGAGATTAGCTAGCGGTAACCACATAATTGCAACGTCTTGTATCTGCCGTGTAGTGCACCGCAAGGAACAGAAGCAGTTTCGAGACGTTATGAGACAAAACGTAAATAATTTCATTAATCGTACACATGATCACAGTACAGTCAATAAAACGCAGATATTAATTATTCCAAGATGATTTAAAAAATGGGTTAAGGTGTTTTAATTGTAGATGCATATCAAGTCGACATTTACGCTATAAAATAGTCGCATGCTAAAGCAAAGACTACTATAATAGGATTTTAGTAGTCTTGGCTGAAGGCACCGGTAACAATTTAAAATGCGACTGTACCGTACTGTATAAACGATAATGATGAATATAATTAAAAAAAAGTGCCCAAAATTAGCCTTGGCATGATTATTTATTAATCCAATCTCAAGACTAGCATAACTCGTAATTAAAATAAGAACTATCTCAGTTGCTTTACCTACTTTTCGCTATTTGTTACATCTTGTTGTATGTTTTGTAGTGTTTAGGAGTACCTTTAGCATGATGAATAATGTCCCTTGTCAACATGACGCAAGCTGTTACTGTTGCTCATCATCCGATGAATTGGTAATTTCTGCTTGTTCCAAATTTTCCTTGATATGGTGTTCTATATTTTCTTCTTCATTCGCTTCCTCAGCATCGGCTGTCCCTCGAAATGCTAATCTATCAAAACATTTCTGTGCCTTACCGCCATTATACCTCTCAAACATATTGTAACTCTGTTTCGATAATTCAGCGGCTTTTTGGTAGTACTTTATTGCCAATTCTCTATTTGGAGAAACACCTAATCCCTTTTCGTACATTACCCCACTTCGATACAATTGACCAACTACCGCCGTATCTTGAATTTTGACAGCATATAACTGATTGGCTTGAGCGGCGCGAAGATAGCTGGTCGCTTTAGCTCGATCGTAAAAGCCACTGTCTGGGATACCATAAATTTTACCAAGTCGATAAAGAGCATAACAAACAGCAAAATCATCATCAGAATCTACAGCTGCTTGATATAACTCGACGGCAGTATAAAGGTCGGAAGTTTTCAACTTTCTCTTTTCTACTAATTTGGCAAGCCTGCAATAAGCTACATAGTATTCCTTTTTAGCCGATAAAGCGTAGTGATGCGCTGCTTTATTGTAGTCACACTCGACACCATGGCCTTTCTCGTACATATAGCCTAGAACGTAGTTGGACCATGCGTTTCCTCTGCCGGTAGTAAAATCAGTAGCAACAGCAGCTCGTTCAAAATAATCACGAGCTTTCTCATAATCTTGCTTGACACCTCCCCTTCCATACAAGAAAAATTCTCCTATGAAATACAAAATCTCAGCAAAGCCATACTGTGAAGCTGAGAGGAACAAGTCGAGAGCATTTTCCAATTCATCGTTACGACTTTCAAGATAGGAAAAGTGATAATTATTGGCGACGATATACAATGCTCGAGGATGGCCATCATCAGCAGCTTTCTTGTAATATTCCAATTTTTTGGATTCATCTTTATCGACACCGAAACCATTGTAATAGAGCCATCCACCGATATTGAAGTAACCAGCTGGATTGCCAAGTTCAGCAGCACGCTTGAAAAAATCAAAGGCTTTTCTAAATACTGCTTGATCCTCATTAGCGTTCAAGCGTACGGCTAAGTAGCCTAATTCGTTATAAATACGAGCTAATTCTTCTTTGGATGATTGATTGGAATTTTTGACGATATTCCGATAACTACTGAATATCTCCTTAATTTCACGCCTCCAAACGGGAGAATAAACGTAGTGATAACCTAATTCTTCGTGAGCCATGGAATAATAGGGATCTTGGGCTGCAGATCGAATATAATAACGTGCCTTCATGTTAATTAACTTCTTTTCGTTCATGAGCTTGACACAATCCTGGCTATTTTTACGTTTATCACTACCGAACAATTTACAAATCATATACATGGCTGTAGGATGTTCTTGTTCAATTGCTTTCTCGTAATATTGATACGCCTTTTCTAAATCTTTGTTGCATTTGTAGCCTAAGCCGTGATGGTAAAAATTACCCAGTTGGTAATTGGCGTGGGCATCGTTGTTTTCTTCCGCTTGTTGCATGTAGTCCAGGGTTGCATTATCATACATTTCGAATAATAATTGATTGGATACAAATTGATCCAGCAAGTAGGAAGTATCATGAGATGAGTCGTTTACTTTATATCGGCCTTTGGAAGAGGTAGCGCCCATTTTGACTTTTTCTCTCTCTTGGTCCACTTGATTGTTTCTTGATAGTACCCCCTAGTACCTCAGTAGAATAAAAACTACTACGATAGAGTAATCGATGCAAGTATTAACTACGATAGTAGCGAGGCGAACTTTAAATAGCCTTTTCTATCTCCTATCAAGTAAGTGTAGTCCACGGTGGTACGCGTAAAACGATGGCTTGTAACGATCAGGGACTACTCCAGAATCGACAAAAGACAGCACAGGGAGTAAAACTCGATCTACTGTCTATTAGACTGTACAGTATAATTAATAAATTTCTTCTTGGCTTTATCTACTGTACTGTACGTGTAATAGTAACGCTATCTAGTATTGCTCTGCTAGATAATGAGAATAGTACTAGATAATGAGAATAGAGCGATAGGCGAGAACGCTGTGTGTATGAATAAGTCAGTCCAATGATGTAATCTGTATCTGACTAGGCCACCCCCCTCCCCATACAATACATACTGATCGATGAATAACATGAAGCATTGGACACCAGTGATAAGAGAGTACTGTACACTGTACACTGTACTGTACACTCTTTTTTATCCCGCAATGAATGCTGTGGCAAATGCATGCCTATTCTATTGTTCTATTCCTAGCAATGCACCAGTAGCAACCCTTGGATTGATATTCAAACAGGAGTAGGACCACATCATCCACTCAATCAGTCCACATGAATTACCAATACAATTCTTATATGATTATTCTTATAAATTGATTTATTTTATTTGTTATTCATTATTCATTATAATAATTAATCATTATTATCCACGACAGTAACAAATATCACGAACTTTTTTTTTGTCCAGTCCCCATGCAGTCAATCAACATGGACGCCCATCGTAGTGGGTACAGCGTTTAGGCTAGGTTTTACGCGTTCAGTACGATCGGGCAAATGAAAGCCGCTAGTGGCCCCACACTACGCGTATCGTATACCTTTAATCCGTGACATAATTTTAATATGTTGCCGAATATCTTCATGCTGTACATTGCTTTATTTCTGCGTGAGTGAGTTATTCCACGAGCGTCGAGTGGCCCAACACTACGCGTTATCGTACTACTGTACAGTATATATTTAATCCATGGCAATTTGACTGTGTTGCCCAACATCTTCATGTTGTACTGTACATTGCTTATTTCTTAGCGAGTGAGTTATTCCACGAGCCTCTAGTGGCCCAACACGACGCGTATCATAGGATCATACTATACATTTAATCGGTGACACTATTTGACTGTGTAGCCCAACATCTTCATGCTGTACATTGCTTACTGTATTTTTTAGTGAGTGAGTTATTCCACGAGCCTTTATTATAGTCCAGACAAACATCTCTCCGTAAAGAAGTCAAAAAATAAAAAGCACTACAGACTTGTTGAGAAGCCTCTGAAAACAGCCACGTTAAAAAAATAAAATGGTAGGCTATGATTTCGTAGAAAAGTTCTCAAGCATGGAACTTCCTGTCGAGTGGATACAAACTGTGTAGCAATCGTTTTATCCTTTTATGCTAGACCAGCCGACCATGACCCACACTTGTGTCCACTAGAGGCTAAACGTTTATGACTGTACAGAACATATATAGTATACACCACAGATACTCATTCATCTCTATAAATAGACAGTACAAGTAGACTGAGTGGATGATGTCGGAAAACTACGTATCATTCTCATTGAGAACTGGCCAACAATGTGGACTTCATTAAATGGCCAAATCAGAATCATCCAATTGAATTAATTATATTAAATTAGTATTGGGAATGCATCGTATGGATACCTACTGAACACGAAACCGGATAATTTACCGCAGACAATTAACGCATTAAATCAATTTTACGCTGTATAGGATTGAACGCTGTGTGTACAGTAAAATATTCAATCCAACCTCGTAATATCAAAACAGATACTTTACTGCATTCGATTCATTTCACGGTGGATAGGATTGAACGCTGCAAAGTATTCAACTCATCCTCATAATATCAAATCTACATTGATATTGTTTCCATCCTGTACTACTACATTGTACGGCGGTAAATTGACCGCGTCAAATTGTCCGAGGCCCTACTGAACAAAACTACTCATCAGAAAATCAATCAGTCACATACCGTACTATTAAGTTAATAACACAGCCATGAAAGATTGTAGGTAATCACCAATATGGTCAATTGATATTTAATATTTCTACTATCCACAGATGATTCACACGATTTTACTGGTTCTTGTTTCGATAGCGTACAGACTAGTCATAACGAGAGCAGGTTATAACGATCGAAGTGGACAAATCGATTATCATGCAAGCTTTCATTACCAGACTAATATTTTAATTTAAATCAATTTGAGCTATGCGGTTATTCAAGGACCCTCATCTGTAAAGAATACCTATCATGGATGGATGTGGGTGGCTAATTCAATAATTCATGATGCGATATCATGAACATACCCTATTATTTTTACCTTAACAATATAGAAATTATCCTTGTACTGTAAATTGGATAGCGTTCCTCATAAATAGAAATTAAATCTTTCGCCTATAAGCATACCATCAATCGTAACAGTTACAATGGTTACTGTAATGGACCTGCTCTTATTATCATCCTTTCAATACAAATACTAAATTATATTATACAGAAAAAAGCATATTCAGTACATATTTTATAACTCAACACCATAATTTGATCCAATATCTAGTAAGTTTAAGGGAAGAATAATTCTAATTTTCTCCTTAATCTTCAGCTGTAGTTGTAACTAACTTTTATCATGGACCACGAGATACTTTTTTCGAATTATCTACGGTAGTAGTCGTTGTCTTTTGCTAGAGTTGCTAATATTAAACTACAATCAAACTTTTCAACTTTCTATAATACTCATAAATAAAACGTTCTACATCTCATATGGGTCTTTCGTGATATAGTCTATTACTTTAAAAAATAACTTCAACAATTAGAAATATCATCAATACCTGAGTAACAGTGTCATGTAGAATGACTAACGGTGTAATTTTATACCAGCGAATTATCTTTTCATCAAGGCATATGGAAATTGAAATTTTTCTATTTAAACATGACAATAAGTGAAATTAATTCATTTTTGATTGGTTACTATGAACAATAAATCTATCCTATAATTCAATTACTCTATTTTAAAATCTTTCTGCCGACCACGATATATTCTAGACTTATTCCTGCAGCATTCTCAACAGAGGCCAAATTACATTATCATTCACCCAATAAAATATACCTTGTATTTCTCAAAAAGATATTACAAAAATTATAATCGAATTCTACGTCATACTTTCTAATTCTGTAATCAAAAATAGACTATTATTAAATGCACAAGGAATAGTCTAAGACATTGTCAGAAAAGTTACCTTATAATTCATAACATAAGGGTTATATCATGCACTAGTTAAAAGATATCATTTAAAAATTAGATCAATTTTATCTTTGCGGGTATAACTTAAAAAATGTTAGTACTAACTAAACTCATTAATATATCTGCTACATGATGATCCTTAAACTTTTGTAATTTTATTTTGACGTATTGCAATTTCTGAAAAGTTGTTGGCTAAATTTGTTACATTTATTCCGTTGTACCAATATGGCTGCTTAATTACACAATCACCAATGACGACACTATGCATCCTTTTGCTAATCATTAGCAAATCAAACTGCATTTAGGTTATTAGATTAGTCAGCGCTATAATTAAAACATTATTTAAGGAGACAGCTAAAAAAATAACTACTAGAATGTTTATGGATATGAATTATTTAAAAACCCTGCATTCTTCCAATAAAAATCATAGCGATATATTCCTTTGCTTTCTGTAATAACTCTGGAGAAATTTATCAACCTTATACGATTTTACTTTTATTGAAAGCAAACCTGCCAATTTTTGATTAAGTATTCTTATCCAAGTAAGTTGGTACCGATGATTAATAAAAAGATATGATTTAAAGTTTTAAAGTATACCAAGAATTCATCTCTTTCTAATCGTTTGCAGTTGTTTGTAAATATATTAAAACACATACGCTGTCTCATAAAATATTCACTACCTACAAAAATTTTAATCTAAATGCTACAGATATAAAATTCAACAATTGCAAGATAACATCTTTATTACACATAAGTAAATCAGATATTCTATATTGTAAAGCGTGCTAAAAATCAAGAATTTAATAAGAAGGTGATTTTCCTGTATCCTTAATCATACTACTCATATCCGTATATGTAATATTTCGACTTAATCTACCAAAATGCTTCTGCCAGTAATACATTCTAATTCATATACATTATTCTTAAGGCTATATCTAATTGTAGTGTTTGTAATTCTTAACCATATCAAGCATTCGTTACCGGTAAATAGCTATGCAACTGAAGTTAAATTCTATTACTATTTGTAACTAAACTGGAATTATAGCAGAATTAAAAATGCAAACGTAAACAAGAATAGTGACTCAATATGCTATTTATAAAATGAAAAAAATATTCAGCAATTGCTATCCTATAATTTGATTCATAGTCCTGTTTAATACGTAGCAGTAGTAATTAAAATAGGCATAAAATTGCAAAACAAAGTGTTAAAAATCGAAATGAGCTAAATCGCTTTCCTACCTAAATACCAATTAACCACATTAATTGTTGCAAAGATCACCTATAATGCCTAGCTGTGATTGATGCAGTAGTATCAAGTTTTAAGAAATTTATACGTACTAATCTTTAGTGTAGCTGGAGACCGTGAAACATTTTCAATTGGTACTATATGTAAAAGTAAATTAATTTAAAATTACTACTACAAGCAACAGCTATGGGAAAAGTTTTATGACCTAAAAGAAATGTTTATTTCACATATCGCAGTAGCTGAATGATAAAGAAATTTAAGTAATTTATAAGCTAGACTACTAACAAAGCTTAAAAACTTCATAAATCAAGATTTGAAACAAACTTATATAGGATAATATTTGATAAATTAACCGGAAAAGATAAAATATTATCTTATGTGCGCGTCAGCGAATACTCTAACTTGAACAACATGGAATCATACCTTATATTATCTATATTTCAGTTTTACGAATTAAAGACTCGTTGAAACATTGCCATCAGTTGGGCTATAAGCTAGGGGCAATATTCATTAAGATGGTACAGGTAGTTCATGCCATTTCACGATCGTGGCATTACATCTTATATCGTCTTCGTCCAAAACGTATAGTAAAATTCAAAATGGGCAAAGTTAAAAAAATTTTGGTTGTATCAAAATCCAATAAAGACTTAGGTATGAAATGTTCTATTTGTACAGCAAAGAGCGTAAAATCCATTATCCGACATACGTCTTACAGTATGTTGCTCTTACAATGCTATCCAGATTTTACGTATAGATAGTAATTTTGAATATTTTGCCTATTTAATGGATAAATTTATCTGTAATAAAAACATTGTCAGGATTGACAAGACAAGCAATGTCTCATGTTACGTCTACCAATCTTATTCCGTGGAATCGACCCACTGTTGACTTTATCAACGTAAGTATCTGATCCATCAAAAAAATAAGATAATACTACTGTATATCAATGACGCAAAGCTATCACAACCGCAAAAACTAAAAATATCATCCTTTTTTCTAATAAAGAATGTCGCAATTGTTTCTACGGTAAAAGTGGCAAACGAATATTCCAATTTAGGATTTATTAGCTATAATACAAATGAAATTGAAAAGTGGCTACATCATATCAATATTTTAACGCATATTCAAGAGCATCTACAATGTGAGAATATCATACAGTACATTTGGTCGCATAAGACGGAATTGATCAAGTTACCCCAAGCGTTGAACGAACTTTTATGTCATCGCTTGAAATCTAAATTGTTAGTAATTCCCTTTGATAATTAATACACGTTTATAAAATATTTACTTTGGTACTGTTTAGATTTAATGTGATGAATATTTACTTGTAGATTTCCAAAAATACATACAGTACAACAGTAATTTGATATAATCCACATGAATAATTGTATCAATTTACAGCTAATTTGGCTAATTGTCGCTATTAGCATTTTACTTATTTTTCTTTATAAGAAATAATTTATTATCCCATAAATATTGATTACTTAATATCAATCAAATATAACTTGTTTGGTGCATTTTCTGACTTGACTAGGTTAATTTGCTTTGAAATTTTTGATGAATATATCAAAGTCGACGCAGCACGAAACCTATTTCCCCTCTCTCCTAGTACATTATACTATTTAATCCAAGATCTTGCTACAGCTTTTCGACATTTGCATTCCATTGGAATTTCTTATGGTCAAGAAATCACTGTGGGATCCTTATTATGGACTAAATCGAGCCAAGTAAATTGCTGTTTACTTTTAATCATATCTTTGTCAAGACTTATTGCATTTTATCATATATGATGCCGTAAGATAGGGGCTACTCAAATTTATTATTTTCTGATCAAGCTATAAAAATTAAGAGCAGACATACATTGATTAGTCAATTTACTGTAGTATTAGAATTTAAAAGTGCCAGCGATTCAATTTGCCTACCTGGTCGATCGCCATTTGTTGACTAATTAAGATATTGTTATCATAATAAATCTTTAATCATCTATGGAGGATAGTAAAGTCACTATTTACTAATTTATTTTATATCTAGGGAGTTCTGGTTCCGTTTTTGTATAATTTTTCAAAATCAAAATTATGGAAATTTGCAAAAGATGAAAATGAGCTAGAAGTGAGCCGAAATAATGATATTCGTTACTTCATTGACTTTATGTCAGAACTAATCCAATCTTCTAGCAAGTATCAAAGTCATTGTACTGACAATGGGAACAAGCCATCATCATCCAATAATGATGAGAACGACTCAATCAACTCTGTAAATATGGAAAATATCCAAAGTAGCAAAGTAAGCTCCCGTTAGTTTTATAGGCTGTCCTTCAGTAAGAGTTGATGTCACTAATCTATTTCAATTATTTATAGCTCTCAGCTTTTCTTCAGCAACTTAACGCAAATAGCGGCACGTGGACGTCATTCGACGAAATTCTTGACGCTTTAGGGTACCACATTTACTGAGTTTGTTGAAAATAATTTTGATAGAGTTCTAAGCATTTAATTTATTTTATTCTATAGCTCTTTTGGTATATGTCATGAAAGCGAATCACTGATCCCACAACCAGAATCAAAAGCTGCAGTCATCCAATAGGGCCTTTCCGAGCGTATCTTTTATGTCTTTAAATTACTTACAAAATATTAAATTTCAGTTTAAGAAATATTTTGATCTTCGCTAATTTTTAATAAGAAATGAATCCCTATAACTGATTAATATCGCACAGTAACATAAAATGCTTATCTAGCTAGGGCATTAGAAGAAAGTTTAAGTTTTGTCAGTTATACCATTAACATGGAATGCTAATAAACTCAACGTAAAATATTCATTAAAACATAATGTTCGATAATAGTTTTTATGTCACAACATTCACCATGGTAGTTAACTATAAATGGTATAAAAAATATTTGACAATTGGTTATCAAAATTTTAGACTGTTAGTTCAATTATAAAAGATCTTGTATAATATCTGTACATCTCATTATCAAACTTTAATCCTCAGTCGCAATTAAGTTTTGTAGCTAAGACGTAAAAAGAATAATCCTTCGCATTGGTAATTTTTAGCTGATAGAGTAATGCTCTAATCAGTAAACATCTCAAATTGCTACTCATTTACAGTAATTCTTTCAAGCATCACTATTAAATAACTGGAAATTGAGAAATTTGCTCTGTTTTAATTTATGATCTTTCATTGCTATAAATATGTGCAGACATATATATTACTTTACGTTAAGCTAGAAATAATTTGAATACTCTACAATGTAATTGTTTAAGAATTTATTATTAAAACTTTTTTATATCTGCATAAATTGAGATATCGATCATACAGTATATATGTATAACCATCCTTCTATTCAACAATTACTCTTTAGTATATCGCACTGTTAAGAAATTGCAAGACTATAAAATAGAAGATAAAATCATTGAATCACGATGATTACATGAATGAAAGAGTAAGTACGTCGTTCGCTCGTAGCTTGCAAACTTAATTTGAACTTAAACATCGACAAACGACAAGAAATGCTTCCAGATATTCATTTTAGTATCGATTATAGCGTCAATGATAATTACGGTATAAAACTAAAATATTTTAATGAGATACAAACTTAAAATTGACCAACACTACTTTAATTCTAGAACTAGCACAAATGAATGGGATCAAAATTACACTTATATTTAACTAAGGTCATAAATCAAACACAAGTGCTTAAAATAAGTTACTTCAACTCATGGTTTCCAGTAGACGATAATTTTTAACTTAAGTTACTGTAACAGAAATCATTTCTTATGGGACAATTGTAGCAGATCTTAGTCATGATCTAATAGAAATAGAATCTTTCATTAATTTCTTCGTTGTTTCCGCGAATTTTTTCTTGTACTTCGCCGATCTTGATTCGATCTTGTATATAAAGTGATTAAATGCTTATATTATGATTAAAGTCAACAGTTGCTAATAGAAAGCTGTATATCGACAGAAATGGTAAGATAACTGGCTGTAAGACACATCGAAATAGTCAAATCTGACTTATTTAAATCTATGCCACAAAATCAAACTATAACACATTCAAAGCGCTTTGTCCCTTTTTCCCCTCAAAACTACTAAATACGTATGTACTCGCACTGTACTATTCCAACGTTTAGTAGTCTATCTTGTCCCACATGCAATGGAAAAGATAGGAATAACAGACTAATGTGGCAAATCTTTGCACAGAAATGTCGATAAAGGCGATACATTAATTTATGCTCTACCGTTACTATAGACTGTACATCTAGTAGATATGCCTAGTAAACATATCTTAATTATCCATAATTAATCATAGTAGCGTTTCTAAGTTGCTATGAATCCAATAATGTCATTTCGCTAATTTTGTCTTACCGTGAAGGCGGCGATTTTCTATTAAGAGATCTCAATCTACCATCAGTTCTTGTTCGAGACGACGGATACGATCTTAGCCCGTATCCTCCTCTATAATGATCTGTTCTTGCAGCTCTATCTTGACAACTACTCCTAAATCGACCATTTCTATCATTTCTGCTACGATGACGTCTAGCAGCATTTACGTTAGGATCCGCGTCGATGCCTGAAATCCGTTTACGTTTGTTTTCGCTACCCTTATACCACTCTCCTGAAGGAGGTTTAACATCAGGTGATCGTAGCATTTTATCCCTTGAAACAAATCTTGAACTCTCATTTTTTTCTTGATCTCGCGCTTTCTTGTACTGTTCTCCTATATCATGCTCTGCATATCTTTCGCTACCTTTATACCACTCTCCCGAAGAAGGTTTCATATCAGGCGATCGTAGCAATTCATCCCTTAAAACAAATTTTGCACTTTTTTCTTGATTTTGTGCTTCTTTGTCATGTACTCCTTTATTATTTTCTGCATAGCAATGGCGTATTGGGTATGCTTTATGAAGCATATCTGGAAGTTCTATTTCATCAATACGGCTGCCATCAAGATTTATATGATCATCTATTGAATATTCATTCACTACTGTAAACTCTTGCCCTTTTCCTTCAATTTCTATCAACGGACTGACCTTATCTTGTGTTGCTTTAGTACTACAATTAAATCAAATAAAAAGATTCAAATTATAATTACTGATCTCACTGGCAAAAATCAAGATGTAGCCACCGACATTCATAGTATGATAGCATACCTTTTACTTTTAATCATTCGAGTTTGAACAGAACGTTGCTTCTCTTGCGGTTGGCTTCTCATAAATAAGACATTGAAGCAGTTACGGCATAAGTGGCTACCAAAGTAACTGAGATGATATTTACTTTCAAAATTCACCTCACTTTCATCACAATCTACCATACAAACCCCCAATGCGATCTGAAAAGCAATTTTAGCTTCATTTTCTGTCATCTGTACGCAATCAATGATAGCTCTTAAAGATTTATCGGTTATTTTACTGACTGGCGTTCCTGCATAACAGAGGCGATCAACAATATCACGAAGACAATTTTTGCTACATGCTATAACTTGTTTACGTAAATTTTCTTTCAGTTTCTTCACTCTCTCGTCTTCAATTTCATTACATTGAGTTAAATTTTTACTTGAAGTAACAGTGTCGGTGATTTGCCTACTTAGGGGTAGCTGCTCTCGGCAATTAGAAATGTTGGTATCGACATCGTCCAGTATTAGACTTGAGGTACGGCACAATGTACTAGAACGATTCGTAACTGCGACTTTAGCGTTTTCCTTGCTATCACAACTTTGGTCACTGGAGTAAGACGGTAATCTGCTTCTACGATCATGTTCGATACATAATTCAAACGGTAGAATTTCTGATTCTCGATTACTCATTTTGGATTCCTGATAATCGTATGGACTATGAGTAGATATGATAATGTAGATTAATTCTGGCAGTTCTGATGAAGAGATTATTCGGAAGGTCACTTTATCCGAATGAGATTGCTAGAAATTTAGATTGAATAAACCAATAAGATCAAGAGGTTATCGTCGATGAGATACAATCCCTTTCTGCGTATCTAATTTCAATATATGAGTTATTTATTAGGCCCCTAGACAGATATTTTACGTTCGCTATATTTAAAATCAGTCACATTTTGATAGCTTAAGCGCAAATATGCTCGCAGGTTACTAAAAATAAAGCTACCTTTATGACCCTTTTTGTTTGCTGGTAGCACCAAACACACGAGTTTTAAAATTTTAGTGTCTTTCTAAGGCTAAATAGACTTTTTCTGCTTTACTTAACTATCCATAAAATTTTGAAATAAGTTAGCTTATTCATAAAAGATTGTAGAATATCGACTATATAAGGAATACAACCACAGTGAAATTTACTTTGTTTAACTGCAATATAAAGATTGTAGGGTAAAAACGATTCTACGAGCAAGATTTATTTTAAGTCGGCTAATCTTAGAACCATTTTTGTAAGACTGGTTGAATTCGTGTTTTGTAAAAGGATTGTCACTTCGTAAAACCTATCCTGCAAATTTACCTCTTACTAACCATGAATGGAAGCAAATAATCCATGGCTAAATATAAGTAGTATAAAAATTATTTGCAAGGTCATCTTGAATTAAATAACGGAGAATGCAACTATCAAATAAAGTACGGCACACTTTGGGAATTTCATAGCTGTGAGATTTAACATTAAGATTTATATTGAAAATTTTTTCTTTAACGTTATCCTCTTATGGACGTCATAGGATTTTATAGAGTGAGGCTGAATGAAAGATCTCTACAAAAAATAGTTAGTCATCTAGTCCAACATGTATAACCTTTTCATAGGTGCTTGGAGAGTGATTACCACTTGGTAAATTATATATCGGGCGATATTTCAAGTTGCTTTTGCTATCATGAATGGCTAATAGTAGGGTGAGAACACATTTAATCTGTCCATTTAAGCGAATATACCGTACCACTTGGTGCGCTTTAAAGCTTATTATACAGCTACACAATCTTATATACTTGCAACTTTAGGAGTTAATTAATCCTAATACTGCCTTTTCGGTGAAGATAATGAAAATTTGAGTTTCTAACCCTACATGTTACAGAAATTTTTCTCCACAACCACGTATGCTAATCTAGTAAAATATTAGAGCGTATTCAATTTATTCCAAGTAAATGATTGTTAATGAAAGCTCGATAGTCCCAGGAAAGATCTTTATTCTGAGAGAAAATTCTAAGCGCTGAAAGACATGATATCCGATACTCTTGTGTAACATATTCGTAGACTCGGCTATATCCCCATTCCCATTATAGTAGTGATTGCTAATTTTTTTCTATGTCTGATTTTACTACCTAAAACTACTCTACTCCGTCATATTAATTAATCATTCAAGAATAATTCTTGCGAATCAAACTGTACTTCTGTAGAATTCCTTTTAATCTTTGAAAATATCGGTTGTTAGTTACATAACACAGCGTAAGGTTAAAAAGTAGTTAATTCAGCCAAAGTAAAACGTAATTACTGGAAGAACATTCATTCCCAAGATCATGCAGATTGCATGCTACGATATGCTCTGATATATTGCAGTATAAGAATATTTCTACTGCAATTTTGATATTACCGTGGCATGGATATTGCTCTATTCAATCTTACCATTGGATAATAATCGCTTTCACTTGGTACTTTTAGAGAAGCAGTTATAAATTTATAATAATTCAATACACAGTAGCTTAATTTATTAACTGCAATATTACACAACCTTTCGTTAAGAAGTAATCTAATGATATCTGGACCAGAATAGCTTTATTGTAGGCATGGACTACTAAAAGAAGCCTTAGTAGTCCATGTTCTGGGCAATAAAATTCTATAAGGCAGCATAACTTTTTAATTACCTAATATAGAGAATAATATTAATCTATCCAGTAGATTGGTTCATTTTTTTACAACTTTAATTTTTGCTGTATTTGATTAAACCATGTACTAATTGCTCCTTCATATTTTCGACGCCAAGCAATTTTCGTTTCTAACTGATCTATAGCCTTCGGGACTGCATTCTGGCCTGTTCCAACATTCGGCGTGCACTTAAAAAATAGTTTGACCTACACAATATCAAGGTATATTTTATTTCTGTTCCGATTGTATATGGAGATCTCGAAATTGCTAGACATTACCTCTACTTTTGTATAAGTTTCAAATGCTAAGGAATTAAAATTAGCACTATAAGGTAATGCTATTCTAGTTTACCTTATCCAGTTGAACTTCACTCTTCATTGGCTTGATAACTTGTGTGATCAGCGTTGCCATACTAAAAGTATCTTGGCCGTATCTATCCATGGACCCCAAATTATAGGATTTACAGTTATACGCTTTATATCGATATAGAAAGGATATAAGCTCATTATTGCAAAATAAATTATCTCTTACCTTTCAAAGAATAAATTCCAACGCAAAACGACAAAGTTCCAAGCTAGATCAGTTCCTGCTGGATTTTGTGCAATATAAATCATGGCTTTAAGGGCCTCTGCTGCTTTCACTTTACTTTTATCGATGATAATATTAAGCAATCTAGATCGTAATGGAAAAAGACACTATAAGGTATCTATTTTAATTTAATTGATCTTCTGGTTATATCGACGCTTAAAGGGTATTGAATATTTTTACTTTAATCTTAGCTATTAATGATATTACTTCAAATTACGAGGATTCTAAGATAACTAACTAAATATCAATAACGCTCACTCATTGAGCAATCGTAAATGCCAGTGCACGTTTAATTATAGATTAAAATATAGTCTAGACTTATCGGAAGGTATTTACTTCTTTAAAGTGGACTTGTCGGTCGATGAGGCTAACGCACTCATGAGTATCCTTCTTTCTGTTGCATCCTTACTGGCATAATAGCGCTGTAACAGCATATTCCAATTGCCGCCATGAGCTATGCCACATCTTAAAATTACTGATTTCAAATTTGCTGATATGCTGCGATTATAATATGATGGGAATAGGGTGGTTACACCGAGCGTTACACGACCGCAGTAATTACGAAATTGCACGAATAGGAGTAGGCTGATATTGTTAACAAATGTTGTTATGAAAGTTCATATCATTCTAGGCCATTTATCCACTTACCTTTTATTGTTATATAGCCATTCCCTGTAAAGGTTGGTAATATTAAGTATAGTTGAACGATCACCAGCGAAGCAGGCAGTACTCAAGACTTCCGTTCTTAGTAATCTAAACAAAAAGGGCATTATTTGCTGTCGAAGGATTAAAGAAGCACCATACAGACTAGTATATAAAGATCAATTGAGGAAAATATAGTCGTTTATTCATTAAGCAGATCAGGATAAATTACTTCTTGTTATTGCTACCAGTATCCTTCCATCCCAGCTGTCTCAAATTTGACTGCAATAAATACTTCAAGTATTTCTAGATAACAATCAAGCTTATGAAATAGATTGCAATCATCCAATATTATAGTATACCTAGTATGTCTATGCCTAACGCTATTTTAAGAATAAGAGTGAAAGGTCTACCTTTCCAATTGTTTGGCTTGATAAATCATTTACTGTCGATATTATGTAATCCAGATGAGGAAGTGAGGTAGCAAATGGTACATAATTAGTCTCATTAGCTAAATAACGACTAATCTCTAAAAATATTGAAGGATTCAAGCTTCCAACTCTATTAATTTCACAAGAATAAGAAAGAGAAGCAACAATATCAAGACTTCGCATTTCATGATTTCAAAGGAGTAAAAATAAAACTAATCACTCCCTACTTCGTTAAATAGAATGAATCGTCTAGCAAATTAGCCTTGTTTGGAATTGATAGGCTCTGCAGTTAAACAGAAATCAAATCAAATCGTCAGTTGCTAGAAAACTGTACTGTATTGTTTTGAATTTCTGGTAATCATTAATTGTGTCTTATTTAATATAATGTAGAAAAGTTATATTCCATTTAATAATTATCCATCATGTGAATTATGGTATCATAGTAAGAAAACGAATTATTTCTCTGATGTAATGAAAATATCGTACCTCATGATCACTTTGAATTTGCTCAATCAAGCTTTGCCACGTTTTAGCATCATAATTTACTCTAAAATAGCCTGTTTGGTTGCAGTTTGCTTTAACCCATTTTGGAGCGCTGGGTAATTGTAGTGTTGCTAAACAGGCGATATAAAATATTGACCTTACTTAGGCTATAATAAGATTTTGACTTGAACATACTGTACATACTGTTTGCGCCTGTTCTGTAATTATAATCTGCTATTGAAACTAACACATACGTGTATTATAACTAATCGGCAGACAAGGAACTAAATGCCTATGGACTCATCTCATGGTTACTTTTACTTTATAAAAGAAATTGAAGCATCTAATATCTTATGTACAAAGGCAATAACATGTATTAATTATTTCGCCAAGGCTATTATAAGTGCAATTAAGATCAATGATAATCATGTTCACCTCCGTTCATTCCAATTATTGTTCGATTAACATAGCCATCACTAGTTTCAAAGCAAAATGGTATTAACCATTTGTACCTATCATAATAGTTAAGAACATCAGTTAGCTCGTCGCTATTTCAATAATAAACTTGATTTCTATTAGATCTACAATACTGTTAATCTCGTCAAAAAAGCGCATATAGACTGCGATAATGTGTATACTTACCGATAAGGCGATGTTTGATTAACTAAGGTTTGCCCGTTTTTATCTTCAAGGAATCTTGTTTGAGATATACTGATTTTATCTTTTTCTAATTTTAAAGTTACAAGTGGGTAATTCATTTGGAGCAACCAGGTATTCATAACACTGTTAATATTTTCTCCAGTTACCTGTAAATCAATTTTTAAATAGCCTGATTGTTTGATACTAGTAGGATATTAAATTCTTTAATTTGGTACCACATTAATCTTTATTACTAATAATATAGCATAAACTTTAGAGTACCGATGACATTGCATTCCAAAGGTTTTGACTCTTAGCATTGCCGTATGCGTAAGCTTTCAGGTAATCCTCAACACCCTTAAAAAATGTTTGTTCTCCAAAATATTCATAGAGCATACGCAATAATGAAGCGCCCTGTAAAATAAGATCCAAATTACAATATAGGTTATGTCCATGATGATGACGAATAGATCACCAATGCTTCTTGCTATTGTATTATGATTAGGAAAGTTTATACTCTTGAACGCAAAAATGGTAAAATCCTAGAGTTTTAGTCTAGTATTTATGGGTATCGCCTACGGCACCTTATCGTATGAAATATGATCGAATAAGGCACCAATTTGATTTGGGTCATTCACTGGTTGATAAACTGGATGAGAACTTGGTAAACTATCGTCGATAATTGCTTTTGCCATGGTTCTTAGGCTAAACTGTTGATACTACCAATGATAGAGAAAATAATTAAGTTACGCCATATCTCGTGTACAGATAAATTCCGACCAAAACGCAAGTGAAGTATAAATTTCGAATCATTAAAAAATTTTTTGCATCTTCGTATGCAAGCAAGGCAATTTACATACAACATATAAGATTATATTTTTGAGTATGAATTTGTCTAGATTAAATGTCTTTTAAGATTCTTCTACGTGTAGATTCTATTACTGGTTCATAGCTTATAAAAAGTAGTTAGGTTACTATGCAATATTATGCAGTAAGCCCTAAATAATGGCATGACCCTTTACAAATATTAGTATCTTACTCCCTGGAGTCCAGGTTTGCTATTTCTCATTCCTAGATAGGAAACAAACGTTGCAAAACCTTCATTCAACCAAACATCGGACCACCAGTCCATCGTTACCAAGTCACCAAACCACTGCAATGTATTAGTGTATAAATGTAACCCAATTTTCATTCTTTTCTGAAATTAATTATGTGACTACGACCTATCGGCTTTTAGAAATATTAACTTACCTGATGGGCTACTTCATGAGCCACGGTCTCAACAATATAGAAATAGTTTGTAGACGTAGCATATTTAAGATTATATAAGAATTGAACCTCGTTGAAAGTAATCAACCCCCAATTTTCCATTCCACCTGAGGAAAAGTCTGGTATTCCTACTAAATCTGCGAATAATAGAGGAATATAGCTTTTAGTTTCTTCTATGATTACTTATAACATTATTGCTACAAATTGTTTATTGTTATAGCAAACTTGATTAAATTACATTAACAATCGAAATAATGTATCGTCGAATAACACTAAAACTGGCATGATCATCTGGATAGCTTTTTGTAAATTCATAGTAATAAAAGATGGATCATTCCGTATTATTAAACACATATTCTATACCATTAGTTTATAAGTTTTAATTACCAAGTTTTGGCAAGGGATATTTGATATTAAATATTTTGCCATAATATGAAACACAGTCTGCAGCAACCTGGAGAGATAATTGAGTTTCATGTACTTTTTCTTGATGAGTCCATGTTCGAACCTGGTATAGATTTAAGAACTTTAAAATATAACCAACTGCAGGAACTATCATGTGTATATATATATATATCGTAAAAGTAACATTAATTATATCTTTGTCAATAACAAATAAAGGTCTAGTACGAGCAAAGTAATTGTGAAGAAAACTTTGAATAACTGAGAGTGACTTTTAAAGATATAGAAGCGTAATTTCATCTGACTCATGTTATTAAAAGTGCTCCATATTGGCCAAGTAAATATTTGAAACTAGTTCTAATCAGCAATAAATTTAATAAATTTACTATCTTGTCAGATTTCAGATCTCATGGAATCCAATATTCAATCTTGTAGACGTAGTACGTACCAGAATATTATCTTTCGACTTTTTTTCCAAATGCTGGAAATCTGATATTACAAACGCTACGAGATAAGTACTCATTGGAACTGATTTCTGGAAATGAATGATGGTATTTTGATTTGCAAGAGTATGATTATTTCGAGCTAGCGTGTTAAATAAGGCATGATAGCCAGGAGGTACTACAACTGTTAGCTCAAAACTGGCTTTCATTGCCGGTTCATCAAAGCATGGAAACGCCATTCTAGCATCTGTAGGTTCAAAATCGGTCGTGTATAAGTATCTATGTAAAGTAGAGAAGTAAATGTGAGAAAGAGAGTCCATCGTTGATACTTTGGATAGTAAAACCTTGGAAAGCCACGCTATATATTATCAAGGTGGAATATTACAATTATTTAATTGAGTAATTTTTACTAATAGCAAAAGTATTACTAAAAAGTGAATACTAAGGTATTATGCAAATGTGCAGCAGGATGAAAAATTTCTCAATTCTTAATGACTTCCTTCTTTCTGTAGAATAAAAATTAGCTCTATTTCATTACGTCTAGTGAAGGACTACAATGCTATGGCCATCATATTAATGGTAATGATAATTCATTTTAATTATTAATTACTGATCTCTTATAGTTTCTTTACAAGGTTATTTTTAATTCTATTACTTCAACCAGATATCTTCAGCTATGTTACCGTATATAGAACTATATACAGCCGTCTTCGCTAAAATTTTATAATCAATATTTTCGTGTAGTATCTTGAATAAGAATCACTCAACAGGTGATATTCACCATTGCTTCAGTACCGAATAATTCACATATTTATTATTGCTTTTTGCATACCTCTTTTGGCCTGATGCTGTTACATATGTACTACGATAGAAGCCTCGTAAGCGGTTAGGATAGATGAGTCCACTGAACTGGATGACTAATGTATAATTAGTCGCTGTTACCAATGAACTGTTGACTTGTACATAGTAATAATCGTTTCGAGGATCCTGTAATGTCCGCTTGACAGTCAATTCGTTTCCAGTTGATTGATCGATAATCCGAATGTCATTAATTTGTAACCCTCTACCATGGAATAAGATAAAGTCTGTTTTCTGATGACAATGAAGACTGACTGTTACATTACCTTGATTAATTAGTTTTTGATAGTCTGGTTGTAGATAAAGATGATAATGGATTGGTTTAATAGTATTTGGCAAACGAACATGGTGATACGGGAATGATGGATGAGTAGATGCTAAAGTTGCTACATATGTGGAATAACTTGATGTTGGTCGGGTATGTAAGAAAGCACTACAAGAATCGTTTTTATTTTCCGGTATCCCTGTATCGTCGATTGCTAAAAGAGCGATTAAAGCGATCAGAAATCCTATTACCAATACTGCAAGAACAGTGAAAATTTGCACTTGTCTCTTCGATTGAGGATACCCACAACAGTTATAGTATTTATGGTGGTCCTCTACAATACTTTCACCTTCTTCTTTAGTCGGCAATAACTGATATTTTGTTGTTTTATCAGTCATGCTGAGAATGAATAAGCACTAGCTAAGACTTTTTGTAAATCGTATCAACTCTACTTTAAGATATCCAAGATTAACGTAAAATGGCCAGTTCATCTACTAAGACAACGTTCCGGGTCAGTCTCGCTAGAAGAGGGTCATTACATCAGAATAATTCATAGTATCAAAGTACATGTTTACTTCAAGTGAAGATTAGTACAGGTTAGGCAAATAATATAATTTGAACTCTTTTCAAAAGTTAATCAAGCACACAATACTTTCTGTTTACTTTTCATCGGAATAATGTCAGTTAATTAACCTAATTATTTTAGCCATAAGGCATTGATTATAACTACTGTGTAAATTTATCGTTGATAATAATTCTATTAGTTAGTGTAAATAAATCAAGTGACGTACTACAACGGATTAAGTAATGGACTGATGAAATTATTTAATAATATCATTACTCCTATGTTAATATGAATTGTATCGTATTGATTGATATGTCGTTAGTCACGGAAATAATTCGTATATCTTCGACCACCCAGCGTTACTAAATTTAATAATTACTTGAATATGCTATATTAGGGTAAATTACAAAGTAGAAAATGTCTGTTGTTACATTGATTTCATTATATTTAATCCACGTAATAAGCAATTACCCAAATAATAGATTGATCTAAATTACGAGATAGCTTAACAAATTTAGAAAGAAATCAATTCTGGTATGGAGCATCCTACAGTAGTTGCATTACGAAATTATAACGATAACGTTAGTCTAATTGCATGGAAACTATTAGATGTACAAACATCCTAGCCATATCACAATAACTACATTCAACTAAAATTTACGAGAAACGCCTACAAGATGGATAATGGAATCAATTTGCTTGACTATGGTAATCAGAATTTAAGTACTGTCAACATCTCTATAGTACCACAGTACATTGGGATGTAACTAAATTCTTATACTCGTATGAGCATCCAAAATTTAAGCTTCTGACGTCGCTCTTGTCGATTTATCAATAGCTATAATGCATATCGCGATTCAAAGTTGTGAATCATTAAGCTAATTATAACCACGATTCTATCAATATAATTTCCTAATTATTACACAGTAGCGACTCATCATCTGTTGATCAAGCAAGTGATTTTTGTGTTAGCTATGTTGTACAAAATGATGTATTCTTTTACGATCATGAGCTGTATTGTATATGGAGCATTACATGCTCAAAGTAGTCAGGAAATTAAATCAATTTAAGCTACATAGTAACGTAAGACAGCATACAGTGTACATATACGATATACTGCATCTACTAGTATCAACAGTATATAATTCCGTCGGCAACCCTTTAGCCATCGATTTGCACTCTTAGTATAGTATCCAGTAGTAGCTTTTGTAATTATAATTATACGCGTAACTTATCTTTATGGATCTGGTATAAGATATTTCCGTAATCTTATATGGCATGCATTCTAAACGTACCGAGTGTTAACTTTCTTTATGAGCCCAACTTCAAACCCTCGTAGTACTCAACAATTCATACACTTGCGTCTTATAGTCGTCGGATCAAGTGTTTTTGCCAACGGTATCAGCGGATTATGGAAATAGATTTAAGACGTTCTAATCCACGTTTTAATGAAGCTTCTGTCACGTTACTTGTATGAAATCAGAGGAGATTTTAATTATGGTATGGATCATCATGGTAAATAATGGTTTAGTCGGCATAAATAATGAATTAAATAAATAAACGATCAAATTGAATCAACTATTGCAGTCGAAATACTCGTAGCAAATACTGCCTTAATTTTGCTCACTTAATAATACATTCGCGCGTATTTCTCTTTTAAAAAGAAACAAATAGTTGGTATTTTGATAGTGTACTTCTGCACTGCAGCCCAGTAGTTAGTTAGACTAATTATACGTGTATTGTCACCAATTGAAGAATATCATCATTCAGATGTTACAGCTATTACAAGTATCTTTAGGTATTTCGGCACCCATATTAATTTAATAAACCAATGATATATAATCACTATGCACACCTTATTTTACGTATATAACGAACTATTTATGAATGTAATTGATTATTCAACATGATGTTTGATCGCTTAATGTACCTATAGCGTGCAGATTGATACTTTAACTAATTGTCATTTAAACGAGTTAGATATTCGCTCTCTCCTTCTAGGAAGTCCGCTAGTCCAGTCTTGCGCTACTACTACGGTATAGTATTTAAATATTCGCATGTACCCATTAGTCTAAATGCAATAGTGAAGCATCATTTTGCATCAATCTTCTTTTTCAACTTGTATGACATACTCGCTATCTTTGATGCTATTGTTATTTCGTCTATTTTATATCAACCAGAATTTACCATTATTAATACTGTACGTTCTAGAAAGGCAGAACTATTTACAAGAGCAAGAAATGCGAGTTTAACATATAATAGACGGATGGCTATTGAATGGTTAACATTTTAAATTTGATGGAATAGCTGTGCCATACTTACTTGGTAGTATTAGGCTTATCAGAGAATTAAATTGCTAACAGCAGCACCCTGTCATATCACTCAAGTCTTAGCACCTATATCTCATGCGATACTATTTGTACACTGTACAAATTAGCTAAGCGAGATTTAGTTTGTTACTGTATAACGCTAGTATTTCTATGATAATTGCATTTAATCACTGTAAAATTAGGTCGATGGAGTAAGGAAAGAATACAATGAAAATTAAGCCGCTATAGCATAGTAAACGTTTTCTATGCGCTCATCAGTGATGGCATACGGTCAACAGGTCAAAGTCGATGGTCGTATACTGTTCATGATTAATTTTTTTTTCAACAACAATGCCTGTATCACGCATCTTATTAGGCCTGTTAAGAGTTCAATATGATCAGCTATAGAGTAATATTTTACCTAGAGTATCGCTGAGTCGACAACATTGGAAACCAAATTTATCCTCAAAACTATCATTGCACGACAAACAACGGTGATAAAAGTCTACGATTTTCTCTTTTAATAAAACATAGGACGCATTAATGTCTTCACTCATTATTTTACTGTAAGAGCTGACTGTAATAGTCGTAGAGAGCTAGATTCTTCATTTTCCCATGTTTATTAAGCATATGACGCTTTAGTGGCTTTCTATTATAGCCAACTACGATGGAGATTATAGAGTAGAAGTTGACTAATGTACAGTATGTCATGCAGACGACAGTCACCGCAGTGATAATGCAGGAGCTGAGGAGCATGACTCCTCCGTAATGGCTTTAATCCTTTAGATTATTCTATGGAATTGACTATCATAGAGACCTAAATTATTCTTTTATCCTTTTTAAGCGTATAGTATGTATAACCCTTTACGGCTTTACTCCTTGGTTATTATATTAAGCACTACTGTGGAGAGTATAACGCTTTAGTAGTTTTACTCATTGTTTTTTTGATACACAACTGAGTGTGATAGTGGTCCAAATTATTCGTTCTTCTCTGTTCAGCGTGTTGTAGAGTGCTTTTAATAGCTTTACTGTGTGCATTGATTTCAGCTAATTACAGTAACAATGTGCTTTGAAAGTGTAATAGTAATACGAGGTAAGTACTATATGACGCTGGGTAGTTTTGCTTAATAAAGTAGATGCTGGTTGGTATGATTGATTGACTGGGTTGAAAAAAGCCATTCCTCATACTGTACTGCGATAGCGAACATACGTAGAGCAGAAATGAGTAAAATACAGCCCTGTCCAACACGCGACAAGAACAGCAGTGATGGTGCAGGAGCTGACGAGCAGGCATCCATCAACTCTGGTTAAGCATGCAGTAGAACGCTTAAACTCATCGCATTTACTGAAGTCAATGCGATCGAATCGATCGATGGCTCCACTAACAAGTTTTCTTTTCCATGATATAGATTGATTGGGCATTTACTTCAGTAAATGCGATCGAATCGATCGATGGCTCCACTAACCAGTCTTCTTTTCCATGATATAGTACTAGATTGATTGGGCATTTACTTCAGTAAATGCGATCGAATTGATCGATGGCTCTACTAACCAATCTTCTTTTCCATGATATAATACTAGATTGATTGGGTATTTACTTCAGCAAATGCGATCGAATCGATCGATGGCTCCACTAACCAGTCTTTCTTTCCATGATATAATACTAGATTGATTGGGCATTTACTTGAGTAAATGCGATCGAATCGATCGATGGCTCCGCTAACCAGCTTTCTTTTCCATGATATAATACTAGATTGATTGGGCATTTACTTGAGTAAATGCGATCGAATGGATCGATGGCTCCACTAACCAGCTTTCTTTTTCCCTTGATATAATTATAGATCGATTAGGGAATGGAGTAAACGTAAGATAAACATACGGTCGTCGAACCCCATGATGCACGATCTAGTCAGTACTGTACAGTGTACAGTACAGTACTGTACACTGCCATGGACTGCTAAGATACTGTAGATTTACAGTACATACAGTATATTGTACTGTACTGTAGTAGTCCATATTACAGTACAGTACTGCACATAATATCGGATACTGTACACTGACATGGTTTCTATACAGTGTATTGGATACGACTGATGAACGTAGAGATTTGTATGCAATTGCACCAGTCCTTGTGAAAGTGTAGTCCTCGCAAGAACGTGATATCACTCGTGACGAGGACTGCGTCTGCTGGTGACATTCTTTTTGCTCAGTACGTTACCCATATATAGGAACGAGCTACAGCCTATCCTACTGTACTGTCCTCTACATTACAGTGGTGTTGACTAAGAAATGGATGATGCACTGTACAATGTAAGACAAAGTGTTAGCAAAAATAGTGTCACTCTTGCCTGCAGTACCATCCTCCATTACAGTCTCCCAAAGGGATCGCGTACAGTACGTAGTTGTACTGTAGGACGTATCGTACATATCGTCGCCTCAAATACAAAACAGTCAACCGTAAACGAGTCAGCGCTGACGAAGGAATGAAATGCTCAACTAGATGATATTGGATGCTTGCAAATCAAAATAATGTCTTCCATGGCAGTTCCTGTAGCTTTATGGGGGCCTTCACCTCCAACACACCATATATCATGTATAGCTGTAACACCAGATCAAAGAACGATCGTTACTGGAACACTTGATGGACAAATTGGCCTTTGGGATTTGCGAACTTTGCAAAATAATACATTGCAGGTTAGATCAATCTTCTTCACTGGCATCATCCGATCACTATCATACTGTACTATATATTGCTCAACGTTATCTCCTACAGTAGACTCATTTTGTATCAAAAAACACCTAACAGATTGCTTGCTCGTGTCTGCTCCTGGACTACCTTATGGTTGAATAACCACATACACTAAATCAGTAATTTGAGCCAATGATTCTGATCAACACTTTCTCTTCTATAGCATCGATATACTGCATCAAGAAATAAATGATAAATAAACGCATTGTAGACACTTCCCTTCTGCTTTTGATAAATTCATTGAAGCAAAGAAGATGAATGAGATATTCGTAGTAGCAATCATCATCATCACTACGTGGAGTGTCTATTTCCCATACTGCGTGTTGTTATTATTTTTGCGCAGAAAAAGAATCTTACTGCTATTGCTTTTCAATGCTAACTAACCAGTAGACAACAATTATCATCTTAGTAGCATAGAATGAATGAGTTCAGTTGTAATCATGTACGAAATCCATAGACATCATAATGTAATCATGATGATAGTCTTGGACAAGTGTCTTCTACTCAATACAAAGGTATTATCAACGGAAGGCACAGTATTGATTGAAGGTAGATGATAGTTTGCATGATCTGTCAATAACTTAAATACATTGGTAGCAACATCAAGACCATCCATCTGTCATTGCAATGGAATTGGTGTAATATTGGATAGGCGCATCAAATTAGAAAATTAAATCTTGCGTTACAGACGAGTAGTCCGATAGAAATAACGTAATGTTTTTATCTCTTTATATAACTCAATATTGCCGTGTACTCATATGAATTACTACGTATTGGCAAATGGAGATTCTTTTTGTAATATTGTCTTTTCCAATTGACTTAATTAGCTGGTACCGAAGAATTTAATTTTTGGCCACCCAACTCCTGTCACAGCTTTGGCTATCGCTAATGATAAATGGGAAAAAGCCAGTATAATCAGTTCTGCTGAAGAAGGGTTAGTTTAGAATACAAATTTATTTTTTTATAAATGCACTGTATATCGAATGTCTACATATAACTGGATATTTGTACTACTGTATCTATCATTGCTAAACTTAGATTACATCATGTCATTATTTTTGTCAAAATAATTTCAACTGCATTCATAATGTAGTATTCTAAAAGAGTTCTTCTTATTGATAACCCAATATTAATTCATTCGTGATGACTGTAATTTGTTATTGGTAATGGCAATTATACAATGCAGTGTTATTGTATATAATTCTATTTCTAATGCGTACATTACTTTAGCTTAAGGCTAGATAGAACGACAATCTTATCAATATAATTACTCGTGTATAGCTCTTTGTAACGATTGAAAATTCAAAAGTAGCTTACATAGTATGCATTCAATGTTTAACTTACTATCTACACTCTACCTAAAATAAAGCATGTAATTGTTATGCTTGTTGATAACCTAATGAACTTTGAATCCAATCTACTAGAGAAATATGTCTGTGGGATTCTGACGATGGATCTTGTATCCAGTATCAATCCCAACTGCATGGATCCCATACTGAAATCCAGGTAGAACTTATAATATTACTAGCAATGTAAAGTGGATCCAGTAATTTTATATTATTATTGTCTGAATTTTAGACTTTTCAAATGACATCTGGATTAAAACGTCTTTGGCGTGTTATTGTTTATGGTCGTTACAGTGATGCTTTCATTCTAGACGCAGCTACACTAGAAGTTGGTGTTAAATTTTAAAATTGATGTACTGTATAGTTAAGTTTAATATTAGTATATTTAGTAAGTAATACAAAACTACAGTATCTATCTTTACAATACTGTAAATTGCTTCATAGTTACGATTGCGATCGGAAATAATAATATCTTCCTTTACTATAATTTATCGCGATGGTTCTTGTCATTATTATTTTATAGTTAATTTACAAACTACAATCCAAAATATCACCTGACTGGTTATCGGCATTATGTGTTACAAAATCGATTCAAAGTGAAGGTATTTGCAATATCTTAAAGATACGCCTATATTTATTATCAGTGTGAATCTTAATAACCTACTGAGGATTCGGTCTTAATCGATGGATTAGTCTTGCTGTAGGTATATTATTGATCAATCAATATTGTAAAATACTTTCTGTTTCTTTCTACTCCAGGAAGCACTATAATAGCTGTATGTGCTAATCGTGTTATGAAAATTTGGAATTTAAATGATGAGGTAAACAATGATATTTATCGAGAATAAATGCTACGATAGTGACGACAACGTCAATGCCATCATGTATTTAACAATACTGTAATCATCAAGCATAAATGTTGAAACCTGTTCAAGATTTTAACCCTATATTTACGAATATAGCCACAAGATGCATTATTTGAAGCTGAAGCAAAGACTTTGGCAAATGGAGATGTTCACTGTATCCGCTTTAATCAATTCACGAATCGTGCAATGCTATTTGTTTTCAGCGATTGCTGGCAGGTTCGTTTTTATCAATTCTTAGCAGTATCTATTTTTTCATTCTATTGCTTATGCTAATTTTACAACTACTATCACGCTTTTATATTGCATTATAACTAATATATGCTATTCTTAGATTTACGACTTAGAAAGCTATCATTTGTTGTACGAAATGAGAGCAAATGATGGTGATTGTTGGATCGGAGGAGACTTTGTCGATGTAAACGATGTCTCAATTTGGAGTCAGGTAAGTACGGCATGTAGACTTTAATTTATTATATCTATTATTACAATATACAATTACAGCTATATTCAGTTGTTAATTGAGAGATTGATTTACCTAGTAATAATTTCGATTTTTTAATTCTGCAAAACAGTCTGGTACCGCATATATTTTCAGACTTCCTAAGAAGTTAGTATATACTCATATATATTTTCTTGGAGTATGCTTTATTTTTGTTTTTGCTGGCCTATAATTCTTTCCGTTATAAAAAATGTTTGAGAGTTTCCTTAAGAATGTACTCTACTTTAAGGTGCTTGCCTGACGCCGAATCTGTCAAAAGCATAAGCAGTGAGGAAAAGGCAGTAACATTACATACATTATTGGGATGCTCGTTCGAGGTTTGTTTATTGCCAATAACATATAATGATTATGATTACTTCATGTATTTAATATTAATTTGTATTTCACCCACAAAATCCTGATAAATTTTATAACTGGATGAAATAGAATGTATCTAATAAGCCGGTGTTAAATTTCTCGTATGGTTCGCGCGGATCATTTCATAAATTAATAGTCCAAGGGAATGCTTCTGGAGAGTATGTGATAATACTGTACTATAAATAATTCTAATTCCACGAACTATTCAATACATCTTGAAATAAAAAATTATTTGCATTATATGTTAATTCCATTCATAGGATACAAATTTGGAAGTTAAATAGTTTTTCCGATGCAAAAAATTATGTCTCTGATCAAGGTATTAATTAAGTATGATAGTTACGTTTTCTAGGTATATTAATTGTTGTCCTATCCATACCGATACTTATTGATTGTATACAATGTTTACTATCGCATTTTAGAAATTACACCAATTACCTCTGCAAGTCTTTCCGATCCATGGAGAAATCCTAATACGAAACCTAATGGAATTTTAGATAACTTGGTACAAATTATTTTAAGTAGTCTTAAAAATTTTATATTGATTTAAAATATTCTTATTTCTTTTTACTTAGATGATAAATAGTGAAGATAACGATAAAGGTTGCGATCCATCCGTATCCTCAACATTATTTATAGCAGATCGTGGAATCCTGATTTGCGGCTGTGATAATGGCGATATCTACGTCACGGATGCCTGTGTAATAACTTTAATGCAGTTCTTAAACTATGGACAATCTAATGGTATGAATAAAAATAACGAAGCCAAATTTTTTGTTAAATATGTTATTTACAGCTATATCAAAAATTTTTAATTTTTAACAGCTAATAAACCAATAATCCATACAATGAAGCGACACAATAGACGTGTAACATGTTTGTTACACCCGTACAGTGATGTAGCATCCTACGACTCTAAACTACTTGTTTCTGGTAGTAGTGATTTTACCGTAAATCTATGGAATTTAGAAACGGGAGCATGGTTATACACATTTGCTGTTCATGGTGGTGGAATTACGAAATTATTTTGTTGCCCCCAGAGCGGATCTGTAAGCTAATAAATTTCTAACCGTAAGAACACCCTATCTTTGATTCAACACCAATCTTTCCCATTTAATTTACAGAGTAGACTAGCTAATTGCATTTGTGGCATTTCAAGAGATCATACTGTATCTATTCTTTCACTAACTGAACGAAAATGCTTATTGTTGGCCGGGAGACATACATTTCCAATTAACTCTATCCGTTGGCGCCTAAACGAAGATTTTCTTGTTGTGAGTTGTACTGATGGTACTATCTACGTTTGGCAAATTGAAACGGGTATTTCTCTAGGCTTATTTAGAAAAGCTATCATTTTAATAATGATTGATTTAATACCTTGTAGAATAGAATATCTATCATCAGTTTTACAATTAATACCGTCAAGTGTCTAAAAAATATAACCAGTTAACTCTACGGTCTATAGGTTGTCTTGATAGGTGCATAGGTGGTGCGGCTGCAGCTGAAATACTACAAGTACACGATGAATTAACATTTATAGGAATGGATGCAACTAATAATATGATAACTCCTTTGTCGCCGACTGGAATTCTACCTAATCAAATCGGAAGTACACCTGGTATGACTTTAATATTTGCAATGATCTTATGGATCGTAGAGATCTTTGTCGATTTCTTTCCTAAATTAGTATCTTTTTAGTTAGTGCAACTGCATCCACACCAAATTTCCATGATGCATCTCTAACTGCTAACGAAAGTCTTCCTAATGCTGGAAATCCGTTACGCATAACCTCTGTTAGAGCCAACTTATACGACTCAGACATTCAAATTTTACTATTTGATACCGAAGCTCTTATTATCCATCTGTTACATTACGATAAAATATCGTCGGAGGAGTTAGAAGATTCACAAGATGAAGAAGGTATTACTTTCTCCGCAAGTTCAGGATCAGGTATTTCCTTTTACAATTATTAATAGAAAATTTACATTAAAATTTAGAATAAATTTTATGCAGAATTAAAGTCATAATGATTTTATAGTAATGCTGCTGAGTCATTATAATTACACCCTGCCATTATGACCTCAGTTTCATTATAAACGTTGTCGTTCGATGTAAACTGTCATGAAGTCTATCCGTTATACAGTGTGACCTAACACTCACAATTTTTTATCTTTGTGTTTCTTTTAGCTAAGAAACCTGCGACTTTATTACGTCAGAGTCAAATTACATACGATGCAGCACAACTTGAATTATCATGTCTTCATGCATGGGACTTGGATCCTAAACTAGATGATATTTGTGTCAAGCGGTTAGGCTTATTACATCCAAGTCGGCCGATAAGTTTCGGCATCCTTAGTAAGCGTCGTAGTCTATCTCTCATTGTCCCTGGATGGGAACCTTATTGTCCGCAGTTAACATCAAGTTCTACTGGAGGTAAAATTAGGAGATAATCTATTTTAAGTAAAATGAAGAATCCGATGATGGACTTCAAATGAAAAAATCTTTATATGTAATAAATCTAAAAATAATTGAACAGTTATTTCGTTATTACTTCGATCGTAACTGAAATTGATATGCTGCTATTTTTACTTACAAAGATCCTAATAAAACAGAATTTAAGCAGATTACCTATTTCTATTTATAGATGTTAATACAATGTCGGAAGAAGACTCTTTCGTTACGTACTCTCATTGGATGCTATCAAGTTCTCTAACTACACAACATATGTTGGCCATAATCTCTGTATCGAATACTTTAATGGAAATGAATCATACCAGCTTTATATCTGCATTTGAAGATGACATTGGTAAAAAATTATTATACAATTATATCTTAGTTAAATGATGAATATTGATTTATGGCAATGTATTGAAATGTTAGCCGTAATTTGATAATGTGAACATTGGTAAATTAATGTAGGGTAGTAGGTGATCCTTGTTACTTCTTATTGCTATTTTTTGGTGCGTCAATTAATATCATTACTTAATGATAGATTACTCAGAATCTAATGAGGAAGCCGAAGATAGAGAGATGAAAGAAGTTACAAGAATCTCGCAAATCAAGGCTGGTTGGAGCCAAATAGCAACATTGCATTGTGTGCTATTGCCAGATAAACTCGGAAAACATACTTTTAAAGCACCGTTATTACAAGTTCTAGCTCGTAGATGGCAGCATAAGTGCTTAGAGGTAATGAACTTGATTGAGCCGTTTGTTTAGGATGAAATATCTTATATCTTTGTTGTGACATCATATTATTAGATAAGAGAAGCAGCACAAGCCTTGCTTTTGGCTGAATTAAATCGCATCGGCCGTGAAGGACGTCAACGTACTATTGAAGTATGGTCGCCACACTTACCGCGCAACTTCGATATAGGATCAAATGCAATAGTTAGTCCTACAGATCCTACTTCTGGAACCCCTATGATAGATAGCCCATCAACACCTCAGATTCAAACTCCCACGGGAGCTTCCGCTAATACAGCATCATCGCGTAAAGCGTTTCTCACACAACGTGGCAATCACTTCCGTAAGATGAAATCCGTTCCTGCAGGAATGCCCAACTTCAAACCCGATAGAACCATGAGTTTGGCAGTCACAAATGGCCCTTTATTACAATCGCCATCATCGGACAACTTTGACAGGCGCCCGAGGTAGATGTATAGCAATATTACTATGGAAATTCTAAGAGATAAAAATTTTCATATCTGTTGTTATGAGGGTTATTTCTATAGAGCTAACGAATAGTGTATTCTCATAAACTTTAACTAGCTACGGTGGTATCGAATGCGGTATAACAACAACAAAATCGCTTCAACGAAGTATATCAGCATACGAATTTAGACGTCGCCAAATTACAGCAATTGTTATGATGGGTGTACTCGGAGCCGAATTTAGTCATGAACTTGATTTACGCAATACTCGCCATGATAAAAAAGAGCAAGGTACTACCGGTAATCACCTAAAAAAATGTCGAATTTTTTTATATGATAGTTGTAAGAGGAATGTAATCATAGCATTTCAATTGGTAATTAGATGTCGCTGCTATAGCTGAGAACGATGTTGTAATGTACACTGGCAAAGCGCTTCAATTCTTGATTTTACAACAAAATTCTGCACAATTCCCTGGGAATAGTACTGTTCGAAGGACTGCTATTGATTTGATTGGACGTGGTTTTGCTCTTTGGCAACCTTATTTAGATGTTGCATCCGTTTTACTTGGTATGTTTTACTAAGATTAGTGTTTCCGGTGATATTCCTACGAAGATGCAATCCATGTACAGTACTTAATGACTATACTAAATTTACACCTTTCTTATTAGTTTTGTTAGATTTATCGTGTGAAACTGCAAGTAAAACATCGCCGCCAAACCTCACTAGTACATCACTGGATACCAGTCGGACCGCTAAGCATGCGTTGTCCTTGATTGCTACCTCGAAACCTGCCCTACTAATTACTACGTTGTCTGTTCAGATTGGTAGAAATGGTCCGTTACTTATTTCTTTAATGCAGTCGTCACCTCCAGGCTCTCAACCACCACCGTCCGCAACTATACTATTTCAATCACGTGGAATAATTCTACACATTATGGAAATATTAGTTGAGAAGGCTCCTCAAGAAGTTGTAGATTTACTTATAGAAGTAAGTATATTAGGTTATTACCTTTACTAACGTTAAGTATATTATAATCAATGAAAGATAACTATTAACTGTTCGTATTGACAACGTTTTTACTATTTTATTAGGTTGTAAATATTATCTTGCATTGCTCGGATCAAATTCAACTAAAATCACGCAATTTACCAGACAGTTTTCCCTCATTATTGAAGTTTAATATGGTATCATTCTGTTCGAAAAGTAAACGCGTCGCTGTTGGTGGTCAGAAAGGCCAAGTGGTCATATTTGATACCAAATCGGTTCGCAGTTATTCTCTCTCAGTAAATTCAACCGCTGTTACTGCCTTAGCTTTTTCAGCTGATGGTCGTATGATTGCCGTATTTTCTCTCGCTGAAGCTCGGCTATCGTTTTGGCAGGTATGTAAACGTTAATACAGAATTATTATCTGTCATTATTAATCCTAGATAACTTTCATTTTCTTGCAGATTGGTAGTTCCACTAACATATTTGGTATGATTGGTAATTTTGCGCCAAAGTGTGTAAAAACATGTAGAGTTAACACGAGTCGAGTTAAAGACTCACACGTAGTAGTACAAAAACTTGTTCGTATCGTTTGGTTAAGTCACAAAGAATTGGTGTTATTGACTAATGGACTGGAACAAAGATTTTCATGTTAAATCGTGATGACTGAATGCTTACTGTAGAGAAAACGAGTTAAATAGTTTACGTTGTATAACAACTTAGTATTTGAGAAATTAGAGGGAGTATTTTTTGATCAGATTTTTGGATTATATATTCGTTGCTACGATAATTAGTCAAAGTCTGAAGACATTTTTGAACTTCGTGCACGTGAACTACATGTGTAGTTTGCGTATGGAATTTGAGAAAGATGCTAGCACTTACCATTTTGCATACATGTATTGGAATAAAACAGCTAAATAATGTAATTTTGTGAAGTACTTGCAAGGCAGAGGAGCTCTAATTATGCTATTATAACCTAATATAATTCTTTACCTGCAAATGCCATAGCAAAAGGAAGCAAGAAAATCTTGCTTTCAATGTTTGCTGTAATGTCAACTTTTTCTTAGCGGATATCCGATCCTTTTCTAATAACTATAATTATTGCTGTACATTTTCAGTTTATAGAAGTTTGTATTTAAGCTTTATATAACTTACTATTTTTTTACAAGACTATTACAAATATTTTATTGATCTATGTGAAAGATTTCACTTCATTTCTAAAATTGAAATATTATCTCTGAAATACGGTATTACATCTACCCCTTACCTTTTACGCTATGCGAGCTAATAAATAATTTATGAATGCTACAAATTATGTATAATATAGATATGCGATATAGTATTCCCTCTTAACATATTTAACTCGCGTATACGTACGCGTATATATTTAATGTATACCTAAATAAATGTAGCGTGCTATAGTAGTAGTGTGTTGTAGAGTAAAAATCGTCTGTTCTTGAAAACTTCTTGTTCAAAATTTTCTTAAGCTTAATACTTATGTATTGGTTAAAGGTCACGAACCTTTTAATATGCGTATTACCTATGCGAGAATACACACAGTATAACTTATTGTAGAATCGATTACGCAAATCTTTACATCTATTCAAATAATCTTTGATACCAATATTAAGAAATTTAATTATTGCTGATTTTTATTGTGTGATCCACTAAACTTCATAAGTAAATATACTAACTATAACATATTTAGCGTTTTATAATTAACTGTAACAACCATGAGAGCAATAAAATGCAATTAGTTATCCCGTTTGATAGCTTCAATGTAAATACACAATATCAAAAAGAAAAATATTATGTTGTTATAATTTATACTCCGTACTGTGGTTGACTAGCTGCAGCCTATTAAAAATATTAACTACTTTTTGAGGTCGACTGAGGATAGGATAGTGATCTACCTTTCTTTGAGTATAGTTTCGCTTGATTATAATTGTAGGAGCATATTCTAGCGATAAAAGCCATTATGTCGATGCTTATCGTCAGTATAATTGGGCTAGTTATACACGCATCGTATGATGGAATCCTGTTCACGTTTATCACTATGCAATCATTGCTTCTATATCCGTATTAAATGGAATTTCAGAATTGATGATTGACTAAATGGCTCAATTTATACCTATATCATGTAGTTGATTGCTTATTAGAATCACGCTTTATATTCTATTCATATATCATATCAACTTTTTTAGGCTGTGCCATTACCGTAAATTTTTAGATCTACTTAATGCGTACAACAATCATTACTCCGCGATATTGCATTTTCCTGATGATCGTGAAAAGTTATAGTTATATACTTGTACACAGTGTCTAATATTAGTCAAACGCGTCTTCATCATGAAATGCTTCTTTTGCATTGTCATCAACGAAAGAAGTATACGTGTTAGGTATTGAAATTTGCTAGATGATTAGCTAGCTATTTAACTAGACTGCTGGCAAGCTTGGCTAAAAGAGCTATGAATTTTAGCTAATATCCTACATAAACAAAGACCTCTTCGTATCTTTTCCTCTAGCTACGATATCATTCTAATTTGCTAATCTATAGTTTGATCATAGAATAAATTCAATTTTTTAGTAATATCATGTTAATAGACAGCGACTACAGAGAGCACTTGATAAGAACTTATTTTATAGCTATTACACTATGCATAGTATAATTTCTGCCATAGAATAGCAATAACTACAGCATCGAATGAGCATAGATTTCCTGATTCTCTGAACTTTATATTTAGACATGGATTATAATTATTAGAGTAGATTATCCATTTTCAGATCACAGGGTCTCCAACTATTAGCTCGAGTCTATCTAGAACTAGAAGTTTTTCTTTTTCTATCCAAATGATCCAATCTAGGTTTATACAGACACACGGACAATCAGACGTACGCGATACGGTACGCGGCACTGTGCCGCAAACTACAGTACTCTACTGTACTGTACTGTACATTGTAATTACTACAGAGACACTGTAGCACATACTGTAGATTGTTAGCTGCAGCATGACAGCAACCTGGTGTTCAGAAATTTGCAGCCGCCATTGCTCCCTCATCGCTACAAACGTCCTTGAATTATTAGCTTATATTAATATCTTTATTTCCATTTATTTCCAAATAGAGTGAATAGGCTGTAATTATTGCATATTTTGGCTATTGCTAAGGGCTGTACGATCTTAATACTGCAGCTTACGACAGCTAAAGTGGTATACATAAGCTTTAACTGAGGGTTAAGGTACGAGTCAATGCAAGACCATTTTAAAGGTACGTCAATTCATAAATTTTATTGCAAACGTTGAGGCCGACTCTCTAACTGTGACATGGCAAGAAAGAGACGAAAGTACTTGCCTTGCAAGACAGCAAGCAAAGAAAGCGAAAGCAAGGGTAATGATACCAGCCAAAAGAAGAGACAAGATACTACTGCAAGTGTGCAGCTGGACAGTAACATCTTCCTGCAGCAAAAGTCTGCAACTGACGACGATCCCAATCGTGACAGCAACGCTTTATTATTACCTGATCGACAGAAGAAGAAAAATCCAACCCAAATAGTGGCAAAAACTAGTAAAAAATTAAGTAATAAACAACGTAAACGACTAGAGAAGATTGTTGAAGGAAAGAAGAAGAAAGCTAAGGTGACATAATATACTCCATAAACGAATGCATGGCTCTGATTAATGAGGATTATGAACAACATTTAAATCCTAGAGGTTTCTCAATCCCTTGTAGAGTATATTTAGTTTAAGTATGTCATCGTTATGCAAATTGCAATTCTGAAATTCTTTAGGATAAAGCTTCATGTATAGGTTATCGTATAAATGCATATTGTATATTTAAAGACTATTTCACAATAACTACAAGTAGGACTCACTAGCAATTAGAGCCATTAGCTAGCTCAGCCTTTGACAATACGCGTATAACCCTGCTTGAAACATGTACTCGCTTGCTAAATGAATCCGTTAAGCGATGCAATAACATTTCTTGATATTTCATATAAATATTTCTGGAATACAGTATGTTACTTTGAGATAAGTAATGATCAACATAAGGTTCTAAAATTTAAACGTCTTGATATGTGTTAAGTTTCGATAACAATACATGTCGTTTGTTGTTATAGAGAGCGGAATTACTTAAATCATTAGCCAAGTATACTATCAATCAAGAGGAATTGCAAATGTATCAATCTACGGCTAAATTAAATAGGTAAATTTATAATACTATATGTAACTCTGGCCAATGTTATGAACTAACCATTTTATTAAATTTAAATTCAGTAAACTTTTCAAGAGGAAATCTGCAGATGCAGAGGAAATGACTGCTAAGAAATTACGAAAAGATTGGATCAGGACAAATACTAATGAAGATGACGAAGAAATAACTGACGATTCTTCTGTGAATGATGATAGTGACAGTGATAGTCAAATAGATGACGATAACAGTGACGAAGCAATTCAGCCAAATGAAAATGAAAATATATCACCATCTGAAAAACCATCGCAAGCTCTTGATATTAAGCCTAAAGAATTAGACGAACGGACGAAAATTATGAAATCCTTACCAACAACCAAAGACGATTCGAAAAGTGTATTTATTACAGTTGACAGAGATACAGATATTCAGGTTCGCTTAATTATATATATATATATACTGTAGCCAGGTGTCGATAAATAATCTTACCTTCATCATATTACGGAATATTGGATGTGTATTATTTCTGTAACATAGGTTGCCCGCCTTCAGTTACCAATTCTTAGCCAAGAAGATTCTATTATGGCGGCTATTAAAGAGAATCCAGTAACAATTATATGTGGTGAGACTGGATGCGGTAAGACAACTCAAGTCCCGCAATTTTTATATGAATATGGTTTTACTTGTTCTAGCGATGGAAGGTAAGTAATCCATTAATTATTCATTGATAACTAAATATAGTTTTAGTTATTGTCTGCCTGTGACAGCCTTATTTCTTGCATTGCTACAAATTAATACATACCCATTTCCATATCTAGTGATACCAAAGCCATGATGATTGGTGTCACCGAACCGCGACGTGTTGCAGCTATCAGTGTATCTAAAAGAGTTGCTGAAGAAATGTCAATGGCAACAAGGTTAAAATTTGCACTAAATTAAAAAGATTATCAATGCGTTATTGTATGGTAATAATATATTGTTGTATTACGACTACTGCTCGATACTACTGTTTTAGTATAGCACAAAGATAAGACAATTTTATCATTCAGATTTATTTAGCACTTTAAATGCTTAGAAATTCTATACTTACAATTAGAATATAGAATACTTATTCATAACCAATTCATAACCAATAGCAACCATCAATCATTTTCGTGCCCTAAGACAGATCTTAATCAAAATTAGGCTTATATTAAAAGTCTAAACCACACATTATTTTGCAATCATACCTTTAGAGCTATTTTCATATATTATAATAACCCTTATGTTATTAGCTGTTTTACTTGATAAAGTTCTCATGGTTGCATTTCATTTGATCTACCCTCAATTTTTTTCTATACGTTCGTGCAGCCAAGTCTCTTATCAGATCCGTTACCAAGGGAATGCAACAGGTATGGATGATTAATCATTGCATCATGAGTCATGACACAATGCCAATTCAAAACCTCCCGTGAAATACGAGTAAACACTCATTTGTTTATATCAGCAAATTCGTCACTTAATTACATCATGTATACTACAGATGACACCAGAATTAAATTCATGACCGATGGTATACTATTAAAAGAAGTTGAGAAAGTAAGCATCCCAAACTGTGTATAATCTTTTGTACTAGAAGTCAAATTACGTAATAAATTTAATAGTATCATTAATAGCTCGATATACCTCATTTCTATCTAACTTTTCCATGCCTGATGCATATCTTATGCATAACCATATCACACTAGAAATGATTACTATTTTTTGCCTTTGCATTGCAACTGTGTAGGATTTTCTTCTAAAGAAATATGCTGTCATTGTTCTTGACGAAGCTCATGAACGTAGTGTATTTACTGACATCCTTATTGGTTTGCTATCACGGATAGTACCTCTTCGAAATAAAGTATGAAATAACAATATATATATATATATATTAAATGATTCTCATTAATCCGCATTTATTTTTGGTCGTATTGGTGAATATTAGAAAGGAATACCTCTAAAACTAATTATCATGTCAGCTACATTAAGAGTAGCGGATTTTAGCGAGAACAAAAGGCTCTTCCCCATTCCACCTCCAGTGGTCAAGGTATGTACGTCTGTTTTGTTGCATAATATAGCCTACATAGTGCAACACTCTAAAGATTCTTATAGCATTCATTCTATATCCTTCTTAACGTTATGCAGGTATACTTACTTAACGCTAACAGGGTTTTAATTTAGAATGATGCCTACAGCTTTGATGAACTACTTTTACATTGAGGTGTAATTCAATGTATGTGTACCTTTCTTAATATTTTAGGTAGAAACGAGGCAATATCCTGTTTCGGTTCATTTTAGTAAGAAGACGCCAGAGAATTATGTTGCAGAAGCATATAGAAAAGTTAGTAAATTGAATCAGCGATGATTAATTACAGTTGGAATCGATATGATTGCGATAATTCTTGTAGGTATGTAAAATTCACCGACAATTAAAAGATGGTGGTATACTAGTATTTTTAACTGGTCAAGCGGAAATAAGTGCATTATGTCGTAAATTACGTCGAACCTTTCCTGAATGCAGCAAAATCAATGAAACCGATACAACAGGTAGTATTTTAGTACTGACTTGTGCAATTCCCGTGGTTATTTGTTTACTGTTAAAATACCGTAGGCGGTTTTTGTTCTTAATTACTACCAAGCTAAGACTATAAATTGTATATAGAAAACGTCTCCCGGAGAGAGGACGATAGTGAAGAAAACTTAAAGTATGTCAGTTATTAGGTCTTGCATTATGATATATTTCGTACGATATAAAATACTTCTGTTACTGAAGCACAGTAATATCCTACTACCGCACAATATATCATAGGAAAAATACCTCCCCTCCAAAATTAGAAGATCGAGACTGCGAGATTGACTGTGTCGATGATTTATATGACAATGGATTGGCCAGTGATGACGATGAAAGCCAATCAGACGATGTAACATTTATGCTATGGAATAACTGTTCGTCTATTTGTTAAAATTAATGGATTGTGCAACTAAAATATTAACCTCTACTATCAGGATGTTCCACAAGCAAATGATTCAAATCTTCCCTTGTATGTTCTTCCCTTGTTCTCGTTACTTAGCGGAAAGAGACAAAGTTTGGTAAGCCTTTGTAATATAGTTATGTATGCGTCTATCCGTAGATATACAAATGTGTCATTTTAAAAATGTCTATCTTTGGTGAATGACACATCATATAATAGTTATGCATCTTTTATAGAAATTAAAGATATCGTTATTATGTTGAAACCAATAAAATATTTTGGTGTAGGTTTTCCAACCTCCTCCGGAAGGAACAAGACTATGTGTTGTAGCTACGAATATCGCAGAAACATCAATTACAATTCCAAATATTAAATATGTGGTCGATTCTGGAAAGGTTCATATTGATTGATCATCTATAATACGTTCCAAATTCCATAATTGATATATCTAATCACGTACTAAAATCGTTGTTAATACTGTATATCAGGTTAAAAGACGATACTTCGATAAAGTTACTGGAATTTCATCCTTTGTGTAAGAAATTTTTTTCGAAATCAGATAGTTTTATGAGACAAAAAGGATATCTTATTTATATTCCCTTGTGCAGTGTTACCTGGACCTCGAAAGCATCTGCAAACCAAAGAGCAGGTAGAGCAGGAAGAACTGAACCTGGACACTGTTATAGGTAGGTGTTGCAGTTTAAATATGAAAGTAGTACTCAAAAAAGTTTCTTATCTATATCGAGTTTGGAATCATTTCGAGTAAAAATTTTATCAAGCTTATCAAATGACTTTATTCTACATTATTAATAATAGATTAAAAATTTCTAACATTTTTTAAATTTACTTAGACTATACTCTTCGGCTATATTTAACAATGAATTCGACGACTTTTCGCCACCAGAAATGATTAGGAGACCAGTAGATGACCTGGTTTTACAAATGAAGGTTAGATTTTAACTTCCGGAAACCGTTAGTAGGAACTAGCAAGATGATAATTATTGCAATAATATTCGTTTCGTTAAGTGATTATTCGTAGAAATTAAGAAATCAATTTTTACGGTTTCATATTGTAGGCTATTGGAATCCAGAAAGTAATCAATTTTCCTTTTCCTACCTGTCCTGAAAGAGAAGCTTTACAGGTTTTTAGCAATTGATCAACAGATTTGGTCATTGCAAATCTGATCTCGTTATGATACTTGGATTAATGTTAGGCTGCCGAGCAACTGTTATTCAACCTGGGATCTTTAGAAGACAAAAGCAATAACACAAGTATATATAAATTCTTATTACTGCTACTATACACGCATTAGAATTAGTTTGTTTAAATGGGCTGTGTTAATTCTAAATGATGAAACTTCATTTTTGCATTAGAAAAGAGCTATTCAATAACAAGCTTAGGCAAAGTTATGTCTCAGTTCCCGGTAGCTCCGCGATATGCTAAAATGTTGGTTATTAGCGAACAATATGGTTGTTTGCCTTACGTAATCACTCTTGTTGCAGCGTTAACCGTAAAGGTAAAACTGAAACTTTCTAGCATATTTATTTAGAATTTGAATCTTTATTTATACCACGGGTTAGGACATTTTTTTCGATATCGATGAAATAAGTCAAGATTCTTCAAAACAGGTAAGTAACAGTATTATCATAAGAAAACTGGTAAAATAGGCGCTACAATAATTTAGGAATATGTTTTAAAATAGCGTATCTCTATTACCTAGGATCCCGCAATAATTGCAGCTAAACTTCGAATAAAGCAAACGAGAAAAGTATGGGCTTCTGAGGTTGAGGCAGATATCTAATTTTTACTTAATCAATAACAATTATTTCTATATACTCTATACTATAATTGTATTAATGTCTTTTATCGTACGTTAGGGTGCAAAATGTTTATTGGGAGACTACATGGTGTATTTGCGTTCTGTTGGGGCTTCAGAATATGCTAAAAATAGCATTGATTTTTGCGCAAAGACTGGACTCAGATACAAAGCGATGACAGAAATACGAAAGCTTCGTGTACAACTAACTAATACTGGTTTGTTATTGATATACTTGAGCTTATCAAATTGTAAAGTAATGCCATGATCTGTTCTAAAAGTTTTTTTGTATGATTTGTAAACAAATTTGGTATGTCTTAAATAGTAAATGGCATAAACTCGTCTTCTAATGAATGCGTTGATCCAAAGATGCCTCCTCCAACACAGATACAGGTATATATCAGGTTTCAATCCTCAAACCGAAGCGACTTGATTGCAACCAATTTGTCACTAAAATTTGTCATTCAAAATTTAGTGCAATCTCATTCGCCAGATTATCCTTGCTGGCATGTGTAATTACGTTGCAAGGTATTCTATTTCTAATTTTATCATAATCTCGAACATTTACTACTGGAAATTTACTTATAAAAAATTAAACTACTTTAATAGGAAGGTGCCAGCAGAGGGAATCAAGGATCCTAAAATGAAAGATGCTTATCAAGTTTGTTTTATATCTTCTATTGCTATTTACTTATAAGTTAAGCACATCTAATAATTTAATTATTACAGAGTTGTTTAACCAACGATTGGGTATATATACATCCTACGTCATCGTTATCGAATCAATTGCCAGAGTTTGTAGTTTATCAAGAAATTTTGGAGACTAAAAGACTATATATGAAAAGTAAATTTCTTACGCTTATCAACTTGGATTGTTATAAATATTTTTAACGTAGCAGATGAGTTTGCTAAGAGTTCAATTTATAATTGCGTATATAAAGCGTATACAATAATACAAAATTTTTAATTTTAAAGACGTATGTGCTGCACAGCCCGACTGGTTTCCTAAACTATTGCCAAGCCTTTGTACATTCTCAAAACCGTTAGATGATCCGCCTGTTCGATATGATACAGATAGTGGCAGGATTAAATGTCATATGTCGTGCACATTCGGTAAACGGATTCAAGAAGTTAATTCAATCTCAACGAGATACTAATTTGATGCTGTACATATTATCTAAGGTCCTCAGGCATGGCCAATCCCACCAGCTGAAGTAGATTATCCAGAATCAATCGAAAAATATAAATGGTTTGCTGTATTCTTATTGGATGGGAAAGTAAGGAAGCACCTATAATTTACTTCATCATATCTAAAACTATTGATTATTAATCAACATTTGCACATTATATAGATATTTCCAAAATTGTCCGCATATTCATCAAAGCTCCTGAGCTCTCCGAAAACAATGGTAAAAAGTTGGGCAAAGTATGTTTATTGATTCATCAAATTATCGTGCAAACTTTTAAATAGTTTTAATATACATGTACAACTTGTCTGTAGTCATTCCATCGAAGAAAACTATTAAGCATAGTGTAATTTATAGGCTGCAGCCACGAACTGAATCATTACTTCAAGCATTAATACATGAGAATATAGCTACACGTGACTCTTTAGCAGAAAAGTGGAAAATCAAACCAGACTGTAAGTGATTATATTTTTTTATTTTTATTGGTATTGTTTATGGATTTTCGTTACTCGAAAATTGCAATATCGCTATAGTGCAAGACATTTGAAAATTCTTAATAAACACTTCAATAATAGATCTATTTGATGTCTATTCGAGATGGTTACCGCAGTCTTATCATGAGGAAGTAATATCGATGTGGCCGCCTGTTAAGACAGACGAATGAATCTGCTCAACGGCAATGAAAACGTCGACTTTAAAACTATTTCACCAATAATAGTTATATATATGTACATGAAGTATGATTGCTGACCCAGGGTAATAAATTGTAGCTGCTGCTATTAAAGCATTGTCAATATCCGCGATATCAAAGGCAATTAAGTGATTGTACAAGTGCATATTTTAACTGCTTGTCCACCCACGTCGGTACAATTTATTAAATTTAATTGTGTAAATATAGCATTTTTTATGTCTATGATCAATATCTATCTGATGAAAGTAAATAACACTATATTCCTGATTTTATCTTGCATTACACAAGTTAAAGATTCTATGATGTCTCTTTACAACAGCAGTAACATTATATAATTTACTTTCGCCGCCAAAAGTGATTAAATTTATCATATACATATTGTTTTAATAAATTGGACACACAAGATCTTCGCTATCAGTATGATATTACAAATAATGATCCCATTTACTGATGTTATTGCACTAAGCTTTGAGGATTAATGGTAATGTATCGTATGTTTGAAACTTTAGAGAAGATATCATCATTATTATGCAGGGACCATATTAATGAGCTATTGATCAATATCATACGAACAATGAATACATACATGCTGGCTAATATAAGAGTAACCATGGTAACCGATACTATAGCAGTTGATATAACAATACTTTATATAGTATTCATTATTTAGTATCAGTAGGTCGAAATTCTTAGTCAGTGACCACCTGTGATTCTAAATAATTTTAAAATCAAATTTAAATCTTTATCCATTTATATACTATTAATATTATCAACATATTACTTGATCACTAATTTACGGTTAGATTGCCATACATATATAACTTGCATCGAAAATCACTGTATCACTGTACATCATTTACAGTAGTTACAACATCCAATAGATATATATAATGATTGATTGATCGTTTATTTAAACCATAGATAATCATTACAATATTACCTCAATAACACAGTTAGGCTTCCGCACGACTGTAATAAAGCATGATGATAAAATAACGTTAAGCTTCCCCTATTATCTATATCCGTCTCTAATTTCTAGGTTATGATCCGATCCTGTAAAGAATTTTCATAGGAATTTATTAAGATTGACGATTTATATTTAAAATATAAAGAATGTAATAATAGTATCCTAGGTAGAGCAAACACCAGCATTTTTTAATCTTATACTTTATAATCAATCAAACAGAAAGGAATATAAATACTCATTACAGTGTTTCCTAAATAACAATATCTGAAACATTCTTCGTGGTGATGAACATGTAGAGTATATTTTTAAAAACTATATACGGCTAAACTACGAAGTTAAGATTATTTACTTGTAGCCATTTTTAAATATATTTAATATATTTTTATTTACCAAAACTAAGGGTTGATCAACAATCTGCATAGTTAATGTCGTAAATCTTTACATCAATAATAGAAGTGTAAATTCAACAGGTATGTAAGAATTTTATCTCTTTGATTTAGCTAGTCACGAATAGTATTTTTATTAACCAAATTATCGACACTCAATGTTGAAGAAATGAAGCTCAAATTAGATATAGATGCTCCATTTGAAGACAGTATGATTATAGACAAGTTAGACTAATTTCTCGTCCAATCTATCGTGATAAAGGGTAGTTGAGAATCAAAAATCATCCAAATAACCAGAAATAAAAACTGTTTATTCATATGCATTATAATACAAAATATAGAGAACCTCTTTCGTGCCTTGTCTTTGTTTAGTTCCAAGATGCCTATGCATTAAATAAAATGATAACAATAAGAAGAAAAACTACAATTATTCTATCCATTAATATTTTTAACTAAGCATAAAAGTACAATACTTAAGTCCAACGGGGATACTATTCATATAGAATAGTTTAATATGTTTATTAAGAGTATTGACGACGCAATAGTTGTATAAAGATCGCTCAACAAAACGTTAAAGTATACTTTGGATACAAGTTTTACCGGGCCATAAATCTAGATAACTTTTCCACCGTTCTCAAAATTGCCGATATGCCTAAATATATATTGCACTATCTTGACATAGACGCCAGAGCTGAACTTATTCGGCTTATTCTTGCTTATGACGATATCCACTTTAAAGAAATTTTGTACAGTTTTGAAGAGTGGCCAACAGTTAAAGGTGAAGACTGATATTAGAATAGAAGTACAGCATTTGCTAGATTAGTCTGTAATATGAACACTAAATTTTCTGCCTTATTAAAATTGATCCGAATGAGATCCATAGCAACATCCAATATATTTATAACATTTACTGTTACAGAAAAATTTCCATATGAGACAGTGCCTGTCTTAGTGATGGATGGTAAAGAGGTCGCTCAAAGTGGAGCTATTACTCGATATCTTGCTCGTGTAGCTGGTAAGCAATTCGTACTTTTAATAGTCTTTCTCATTAGATTGATTTCGAAATTTTTATAATTAAAGTAATTGATAGTTTACATCTCAATGATAAATAGGTATATAAAGATATAATCAATCTTACAGAATTGTACGAGTATCTCGACTTAAATTGAATTTCTACAGTTATATAAATCATAATGAACTTGTTACAGGAATCAATGGCAAAACCACAACGGAAAAAGCAATGGCTGATATGTACGTTGATACTTTTATCTACGATATCGTTGAGAAATCTTATAGTTTCCGTCTTCCTGCCCTCGAACCAGATGAAGAGAAAAGGGTAAGCATCAAGATAAAATCTGATAGAACTGCTGTTTGTAGAATCCTTAATGTTAAACTTTGCTCAATAATTTCAGAAAGAAAAAGCTCAAGAATTTCTAAAAGAAAAGCTAATTCCATTTTTGGACCAACTGGAGGAACTCTACAAGAAGAATGGAGGAGGGCCTTGGTTTTGCGGTGAAACTGTATGTTTTTAATTCTAAAGTATTTCTGTTATGACATGATAAATGGTTACACATAATCTCATCGAATGATATGTTTAGAAGTAAGATCATCACTTAAATTGATATCGATGATCAACTTTTAATTGCTAATATCTTATGTACGCGTATTTCTGTATTACGATTAGAACAATTTATTTCATCAGTCATATGATATATAAGTAGTTAGATTAATGCTCTTATTATTTTGAAAATTCTTATTTTGTATTAGTTCATTTCTGTATACCGTAACCATAACAGCACATTAATTAAAGTACTATAGGCAGAATATAGATATGATAATCTATTATGGCTCTGCTTGCACTCGTAGTCACTCTATAGGTATTACTATCGCAAAAAAGATCACAAATACTCCCGATTAATAGATTCTATGATAGACATATTTTCGGTATAATAAGATAGTAGGAGGAATAGATCTAGAACATATATACCGTAGTATAAAGGTCATATAACTGCTGGTTAATCGATTGCGTACATTTACAAATACCACAAGATGCTATCTACCGACTATTGATAGTATAAACTGCAGATCATATAATTTCTAGAAGATTATACCATATGTGACATGCATATTTTATCATTAAGCTATATTTAGATGTTGCATGTATTCAGACCGGGTCTATTTTCATTCAATTTACCTGCATATGACGAAAAGATAAAAAGATTTTCGAAATTATCATTATGCATAACGCCGAACTCTATCCTTTAATAATAGTGAACTGTTTACATTCAAACTGATCTTAAAATTAATTTAAAAAAAATATGGTATTCCAAATAAATAACGAATAATTTTTTCTAGCTCTAGCGCAGGATTAAAATTATCCTCCAGTGCCATTACTATAATGCGTATTAATACAGCTAATATCAATTTATTATCTACTGGTCTCTAAAATCAAGTTATTAAACAGTAAAATAAATCATTGTTTAATTACTTCGTAATCTGATGTATATGACCAGTAAATTTTAATGTAATAGAATCCGATTAATTAGGGATTTCTTAACAGTTACGTACGATATGTATTCTTACCGTATGTGAACGATCGTAATAATGTACAATTCTTGGATTTTATACAACAGTTCACTTATGCCGATTTGGCCTATTTTCGCATGGTTAACAATGTTCATGACCTAGTCATGCAAGTTCCAACACCTCATCCTCATCTTCAAGAAAACTACGAACGTACGGCAAACATTCCTCGCATTGCAGAATACCAAAAGAATAAGAAACAAGATCGGATCATCTAACTCTTTTATAAATTAGAATATTACTCGAAGGATGCTGCTAGTGACCAGAACAATATTTTTAATCCTTTCGATTTACTAGATCTCATTTTTAGACATTATGTCACGGTGAATAAGTATTGTTTTTCTGGTAATTTTCATATCAATAATATTCTTACTGTCGCTATATTTCGTTACATTCTTGCTAAATAGTTACACAACGAAAACCTGCAACCCAATGTTAAGGGTTGTTCGATCACCCTACTTTAGACTTGGCGCATATTTCAGTTCTACGTTATCAATAAGCCCGATTTGTAATGGTTTTATAATATTAAAAATAGCTAGAATTATCGCTAATCATTCCATTGTCTATCCATCAAATTTTAGTAAGCAATGTCTAGTACGGAATTTGCTTTAGCTGTTTTATGAGTTTGAATAAAGTAAGTTAAAACATCAGAAGCTGCACATTACTAGACTAAACCAAGATAGAAAGTACTGCATATCCAAAAATTATAATCAACTACTAATCACTTTTAAAGTACAATCGGAGAATGTTACTGATAAAATTATGGATGATGTTTTACATTAGTAACAAGATGACTTTTTAAACAACTTTAAACGGTCAATCAGTTATCGTATTCGCGTTCATGAATGTCCATTGTTTGGAGGGTCGTTGTAATAAAATTCAAATCCAAAGAAAACATCAGTGGATAGTAAAGGCTGTATTATAATTTATTGGGAGTCTAATATTAACGGAGGATAAGAGCTAACTATTAACAGAAAGATAATACTTTATGTACTACTGGCAAACATCATCTGCCATCTTATAAGTTTCTTATAGCTTCCTAATTAATACTGTATAAGCTTCCACTAACACCATAGTGCCATATATTATCGTCTATCTTTCCAAATACGGCATAGATTAACAACTGATTACATTGTTTGCATACTTTTAGTCGACAATACTATTATGATCATCATAATAGATAAGATATCTCTACTAATTTAGGATCTATATCAACGTCAACAGCTATTTAAGTTAGTTAATCTTGCTAACGTTACACTCGTAAACACTCACTTCATAAATACCAAATCATTTCATCGTAGATTATTCCCGATCTCGAAGGAATACTAACAATCTTGCAATAGTCTGTAAACTGAATAAGTGCTGTATGTCTCAATTAGCCACATTTAGCCAACTAGGATCACATCATATATGCTTAATTGCCAGAATTATTAGATCAATTTTATTACTTCAGTCGCTACTAAGCCAATCTTGGAACCCTATACATGACAGAAATACTGAATGGTTTGAATATGAATTTATATCAGTAACGAAATTTTGGCATATAGTCTGATGATCCTTGCTCAAGTAACAGTTACAGTAAACTACAGCAATCTCACATCCCTTATACATGAAATTTCCAATTCATTGCACAATCTTTGTTAAGCAATTACGGTTTATAATTACCATAAAATTGATTTGAAATTATGTCTATACTGTATTATGATTACCCGTCCAATAGAGTTATAATAATAGCTTAGGCCACTTTAAGAATATTGTGAAACAGATGGATAGTTTAGCGACAACTTTACGTAGCAATTTTGCTAATGAATATCTACTTTGCTTCTTAATCTGATACTTCCTTTTCAATCTTTTCAAATGCAAGAGCAACCTTGCGAGCAGTTGGCGTTAACGATACTGCTTCCATATTTACTAAAATTGCAACAACAATTCCTTGGGGGGCTGGCTCATTAACATTTACTTCCTTCGGTTGTAATATTACCAAAGTACTGCTACAACCAACAGCTCCACCAGAATGGCCAACCCATGGAAGCTCTTCATGTCCATAACCGACCCAAATCTTATTATCTGCAACAGTCCAACCTAAGCCATAACCAGTGCTGAAACCAACTTTTTCAAGCGTTGCTGAGGCAGGCGTCCACATAGCTTTCACCGTATCCGAATTTAAATATCCTTTCGGTATGGAACGCTTAGTTATATCTTGACTGTCATAGTTAGATTCATTTATAGCATGTGCTATGGTTGAATATTGTCGACTATACAACATGACGTTACCAAATTTGACTAAATCGGCTACATTAGAAACTAAGCCACCACCAGCCCATTTATATGAAATGTCAACGTACGGAGCATTTCTCAACTTGCCCTTTTTATTTCTCCTATAATACCTATGAAGATAGTAGAAGGACGTAGAAAATATCAAAATTTCAATTTTACTACTATTTCATATACCGAAAATAATAGAGATATCAAAGATGAATACCTAGCTCTATTATAAATTAATGTTTCATGAAATTCTGGCTGGGTGTTAGTCATTCCTAGTTGCTTGAATAACGTTCCCATTAACTTTAAAAGTTTTTCTTCAGTAGCTCCTTCAATAACCCCACTTAACAAGGTCCAGCCATGAGTAGTATAGTGATATTCAGTACCTGGTTTAACAACTAAAGGATCATCTTTGAATAATTTTAAAGCCTCGGTAACAGAATTAAATCGATCTTTGAGAAGGAACTCTTTATAGTTTACTTTCAGTGTTACTCCATTCTTTAATTTTTCAATTTTATTTTCATCAGTATTCTTGTCTTTTTCATTTTTATCTGAAATATAGTGGATCTTAACATCAATGTCACTATTAATTTATAATATATAGCCACCTCTAGCGAAATCCTAAGATAGTTAATAGTTATAAATTCGTAGTTTATTTCATACATCCTAGTATGATTTTATGCAAAAGAGAATCAATACATAATTTGACTAGCATATTATAGATATGATTTAAATGGATAAATACCGGTGCTATCTGTGATCACTTTCTCGTATGCACGAATTCCTCCAAGATGAGATAATAGCATTCTAGTAGTTATTTCAACAGGTTGACTATCGAAAGTTTTATCTGGAAAGTCCTTAACATATTTACTAATTGGCGCGTCTAGATCTAGCTTTCCGTCTTCCCATAATTTTGCAATGATTGCTGCACTAAAAGATATAAAAAATTTAATAATATCAGTGAGTACTTATGATTTAATGAAAATTTAAATCATCAATAAGTATTTTTATTTAGAGATTCATTGGTGAGATTGCTGACACAGAAGAGCGTAGACAGACGCTAGCGATAGGATTTATACGATGTGTATGAGTAGGTTAGTTCATTTAATTACGATATTGATTGCTTGATTGATACGCAGTAAGACCATTATATTTCTAATTTAGTTTACATGTATATACAATAAATGAACAAGGATACTTACTGTGGCTAGTACGAGCTATAATGACAGATTACGATAGTGATGGGATTTTATATACGAAATTGTGGAGGAATTCATTCATTACAATAACGATTGATTAGCATACAAAAAAAACTACTGTAATTATAAATATAATCTGTACCATAGATGAAATAAAGTTGTCCATCGAGGGTTCTAAAGTATAATGATGTTACTCGACCGTACAGAAATAAGTCATTTATTTACTGTGGTATTGCTTGAATGGTACTTAATTAAGCAGTTTTAGCTTCTTGATACTACTACATAGGTCTAAATCCATTCATCACTGATAGATCCCAAATTCATCTTCTGTTCAGCAGTGTGAAATTTTAATGCTATTCCTTGAACTAAGCATCCAACAATGACAAGAATAGATGCAATTTTCTAAAATCGTGCTTATAGATCAGGTCTATAGTTGCACACTATACCTTAAGTGATTGCAACTTTGACAGAAAATCATTTACTTCATTACAGTACTATAACTTGCTTTACCTAATTGGCTTGCTAATACTGGCGATCCTCATGACAGTTTGAGGAGTACAAGGAACCGCATTTTCAATATCGCTAACACCAAAGCCTTCACTCCACATCATTTTGCCGTTGCAACTGACTGCAATGGAAATACCAGGTGAACCACTTTCTTCTTTAATTTGTGATATTAATTGTCTCGATTGATCAATAGCTATCTTTAATCGACGATTATAATGATCATGGTTGGATTTTACAGCTATACCATCTGATGGCCTATTTATATTGTTATGCTTATGATCATTTTGACTTCTGTCCTCTTGCTTCTCCTGTCTAGCAATATAACTGACTCCTGCCATACCGACGCCAGCTAAAGTAAACGTTACTAGCCAATTTCTTCTATCTTTGCTCTTAGCTGAAGACGATGTTGGATCCAGACTTTTATAACGCTTGCCAATCGTCATGGCTGAACGCATACGATTATAAGAGAGGAATCGAGTTGATGGGATGATACGATTCATTTCTAGATCTCAAGGAAGATGAGTGATGAAGAAAATATCATTTCATAGTCGACAGCTAAAAAGTGATATTATTATTATTATTATTCTCTACTTTGATGGAATATACTCGTATGAATCAATCGATTAATTTATGATCAATAGTATGAGGGTATGATGTAGCAGTATGCAATCAATGCAATAATAGATTGATGTAATATTTCGATTGAAATAGATAGTTAATGACTAGTGGTTTAATCTTTTCAAATAATTTCAGTTTTGCAAATGGACTAGTAAGATTTGATGGCGAGCATATAACTATCAAACTGGCCGATATGGTCCTGGACGACAAAGAAAGACAGACAGACGATGGTCGTATCGTATGGAAAAATAGCAAGATCGACTCTTCTCTTGGCCCTTTCGTCTAACTTTGGTCGGCCAAATGAGCTATATGAGTAGCTGGCAGGCTTATTTTGTACAGAAAAATCTACCATTTCAGTGGTAGAGGTTGGTTTAACTTTTACAAGACTCTAGGTAGAGTCTGAATGACAAGAAAATTGCTAAGCCTTGATATTGTTTGTACTAAATGGCTACTGTAGAACTTTCTCTTTCTTTTCAAATGAAAGATACCCCCATGCAGCATAAACTCGTAATAGAGCGCTTGTTCTACTACAATAATGTATAGGATAATCTACTGTTTCAATGGTAGAGCAGGGTTTACTTTTATGATTAGAAGTCACAGAGTAGCATCTGAGTGACAAGAAAAAATGCCAAGCCTTGACGTTGTTTTGCACTAAATGGCTACTGCAGAATTCTCTCTCTCTCTTTCTTTTCCAATGAAAGATATGCCCATCAAACAAGAAGTAGTCATAGAGCGCTTGTTCTGCTACAAGGCTAAGCCATGTCTATCATCGTTAACCCTCGATTTCGATTTTACTCATGCAAATATCCACAATCTAGCGTCATCAAAATACTTCGAGAGAACTCCATGCCTGGAGGATAGACGATAGCCTTCCTGTGCACAGTTTTTTGTATACTGAAAGCATTATCCTTACTCAACTAAGCGCTAGAGGAATACCATTCAGTATAGAATCGCCGATGCTTCAAATTACGAGGCCACCCTACCGACGCTAGACAGCAATAGTAATGATAGAGTACAGTATAGGAAAAACATCATTGCTACTCAAGTAAACGCTTGTGGAATACCATCCAGTATAGGATCTGGGATCGGCTGTGCTTCCATACTAGCCCAGCATAGACCAATCAGCTTCATCATCACCTACCCAAATTAGTCTCTAAATCTATACTAGAACTGTATAAAGTGGCTCCACATCGGTTGGTATCAACTCAACATCGAGGTCAGAGGGCATAAAAGCCTTTACCGAGCTCGGACATGATCGTTTTCGACCTGTGCAACAAGGTAACAATGGACTAATTGCATTTATTTACATAAAATTATCATATTCTACATCGATTTGGCTTGGAAAAACATTGCCAATACTCTTTCTCTAGTCTCAACTACGTCCAATTCACGTGTTTTATACATTTATCCTATAATTACAACCTGCAAAATGAGATGCGAGTAAAGAAATCAGCCATGCGTTATTTCGGCATTTGGCTCGCTGCTGGCATCCTGCTAGTATACGTATTCGATCGACAACCCAATCAAGAAATCCTACAACAGAAAGACGCTGTCTTAAAAGTGCAACATGGAAAAACATTTACCTTGTTGGATAAACCAATTCATATTAGGAGCGGAGCGATCCACTATTTTCGGGTCGTCCCAGAATATTGGCGTGACCGTTTACTAAAGATGAAGGCTTTTGGCTTAAATACTGTGGAAACGTAAGTACAATACCATGAGTTGGATAGGCTTAACTATACTTCATTATTTTTACCAAGGGTAGAGTGTATCTATTAGCTACTCTAGTATCGATTTGCATAACATGGATCGATCCAGGATTGATCTTTCCATAGATATCCTCCATTAAATGGTACGGATCTGCGCTGTTATCGACAGTCCGTAAAGTATACTACAGTATAATAGTAGTAGCTACCACTGCCAGTACTACATCAGATAGTTGCTAGACGATGACAGGAAGTACCATCGTTACGACATATCGATGGTAGAAACAACAATCTTATACTTTTCCATTTGCAATACTATACTCGTATTTCGTCATCGATCAGTTGATTAACCCTCTTTTTGCTCCCTTGGACTCATTTAGTTATGTACCATGGAATTTACATGAACCGGTACCAGGTCAATTTGATTATACAGGGATACTAAATGTCAGGTAAGAAAAACATCCATACTGTATGCGGCACACACCTTTTGCTGACATTGTGATATCAACTATTATGAAACTACTTGAATAATCTCATACTTAATAACCTTAATTATACCTAATAATCGGTTAGAAAATTCATCTTGCTTGCACAAGAGCTCGGTTTTTACGTTATCCTCAGGCCTGGACCTTATATTTGTGCCGAATGGGAGTTTGGTGGCATGCCAAGGTGATCATTTTATAAACTTCTACTTATAATTATTATATTGGATAGTAGACGCTTGCATAAGTCATAGAATTATTGGCTTTACTTTATAATAACATAATATCAAAATTAGCCAATTTTTACAGTATAAGCAGGCCATATTCTGTATGACACTTTGAATGTGTATTTCATTGTATGAATCTGATAGCTGGTTACTAAGTGATAAGAATATGCAAGTTCGGTCAACTTATAAGCCTTTCAAAGATGCCGTTAACCGATTTTTCGACGGCTTCATTCCAGAGATTAAATCTCTTCAGGTTCGTCAATTATGTTATGGATATACGATTATACTTACATTACTAATCATGCTGCAGGCTATAACGAATATATTTCCAATACTTATATATTATAAATAAGATAGTTTTAGCACCCTTACAGTCATCTATATCATTTCTGTACACGTTGACGTTAAGTGCTGACATTTAATAAATACGTAATGCAAATCACAATATCTAGGCATCCAAAGGGGGGCCCATCATCGCAGTCCAAGTTGAAAATGAATATGGTAGCTATGGAAGCGACGAAGAATACATGCAATTTATACGTGATGTATGATATTACAGTATTCTTGATTTTGGTATTCGTATACTACACAGTAGAATGCACTTTAAGTGTTCAGCATTATGCGAACTGACTATTTTTTCACCAACCAGGCCCTTATCAATCGCGGAATCGTTGAACTACTGGTAACTAGTGACAACTCGGAAGGAATAAAACATGGTGGTGCACCCGGAGGTAATAATTCAGTGATTTAACAATTGCATATTAAATTTAAGTTATTGCCTAACTGACGGTTTTTTTTCGTAATATAAGTGCTGAAAACATATAATTTCCAAGGCCATGCAAAATCTCATCTTTCCATTTTAGAAAGATTGCAGGTGTGATTTTATATAATATAGCTCTTTGTTGTATCCTTGTATACTTTATGAATAGATTTTTCTATTAAGTATGTATTTTCATCAATGTTACTAATGATTAACATGAAGACACACTTTAACGACTTATATTAGGATGCGCCTAGTATTGTAATGGAATTCTGGAGTGGTTGGTTTGATCATTGGGGTGAAAAAAACCATCAAGTGCATACTATTGCTCATGTTACAAATACATTTAAAGATATATTAGACTGTGATGCATCTTTCAACTTTTATGTATTTCATGGTAGGTAGTGTAATTATCTCTCATCACTGATTTCGTACGTTTTACTTCGTATGTAGTTTAAGTTACAGTTATAATCAACATAAAATAACATTGAAATGCTGGACCTGCAGGCGGTACGAATTTTGGCTTTATGAACGGGGCCAATTTTATCGATTTTTTCTCTTACTATCTACCAACTGTTACGAGTTATGGTAAATAAAGCATTGTATTTCTGTAATCATCTTGAACGCAGTGATAGGGTTAATATGACTCTTACGTCTACATATTATTAGACTATGATGCACCGTTATCCGAAGCAGGTGATATAACTGAAAAGTATATGGAATTACGAAAAATTATGATTGACAAAGTTTTAACTGAAGCAGGTAGGCATGTAACTTAATAAATGACTTTACCCTATCCCAATACTTCACTGCCACTTATTGATTGTAAATAGAATTATCATAGCTGTCGATGTAAAAGTCATCATACCTTCAAGTTATCATAGTTTACAAGAAATAACTCAAGTGTTCGAATAATAAGTTATTTATCACAACATCAGTCATATAATCAGAGATTTTTAATTAAAATTTTTACAATGAAGCATTAAGAATTAATTGTAGCAATAAATGTAGGTTAATTAATCTTAATTTTTTTTCTGGTCGTTTATTTGCTATTACAGAAATTAAAAAGTTACCTGAGATACCACCTTCCAGTAAAAAATTTCACTACGGTTAGTTGATGCTGTGAAAATAATTGTTGATATTTTTAATAAACTTATTTCAGATAAATAATTCTTCCTTGCTTTTCCGTTCTAGGGAATATCAAAATGGATTCCTCAATCGCTTTACTAGATACTCTACCTTACCTTGATGTACGTAATGATGATAACGTATAAAAAATTTCTAAAAATGTAGGAAGTAATGCAAAGTGTGATCAATGCTGACAGAAATATGTTTTAGAAGCCTGTTACACTCTCAAAAGTTGTTCCAATGGAATTTCTTCCCATTCGTAATGGTACTGGTCAAAGCTATGGTTATATCTTATATAGGCATAAACTAGCCAAACCAATAAGTAATCTTCGAATTGAGGGAATCCGCGACTTTGCTATCGTAAGTTGGAATACTATATACTAAAATAAACATTTTTGTACAATTTTAATACTTAAAGATCTATTATAATTCAATAATATTCTCTTCTAGTTACTTATTGATGGACAATTCATTCAGTCCTTCATGAGAAATGATGCAGATAGCTATCACTATATTCAATTTTCAAAAAGGGTAAAAATTGCTTAGTACAATACTGTAAAATAATAATTTTCCAGACGAATAATAAATGATTAATAAAATCTCTCTTGTTATTAATCTAATTTAAGCCTCAAAAAGGAGCAATTGTAGATATTTTAGTTGAAAATTGCGGACGTGTAAACTTCGGCAGTATATTAAATACTGAAAGAAAGGGTATTCTTGGTAGTGTTTACGCTAATATGAAGGAATTAAAAGGATGGACAATATTTTCTCTAGATTTCGATACTGCATATGTTAATAAGTACGTCTAGCTGCTTTTCGTTCCGATTTACGTTAAGAAACAATTGAATTGAAAGTGTGTTATAAAAATTTAAATGCCACATATTAAATGATATTCTCTGCAGAGTTCGCAATACACTAAAAGGCGGAAAGACTCAAAGCAATAGAAGCTTCGTACCATCCATTTATAGAGGAGAACTAGAGATATCTGATAACCCTTATGATTCTTTTCTTACTCTAGAGGTTAATCAATTTAATTATTATAAGAGCATAAATATTAAATGTCTACACTATAAATTAAGATATAATAACCATCAGCTATTAAATATGTACATACTTAGGGTTGGGGAAAAGGAATATGTTTCATTAATGGTTTTAATGTTGGTCGCTACTGGAAGATAGGTCCACAACAATCTCTATATATACCCGCACCATTACTAAAAAAAGGCAAAAATGAGGTACTTGCTATTAGCGAAATGGATAACCAATTCTTCTTAATACTTTTATCGTGGCGTTAACAAATAGCTATGTCATATTTAGATAATCATTTTCGAACAACTTCACCCTGCCACATCATCTGAAATCACTTTCAACGACAAACCCTCCCTTGGCGAAGAATCTCCCTTTTTCATGGTAAATTTTGTATGGGTCGCACAGCTATTAGCGTCGTTTTGGTATTTAATTTTGATGCCATAGTTATGATGGCAAACATAAAGTAAGTTCGATAAATTCAGAAATATTGGAAGGAGACTCTGGAAATAGATTCATAGATGTCGATGTTCAGCTATTCCCCTGAACCCATTATGTATTTGCTATTTGTTAAATGAAACCATGCAGTAATATGATATTAACGACAAATACATTGCTGAATGTCCTCATTTATATTCATCATCATTATCTGTTTAGTAATACAGTACTTGATTTGTAGAATATTATATACTACTAACTGGAGACAACTAATAAAAAGAATTTATTCTTCGCAGTTATAAAATTCTTCCGTGTGGCTATAGTTGCAAAGTTACCTGATATTATCATAACATTTGCAAGAAAAATATTTTTGCATAGCTATAATGTATACCTATCAATTTTGAGTGGCTAGCATTAGAGACTGCAAAGCTGGTTAATTAGTATAAGTTCAATATATTTCAGCTGAAAACAATTAATTAATTAACCTACTGATACCTAATATGGTACAACAGGCATCTAAAGCTAATAGACAATCTCCTTTGTGCCTAAATAGAAACAAAGTCAACTTTTTTCACCCAGAAATTATTCTGTAACAAACTAATTTCTAGGGTGATCTACAGTAGTTTAAGATACTATTATATAAATCTGTAACAATATGAAACGCCCTCGTATCTTGTGAAACATTACTGTTATTAAGCACTGTAAATTTGAAGTATCAGCACCGGGCATGAGCATAATTAATTAATTACAATGTGCACCAGAAAAATAATCGAATAACTTCCGTTGGCAGTGGTAATATCAGCCTAAAATTACATAATTACGCAGCGTACTAAGTTTTTTATCCTATAGCGTCAAGACTTGAGTTGATGATTGGATTCAAAATGCTGATATCATCATTTATCAACACTAACTCCATGCATAAAGCAACGTAGTGAATTATTACAAAAATAGGTGGTGATACAAGGACTACTCAAGAAATACTTTTTCGATATTATTTCTGAAGGACTATACCCAAATTGATTGTTTCTGCTCTGCTATACAATTAGGTATCAATGCTGCATGATAATCGCGTTTATTTGATATCAATTCCATATAAATTTTACCTAAACATTTTCTCGCACATTTTTATTTTAACATCAATTTAGTGAATAGGTAAAGGTACAAATTCTATGTTAATGAATTATTATTCTATAATTTCTATGTATCCAGGGAAAATGCTACTTCATAGCAATCAGTATGAGAAAAATTAAAATTACATGAAGACAAAATACTAATCTAGTCTTCTTTTACTTAAAGATACACGTATATAGGCACTACGATAACCAGATTTTCAATATTATGATGTTTAAAATGGTCTCTCTTTCTTGTTCTTCTGGTATTCTGCAATACGAGGGATCTCAGCCACACGTTTATAGACTGCATAGAGTGAAGGATGTTTAATTGATGAATCTTTCAGTAAAGACTGAACATTGTTTATCAGGCGGAAAAAGGCCAAATCGGCATAAGTAAACTAGTATTTGAAAGAAAAGTGATAATATTAAATGAAAATAAATCAATAAACCCGTTTATAGTTTCTATTACTTTAGCTAAAAGATTATTAACATCGCAATTTAATTTTATCTTGAAAGCGTGATTTATGAATATCATTTTTCTACTGCAAGAACTAAAATCATGATATCATGTGCATATAATTGCAATTAATTAGCTACGAAGGACTTTGTCATCTATAATCGTACTATCTAAATAGGAATGCGGTTATATAGTATTTTTATCCATTATCCTTATATGATTTGTTGTGCATCTTGTAACAAATTAGTGCTGCGCATAAATTAGTTTGCCTAGCTTACAGTGTCACCGCAAAACCAAGGTCCTCCACCATTTTTCTCGAATGTCTCTTCGAGCTGCTTAAAGAAAGGGATTAACTTTTCTTTTATGAATTCTTCACCCTTAATTTTCTAGAATATCCGAACTGTGTCATTAATAATAACATTCTTTCGCCAATTATATATCAAATCCTAGCATCAAAATGGTATTAAATAGATAGAAACCATTTATCAGTATACCTACCCTTTTCTCAGGGTCCGGTTCAAGAAAGGGCACACGAAAGGAATAAGTTTTGTCCACTATGTCTTGCGCGAAGGCATCAGTATACATATCAGCTTTAGCTCGTTCTAGACTGGTTCTACCGTCAATTCCTGAGATGTTCCACAATTTATTAGTTCAAGTGTAATACAAAAAGAAAATTACCAATTCAAACCGATTAAATAGCCCAAATAGAGCTACAGTCGAATAACTGAAAATTAAAAGTTTACGATCTATACTACATATTTACGTACCTGCAACACGAGCAAGATAGCGAACAATAGTACTACTCTGAGCGAGTTGTTTGCCATCTATCTCCAATACTGGAAGGGTCTGGAAGGGAAATTTCCCTATGAATTAAAGAAGTTAAGGGATATAACTTAGTTAAGAGATTAGTCAATGTCATTAGTACCTTCTAGGTAGATTATGCGTTAAATTTAGTTATTGTAATGCAGAAAACTCTATTTCTTCTATACTGTACAGTATACTATTTTAGAGTCGGTATCATTTATCGCTGAGTTCATACATAGTAATAAGTAAGCATTGCATATCAAATAATAATTTCATTTCTGGAAATGCTACAATAATTGAAGAAATACTTATGCATAGACAGTTTAAATATGTGTGTCATTGGATCTTATTAGCACTCATCTTTAGATTGCAAACTTTGCAAGAGTTTTTATTAATACAAGACATTGTATAATCCAAGTGTCGTGAATACTCTTGATAGTATACTCTACATACTGTAGCATGCTGCAAAGTTTCGTGAAATCTCAATTTCTTACTCCGAAATCCGATCTAAAAATTCTCGAAAAATCTGAATATTGACCTTGTACTGAATACAGTGAGAATCCAAGTACAACATATTATGCATTGAACATGTCAATTAAGAATCACACGAAAGTAAGAAAAAGTCAACTACGAGCACGGATCCTTGATCTGATAAGCATACAGTATTACTGGATTATTTACTAATGTAGCGAATAGCAACGTCTACACAAGGTTAGGAAAACGTCCGTTTAGGTCGATACAATCTTGACTTATTACCAAATCTTTAATCTATAACTACACTTATCTACTGTATCGGCATTGTACATATTATGTTGTATATTTTCAACATCGTAATAGCAGTTAAAAATAGAGTACACTCATGACAAATAGCTTAAAAAATTCTCCATTAACCGTAAAACCCTAACTACTACAAAATGAAGAGTTCTATATGCCTACAGAATCAATGATACATTATAAATCAGGCGAGAATACATCTATTATAGCAATAGTGTGCTAACTCTATCGGTGTAGAAGTTATCTGTTGAATCGGATAGCTACTTTACCCTGAAAATTATCGTACAAGATAAATGTAGAACTACGCACAAAACAAACGTATGAAAGTAGTATCAATTTAGTATACTGCATCGGAGTTAAGTGTCGCTCCGAACTTCGACTTAACAATGTCAGCAGAGATGATCTAATGCTGTGCATTGAGTATATACATTTGTAATATTAAAATCTAGTAAATGCAGATATATTGATATTAGCTATAATGCTAAATACTGATCAGCTGATGAAATTTTTATATTGTAGATATCCACTATGCAATAAAAAAGTTCTATATCTGTATATAGTACCGGTACCGACGGTACGACTTCATCTACAGTTCTGTACGCTACTGTGTCATATATTTTCAACATCAGTTGAAATTAATTAGTTTATTTATCATCAACTCGGAAATTATCCGTCTCAATAAGCTACTACCTTATTTAAAACTAAGCATAAGCCTTCTATGTCAACCATAATTGGTCAATTAGACAAAAATCATCTAGACTGTACGCTAGTAAAGATCCTTTACTATTTATAAAGTACGCTGGATGCGTTTGCTAAAAATTAGAATCTGATGATGGATAGATGAAATTGACACTAGACATCATTCTGATACTAATGAAAACTTGAAAATTCTCACCTTTAACACTGGGCCATTCCTCGAACGAATAGACAACATCCTTAAATTCGATTCCCCCATAAGCAAAAATGAGCCTGATAAGTTCGGCTCTAGCATCCACATCAAAATAATGTAAAGTATAGCTCGACATTGCTGGACTGAGAAAAGAGGCGTAGGCTTTGATCGGCTGTATGATACTGTTTCCTAATATTCGGATCGATCAGCTAAATAGTTACTGTTAATATTACGATTTCATTTCCAGTACTGGAAGGATGACAATGAAATTATTATAATTTATATTATTAACATGTGATAGCCTATTCAATTCGTGCAGTAGAATTAACATACTCAAGTAGGAGAAAAAGATCCAGCTTGTGTTAACTCTACCCAACGTAGTACTATATCAAGCGATGAACATTTATTTAGCTCAAGACATTGTTATACGAAGTTCAGCCCATTATACTTTTGCTTTTTGTACTCGTAAGGGCAGTGGAGATGACGAGGATTTATTAACAATAAATAAAAATTGCCTTGTCATGGTGGAAAACAAATAAAGCCCATACAATTAAGGATAGGATAGCAAGAGAGAGAAAACAAAAGGATAGGGATAATTTAATAATTAATTATATTAACACATAACACAGACGTCCAGACATTTTCAGCTGGGTTAAACTGCCATGATAATAACGACTTTAACACCATCAGTCACTACTGTAACAAACAGCATAGTCACGATAGTGTCAACTTCACTGATACTGCCTATAGTATGATACTGGAATGGACACACTATTAGACTTGCATCGACGGCGTTACCCAGGTAACCAACTTTTCACATCATGGTTACCGATACAGAAGCATCGGAAAATTTTCTTCATACACCACACCTCCATACTGCTGCATTGTAGACACAAACGCTGATTAAACCACTGTACTGGACTATTTAAAGGGGGAAAAAGCGATATCACATTACACTTTACAGTAGCTACCAGCAGCGGTGAGTTATTACTGGATTAGTGGACTACCCCAATTTTTTCCATCTGCAACATGCCGAGCTATACTTTACATTATTTTGATTTTGATGCAAGAGCTGAACTGATCAGGCTCATCTTTGCATATGCTGGAATCGAATATAAAGAAATTAATTATGATTTCCAGGAATGGCCCACTATTAGAGGTATAAGTGATACTAATTACTGTACGTGTAATGATTGGAAAATTTTCGTCCAATTTTTTCACTTCGCCCACCCATAGAGATAGACGATATTTACCAATCATAGCTACATTATATAAACTCAACCATTTTCTTGATACTAATTCAACTATATTATAACAAATCTACACTCGGTATTTTATATTAATTAAAATCGATATCTTTCAATCTAGAAAAATTCCCCTACCAAACTATGCCTGTTTTAGAGATCGATGGCAAGCAACTTGCTCAGAGTGGTGCTATCACTCGATACCTCGCTCGTGTTGCTGGTGAGTTAAGAACACAGTTCTCCATGAGAAGAATCAAGATCGATTTTTTAATATTTTGAATAACAACGAATCTACGATTGGAAGAATGTATATTGTACAATAAATTTAGTAATCTTGCAACTTTAGAGAGCATGCAAATTTTTTTAATTTTAAAATTAAAACTGACATCAACCGTACTTTACGCCTATACCGTCTATACGCATACAGTATCATAATGCTAAAACTATTCTCGCGATTTATAGGAATCGACGGTAAGAACAGTACAGAAAAAGCAAGAGCTGACATGTATTCAGAAACCTTTATTCAAGAAATCATAGAAAAGTCTTATTCATTCCGTATTCCTTTGATTGAGCCTGATGAGGAGAAAAGGGTAAAAAGACATATCACTAAATTCTATGTGACAGCTTCTTTAAACGCTGAAGTTGTGTGTTTCCCAATAGCATCTCGCGATATTGCTGAGATTGACTTGATAGAATACGATGCAATTAAACAAAATATCAAAAAAATATCTCCATATTTATATCTTAAACTACTTAGAAAGAAATAGCTCAGGAATTTCTGAAAGATAAATTGACTCCATTTTTCGATCGACTCGAAGAGCAATTCAAGAAGAATGGTGGTGGCCCCTGGTTTTGTGGCGAAACGGTAAGTTATGAAATAAATGGAATCGTCTAAAATGTAGTACATATCGATAAAAGTAAAGGTTATGTGTTATGTTCATTTTTGCAATTACTCCAATATACAATACTAAAGAAGTAATTTATAAAATTTTTATTAATTAATAATGTAACGTCTGTAGCCCATACTTCTAATTAGCGTTGAGAACATGGTAACGTACAGCATATATTTTAATTTCAAATTAATGTTGTTAAGTATTTGGATCTCCAATATATAAAAGAGTTCATTTTTGACAACGTATTGGAATACTTGATAGCAGAGCTTAATCATTTCCTATTTCTGTTACGTCTCTGCGAACAGTTTACCTTTGCAGACTTGTCCTATTTCCGCATGATAAACAACGTAATGGATTTGGTAATGAAAGTTGAAACTCCACATCCTGAAATTCGTGCTGTCTACGAACGCGTAGCCAAGCTTCCACGCATTGCTGATTATCAGAAAAATAAGAAACAACGACCATTTTAAGCATTTTTTAACAATATTTCTAGAATATAGTATATAGCCGAAGTTAAGACCCTTTGAAAATATTAGACATCAGTAGCGATTTGTCAAACTCGGTACGCAATGAAATTATTTCATCTCTTTTTCTATCATAGGTAGAATAGAGGCTATTATTTTATGCATTCCTTAAGTAAATCTATGAATAGATTTACACTGTTTTCACTTTTGACTTTGAAACTGTAGCATGTAAGGAATTTATTTCACACCGGTCATATTAGCTATTTTGTATGTACCGTGTTTTATATCACATAGCTAATCAGATTGAAACTGATCTAGAGTATGTGATTAAATAAACAAGTCCATTACCAAATGCTAGTGATCAAAATTGTTTATGGCTTTATATCGTCCGACATAATTGTATTTGATTAATTAGCTTATTAACGTACTTTACATTACAGTAGGATAAAGCCAATTTTAACCAAATCGCGGGTTCAAAAGTAGCTATCATTCTCTCAAAGTACATCCATAAGTACTGCGCAGTTCGACTAATTATTAATCATCCTATAGTTTATTCAGTTTGTTGGAAGGTAAAAAATTTCATTCCTAGTCATCATACTAGAGCCTACTTTAGGGTATAAAGGTTGTTCTATATCACAATTTGTAGGTAATTTAAAGAATCTCAGTAGTGTTTACTATCCAGCCTATGATAATTAATTAATGCAGTCGGCATCTTTTCTACCATCATTCGTATCTAGCGGTATCTCTGAATAAGTAATTTATCACTGTCAATATACAGTCTTAAACTACCTATATTCATATTTACTTACAGTCAGTTGTTGACATATAATAAGCTCATCAGATACGTAAATACTATGAATTCAATTAAATGCAATCGCTTGGCATATAATTTTCCATCGATTCAATGTACACTACAGTACTATACGTTTACAAACACGAGTACAATATATCTGTAAATTAATCTTTGAACTGCATAAACACCTAATTCATTAAGTGCAAGAGTAAATTCGATTTAATTTTATTTTAGCATCCGCTAGATTAAAATATTGATCACTAAAACATTTCCACTTTAGCGGTTTATGATTAAATTACCATCGTTCATTAATTACTAATAGGGCGGAATACTGTAGCAATCAGCTAAAAATCACACGCAAAGGATTAAAGGAGTAATACAGTTGCTAGGATATATGCAAGACATGACTTCTATATATAGTACTATAGGATAACCATAGTATTAACTATGCAAATTTCAAGGAGGTAATCAAAGGAATCAATCAATAAATAAGCCTTATACGTATACGAGATGTATAAGCTTCATCGCAAAGGCAAGTATGCAGCAATACAGCATGTAGGTCAGCTAAACTAGTAAATAGGTAAAGTACAGTAAACGATTACTGGGTTTAATAATTACATAATCAATAATTCTTCAAAGACGTACAATAGGTTTAAACGAAGGAGGTAAAGAGGTGGAGCTCCCGCTTACCAGGCCATTTGATCGATCGAATAGCACTGTTATTGTTATACGGCACTACATATTATTATTCTACCGGCAATATTTAATCTTAATTCAGCCAGTCATTAGAGGAAAAACGAAAAGAATTTAACAATTACTCGTCCTCAAACTCAATTACCAGCACAGTGCTGTACTCTCCGTAAGTCTGTCATCGGTAGCTAAGCGGTAGAGTAACCGGCAAACTAAGTGCTCTCGTACAACATCGAAGGTTGCAAAGGTTGAGCAGCAGAGCTACCTCTTACCAAGCAATTTCAGCAAGGTTGACAAGACCTAATCCTAGCCCAATACAATCGGGAGAGAAAAAATTAAAGAAAATTCAGGAATTACTTGTCCCTAGATTCTACTTTTATCGCTTCGTCGACTACAGCAGCTCATAATGCAATTAACTACCGTACACTGCTGCTTGAAACAAATGTACAATATTGTACATACAGAAGTGGAGCTTTCTCTTACCAGGCAATCTGATAGTTCACCATAGTAATGACGGTACTGTAGTTAAAAGTAATACTATCCAATCCATGTTTACCTCATCAATCACCATCAGACAACTCAGTGACTAGATTTCATCTTATTTGAAATTTCAATGTAGTCGCGAAAGAACATAAAAGCCATTCAACCCTTGCCCGTCAGCAGATTCAACCAGCAAGTCTATCGATGGTACTGCTATAATTAATAAATTAATTAATTAATTCATAATAATAAAATAATAATAGGGTATAGGCAGCGTATTTCTGCTACGTCATTATTGACAGATTATTATAAAAGTGCCCCAGCCCAGCCCGCAAGGCTAATAATTTACATATATATATATATATATATATACTGTACAGTACAGTATAAGGACTACACTGCAATGTTCCTAAAATTGTTATTTTTTGTATAGTACTATACAGTAAACCTACAGTAGTGGTCAAAATCGACTAAAAAGAATAAAGGTTTTTAACAATACCAGAAAATAAAACTTAAACTTAAAAGGGCAGTCAATGAGCTTGCAGTTATGTTGGCCACATGCCCAGAAATAGACATGTAAAGTAGTGATATACATTATACAGTAAATGAGGCATATCCACGCAGCTAAATACTGCTTTTAATACGGAAAAATTGAAATAGGGCCTACTGAAACAGCATTAATACCGATAATACGTAATTACAGTATATCACCGTAGTTAATAGTTAACAACTGCTTACTGTATTCATGACAATTGAATACGAGACAAGGCTGTGTCGAACTAATTAGAACTTGATTCAGCAAAAATTGAATCAATAAAACCCATCTATCGCTACGGGAAGATCGAGACTGACAGAGTACATGTATGAACTTGTGAAAAAAGTACAATCAAGGGACAAGCTGTTGAATTAAGTTAAGTTAATTAATTCCTTAAATGTACAATACAGTACAATAAATGATCGAAAAACTTGACGGTGGGTACTAAACTACTAGAACTGCAATTGGCATTCGATATCTGCCGAATTGACATGCTGCACTGCAAGTTTATAAGTATGGCAGTAGGGCACTTTGCATCGTATTCCAGGCCTTGGTGCAGTTCCTAACCAATCGCAATGTGTATCATCTGCTAAGACTAATTTCAAGACAAACCCAGGACAGTTCCTTTCCTTCTCTCAGCCACAACCGATAATAATCGATCAGAAGAAATTAAATTAAAAATATGGTAATATAGATAGTAAATAGATAAATAAATAAATACGCATACTAACAAGCGTGGCGATACAGGCGAGAAAAATGATATGATTTCTGCGGAACCAATCGTTAGCAAGTATCTCAATCGTAATTACAAGGGCCGCCATTGATGAAATTGCTGTTGATGGATCACGTGCCATGACTCATGGAAGTAATAAGTTACTAATAGCAGATTATCCATTATTCACCTGAACAAAATCCCACCCACCCACCCTTTGAAACGAGCAGCGCGGGGGTATTTATACTTCTGTTTTTATAAGACTGAGTTTTAAAATAGTATTCGTTATATCGCTAAGGTGGCCACTGGGCCTTTAAATTTTGATTTGATGTATACTCAGATGAAAATGGAATAAACATAGAATCTTTATAGAGTTTTCTACACAGCCATTTTGACTGTTATATTTTCTTATAACGGTTGTTTTCGACAGAGCAAGCTTTGCTTGCATACACACACATGCGATCCTTAGACACATTATAATGATTGGTATCGAATTGATCACAGCACTGAGGACATTATACCGCACTGTACTGTACAGTAGATATCTTTTTACAGTACCTGCTAATCTTAACTTGGTATGTCCATCACCGTACATTAGTTATCATAATGTGCTTTGCACCATTAACTAATCTTAATATAGCATTTCATCCATGAATGCATTATTGAAAAGTAGTATTCTACAAGCATAGCTGTGAATATAGTAGTGCCTGGCTATTACCGGGATATGTACAGTATAATGTCGAATGGTAATACTATCTGTTAATTATTAACAAATGGGTACATTATCGTAAACCGTCAGCAAAGCGACGTGAGTTCGTACAGTACTGTACTAGTAATAATAATAGAGCCGTAAAAATGAATCTTGAATACAAGTTAATATCGAGAAGTCAAGGCTATATAAAGGCAAGGGCTCGCTTCCAATCGATCTCAAGCCCGATTGCTTGCAATCTTGGAGACTTCATCAACAACCATTTCTGACTTCATTATGACTAACTATAAGCTCTACTATTTCAACTTAGATGCCAGAGCAGAATTAATCAGACTTTTGTTTGCTTATGGTGGCATCAAGTACGAAGATATACGTTACAGCTTTGACGAATGGCCAAAAGTTAAAGAAAGTGGTGAGTTTGGCGGAGCTTTCGACTTTTTCTGTACTGTATTTTTATCCGTTCTATTCTGGAAAGTGATACTATAGCGATGAGTTTTTTTAATTTATGGTTCAATACATACTTTGCAAATGAGCTTAAATTAAAAATCAAAATATTAAGCCATAGCATTCATGAAATTATTTTTTAGGTCCATTCCCCTTTAAGCAAATGCCCGTTCTTGAAGTGGATGGGAAACCAATCTGTCAAAGCAATGCCATTTGCCGACATTTAGCTCGAGTTATCGGTAGGTACAACGAATATGACTGATCTAGCCGAACACTTTTTTCGAGCTAGTCTATTGCAGTCTACTCACTCTACTGTCGGATAATCTTGAACGATGCTATCAAATTTGCACACATCATACTATACAAATTCTGTGAATTTACGATTCGGGTCGTCAACACTGCTGCTGCATAACATACATTAAAGTCATTAGATGGACATACTCATTTTTAGTTTATTGGCTTACTTTGCAGGCATTGACGGTAAAAACGAGACTGAGAAAGTACTCATTGACATGGTTGCTGATAGTTGCACCTATGAGATTGTCGAAAAGGCCTACGATCACCGTGCACCTTTTGCGGAACCCGATGAAAACAAGAGAGTAAGCATTTATTTACCGGATAGCCTCCTGCAATCATGTATCTGCTCTGGTGATCTACAGTACTTTTCTCTATAATACTTGATTAAGTATCGATGGATTACCATTGTTAAAATTAGGCTAGCGCCATCTAGTCACGATTGAATATTAAATTACATTCTATGGAGAATTTATTCTTCTACCAGTGGCTCATATTGATAGTTTCGTTTATAATAGCTTCGGATTAACCCCTGCTATGCTATGTCGATAGGTTGAAAAGGGAAAAGTCTTCCGTGACGCGAAGTTAGAGCCGTTCTTGATTAATCTCGACAACTTATACCAGAAAATTGGAGGCAAATACTTTGTCAGTGATGAGGTATGTCTCTCGAAATTATTAAAGAAAATATGAAATAATTGTAATTTTCTCCCTTACCTTATCATTTATATATATGTATATTTATACGGTACTGTAGTGTAGGTGTGTATTCTCTACTGCAAATCATTGATCCTCACTCTATCTTATTTATCATTCTTTACTTTAAACTTAGATTACATACGCTGATCTGGCATACTATCGCATGATCAACAACGTCAAACCATTATTGGCGGATCTTCCTACACCTCATCCAAAGCTTAAGGATCTTTACGCTCGCATTTCTGAAAACGAGAAGCTTAAAGAATGGGAAAAGCACAAAGCCGAAGCAATATTCTAAAGATGAATATAAATTGTCAATCCACTACCTCAGTATTACTTAAATCGTTTGGCCTGTTATACGCGTACAATTAAACTATTCATTTGTACTTCATAAAAAATATTATCATGTATCTGTAATAGTCTCGGAACTGTCATCTACTGTATATTTCAAATAAACGAGTATTGACAGGAACTTATTCTCTGTTCCATTGCTTTGAAATAAGACGATATTAAATATACAGCAGACTATAGGACTATGCAATTATCAATACACTATTCGATATAGCTTCCTACTTTACGTTATATTGCTTAGCTGGAAAGTACACGTCTCTGGTTAGTACTGTTGATGAAATCAATTTGTACGACGTTATACAATACGCATAGTTTATGAACCTATCTTATAATCCTTGAAGAGAAATCCCTAGTCTGAGTGTACTGCAGAAGGTATACAATAGTTAACTGTGTTTAATTTTCTGCTAAACAGTATGCTGTTTGTAACCGTCCTACTGAGACTGGTATTAATTCATGAAATGTCAGCTTGCAACGATTTACATCATCATAACATCGATTCATCATGCCTTGGATAGGTAAGCTGTTTTTCTGTATGCGCATATCTATCACTAAGGTCATTCTTTGTGGCACTTTATAAGGCATTTAATTCCTTCAGCAAACAGATTTGCAAAAAGCTCTGCAGTTCTGTATGGAACAATAATCTAGCTTGTGAGAAACTCCTAGCCTCTGAATACATTGCAATACACAGCCTGCGTTAATTTAAGGCCAACTTGAGTACTATACTAGTCGATGTGTGCCGATACAGTAAGAGAATATTATGTCGCTATCATAACTATTTGTAATGTTAGTTTGCATACTTTTCATAGCTGTACAGTATAGCAAACTTTTTTAACACGCCATTATATATTCTACTGTAAAAATAAATCATCTGATTTTTATGAGTATAGTTTACTTGTCTGATAAAGATGTATACGAGTATTGTATTTTAAATGTTGGATGAAATGAATCGATGAATGCGTGCTATCTTAAAATTAAGTCATATTAAATAATAGAGTATTCTTATAGTTCCATTCAGGTCTTTTTCCTTTCCAGCAAAATGCCTATCCTTGAAGTAAATGGTAACATAATCTCTCAGAGCACTACGGTTTGTCGCTATTTGGCTCATACTATAGGTAAGCTACGGTATACTGTACGTATCATATCTAGTCTAACGCGTATCTGCAATAACAATTATAAGCTCGATGGCCAAGATACCAATCAAGTAAAATCCATATCAATTAGAATTGCACTCTTTACATCTCGCCTGAAATGCCAAGCATCTTTACATGTATTCATGGATAATGTCACAGTTTGCTCCATTTTAAAGGCATTGACAGCAAGGACAGCTTTCAGAAAACTCAGATAGATATGATAGCTGAAACATGTACCCGCGACATTGCTGAAAAGTTTTATAATTATCGCTCATCGATGAAAGTACCTGACGAACCGGTGAGGGTGAGTTATTATAGTTGTTATGTATCGTTAATGGTGCGTGTTTGAAGGATTACACCGAGCACACATCTGTATGTAGCCTCCGCAACATAACTATAACATAATGGATAAGGCAAAGATTTAACAGCATAAATGATTTTTAGCCGTTAGAATTCGATGTCTAATGCTTTTTTTTATAACCAATTGCAGTATAGCGAGAATGGAATATATTCTATCTTCATTCAATGATGTCATTATCATCATATCTAATTAATGTTCGCTATTATTTTAGCATCGAATGCTGTCTAAATAACTTATCATACCACGAATTATAAATTGCATCATTTTGTTAATTTCCTAATACCTACAAGAATTAATTTGTTTTCACTGTATTCAAATTAAGCTAGCTATCACAATCTTCTCACTATACCCACATAACGTAAGAATTAATGAAAAATTAATGTATCAATTAGTATGAAAGATTTACAAGAAAGAATGTTATGGATCTTGTATCTTAATAATTATATTAGATCACATTTTCGTGGCTTACTGTGTGTTGTACACTTTACCGTACATATCTGGTTTAGACCAATTACTAAGAAATATATAGTCATAGGTAACTACACGATGGTATACATCTATATATAATTTATACTTTTTAACTATACTTCTGAAGTATACGTATAGCTTCATATTCTAGTAATCTAAATAATACTTATCAGTCATACTACCAATCTATGACAGATAAAAAAGGGCTAGCAATTTCTCAATAGTACTCTAGATCCATTCCTAATTAACTTTACCAATATACATCAGAAAATTGAAGGTAATTACATTGTTGGACATGAGGTATTAATGGTATCTCGTTAGCTTAAATTCATATAACTAAAGAGTTACTTCTAATGTCTTTTCATTGTTTACTTAATTGTTAAGTTACTTTAATAACTAAATACCATTTAATGTGCTATTCATAATTCTTGAATGAAATTAATTTTGCTTTTATTTTTTAGCTAAGCTACGTCGATTTTGCATACTATTGTATGATGATCACTAATGTCATGCCTGTAATGAACAATTTTTCGACATCATATCCTAAATCATCTGATGTATATACCCGAATTGCCAAAGAACCTAAGATTGAAGAATGGGAAAGGACTAAACCGGAAATCAGAATGTAATGTTGTCAGGACATGATAATATCTGTTTCTGTAAATTAAATTATATCATAACTATAGGCTTACAAAATACTTTGATAGTCATTGGCAGCGTGTATGGTATCAGAGCTATATGCATCCCTAAAATTTTAAAGCAAACCATTCTTTTATAATCCAATCAACGATATATTTGTATCCTAGCCCTTACATATTGTAGGGTTTTCGTCTCCTATTGTAAATAAAATGTTTCTATTTTGCGAAGAAATCATTGATAAGTCAATATTGCTAAGGCCACACTTAAATATCATGGCTAGTAATATTCTCTTATCGACATGAATTCACTATAACTAGCATATTCATAGTTACATCAAAGATATTAATGGTGATTTTGAAAATTAAAACTTGAGTATACGTAAATTACAAAGTACATAATACGGGATGATATGGATAATATTGTTTAGATCATAATTATTCCATATAGCGATGTATAAGATCATATCGAGACGAAAATTGCATTGAAAGTATCAAATACTCGTATAAGTTCGCTTATGGAGACAATTAGGATTATAACGGCTTTCAAGCACCTTTATTCCATACTTTGTATCTGTAATTTCATTTATTATCAACGGCTAGATTACATTATATTTGTTAACACTACAATTGCAATCATATACATCAACTAGCAAGGAACATTTGTATACCAATAACTGCGCCAATGGAAATATAAATTCATAGCAATATATCGTTCTTAGCACTGATAGTGGATTACTGATATTATTAATATTATTATTAATTATTCTCTTTGGCATACAGACAAACTTATTATGGCGTATGTATTAAAAAGTAGTGTAAAGAGCATTAAGAATCTCATATAGTATAAACTTCTGTATCAAAGTTAGATACAATATAAATCAATTCATCATATCATATGCGGTAAACATATTAAATCAATCACTTTAGGAGCAACAAAAAATGTAAGACAATTGTGAGCTTGATTAAAAAGTGAAAATCTGTCGTAGATTCTCCGTATGCTGGTATATTACATAGTGTCATTTGATAAGACAAAAATAAAATGCCTAATCCAAAAAGACTTGAATAACAATATATAGAAACACGGTGTTGTGATGTAACAGATTACAACCAAATTAACAGCATAATCAACTTGAATTCGTAAGACTGTTCAATACAGAATTATACTTTTAGTCAATTTTGGTATTGTGGCTACCAGTTTAATTACAAATATAGAGCACAGCGAATATACGAATAGATAGCAAATAACAATATATAATATTTGCCATATCCTTGAACGGTATAAAATATACAGTTGTATTTCAGGTTAGACATAAAGTGTGATATTTTAAGAATGAAATTGTGATTTCATCTGCTTTGTCATAAAATGTTTCTGATAATTCATTTGCGGTATCAGACTGATGAGTGACAGCTTTAAAAAGTAAACATCAGCGCTTACAAAAATTTTAATTATTGTATAAATCGTCTTGTGCAAACTTTGCAAATAGTTGTATCGATATTAACTACTGTATTTAGTAAAGAAAAATTTGTAACACAGAAATTTATGTATATTATTTTCGTTGATTTTTGTTTAAACTGTTTAAAATTTTGGTACAGATTCGTTTAACTAACACGTTCTAATCCTGTAGTTCTTTCGATTAAGGTACTTGCAGACTTGACAATTAAATATGTTTACTCGACGATTTATTGCTTAATTACTGAAGATGAGAAATGAGTTGGAGGTTTTTGTGCTACATGAGATTGTGGTTGATTGGCGTAAGTTTCGGACCAAAATTTTTGAGGAGGCCTTGATTGTTGCTTCGGTTTCTTGCTTTTATTACTACCAGGATTTGACGAATCCAGCATAGGTTGCAGGATTCTTCGCCGTGCATTTATAAACCTACGACAATCACAAACATAAAAACAATAACATTATGATCTTTCTTTACTTAAACCATTCTTGCACCATTTATAGTTGATATCAAAAATCATTAACTTTGTCAGTTAAAATTATTTTATACCAGTTGTTAACTTGCAAGATTGAAAGATTAGTTTGAGTAGCTATAGCTCGTTTTTCATCTTCCGTAGGATAAGGGTGCTATATATAATATATTTAAATGTTGACATCATAATTAACTTCGGTTTAACTATAAGAGCCTGTAGGCTATTCAATGATATAACCCTTATAAAAAATCATCTCGATATGTTAAATGTTACCATTAAATGCTGGAAGAGCCAAGTTTTCATAACAGTTGTAGCCTGCTTCGGTAAAATACCGCGCTTCATCCTGTGATCTTTACTTTTCATATGCTCAGGGGTTATAGATGTTTCTCCGCCCGCTGAATCTTGCGCAGTGCTTTCAAGCAATAGCCTAGCTTGTGTCTGCGATTGATTACTGCATTCCACATAATTATTATTTGAAAGGTTACCAATATTAGGATACGAATCTACAGCGGAGCAGGATGTCGCATTTGAATCGTAACTACTAACGACTATCTGCATATTTCCAGAAGCCGGCAAAGTATTACTAGTTGGAATTGCTGTTAGTGAAAGTTAAATTTCTCATTAAGACTTCACTTGTTTTGTCACATAAAAATTTAAAACAACGTATCTTCCTATTCATTAGATTAATGCTACATGTAAGAATGATAAATTACTCTGTTACCTAGTGAAGATTCTGCAATATTGCTAAACATCGAATGTTGCTCGTTAATTTGTCCAATTTCATGCTGACCTTGATTCGTGGAGCAGGACCCATTGAAAGTATTTTGCTCACGTAATAAATTATCACTATTCATTTTATTTTTCAAGCAGCCAATGTAACGTTGACAGAAATCTTTACATAATTCATTAACTTTTTCTAACTCAAGTAGGTGAATTCGTAATACTTGTATAGCTTTAATCATCTATATAATAAGAAAAATTGATATCCACTACGAGTTATAAGAGAAACACAAGCTTTATGGCGGCAATGCTTACTAAATTTTATTACAATCATTTTTCTTCAATAATTAATACTTACCATACTATTGACTTCTTCGTTTTCTGTCACACAACTCTTTCTCTCTTGACTCTGACGTCTTAAGAAATCTTCAATAGCAGCATCAAATGATGACGATGATGGACTTTCATTACCCCAAGTTGCCCGTTCACATTTTTCATATAGCATGACTACAACGGATTATAGCATATTACAGAATGATTAAACACTTTAACGTAAAATTAACTTAAAACGATACTGCTTTATATCTTTAAACATATCATTGATGTAACTAATCATTACCTAATAACGGAAAGAGCGGATGATGATATATGGCTCTCTTTTCAGTTTGAAAGCTACCGTTTGGAAAAACTCCGATATCAGCCTGCGAATTTGTATTTTGTGGAGTAGCAGTTGGCATGTGACTGTGAATATCTTCGTACGGTGGTGGAGGTATCTTATCAGGAGGTAGACTGCTCGTATAATGAGGAACAAAATCATTGGGATTCATCATAGACATAGGTGGCATGTGATGTGGATGCATGCCATAAGTGGCCGCCATGACATGATGAGGAACTGGACCAGCCCTAGGGTTAAGGCTTGAGTCCATGTTCACTACACCAGGCCTAGACGAAGACTGCGAGAAGAAATCCGTCTTGCTAGTGTAATTATTTAACTTTAAAAAAAATGCAAACCAGAACCGCGGGTTTGTTTAGCGGTCTAAGACTTTAAGATAGCACAATTTTCGTTGATAAAGTTAGTCCAATTGTTGATTTGTTGTAGAATCTTATTGCAACGATTGATTGATTAAGAACCGCCGATTTAATGGGATATATTTGGCTAGTAATCAACCATCAGTTGTTAAGAACGACCCACCTAGAGGTAATTTTTCAAAAATGAACCTGTTAATGCAGGGTTACTATAAAAAATAAAACATAATAGAAAGTGATGTTTGCACTTTATAATGATAACTCGATGAAAATACAGTATAGTGTGTAGAAAATGTTTTAATTCTTTCATTTCTCCATTAGCTTTGAAAACTTTTGCATAATGTATCGAATTCATTAAAGATCTATCCCATTTTCTCAAGAAATATTACTAAATCCATAATAGTTTACAGAAAGCAATATTAATCATTCTGATATAACTTTGTCTATTCATAACATGTAGAAATCTTACGGTTTTCCTTCATAAATTTATAACGATGAAAGTCTATTACCTACTTAACCTAACATATATTCTTCTATAAATGACTATTTAAGCGTATTCCACTTTGATTGAGGCATAATCAAAGAGTATCAAAATGTCAACAAATTAACGGCATTTTGCGAGAAATAAAAAAAACAACATCAAACCCACATGTACATCTGGTCAATGGATCCCTA